AGTCGTCCTAGACGTCGTCATTGAGGTTGTCCCAGACGTCGTTCTCTAGGCATCGTCTTTGAAGTTGAGGTTGTCCCACCATAGTACATCTTCGCTGGTCTTCTTTTTCATCAGGGTGGAAAGGATGAAAGTTTTTATTTCCATAGCTTAGCTTTTCCCACTCGGCAGCGTGCGAAGCTGGACAGAGTATTCAGCGCTTGTGACGTCATTTATTGCCACTTCGGGACTACTTTGATGTATGGGCAGCATAGGACGCTAAACACACCAGTCGGAGACACGCTCCAAATAGCGCAGGGCTTTGATCACGCCGCAAGACCGGCGAAACTTGCTTTCGACAAGCTGTGGCTTTTTCGTGCAGCACTGCGCTTCCGTAAAAATTTCCACGCGTTCTCAACGGCAAGTATCACGGCTCACACAATTTTTTGTAAAGAACTTCTGCGAATGATGACGAACGAGGAGAACACGAGTCTTTGAACGCGCTACCGCCAGCCTCCGCAAGGGTCCAGAAACGCGATTTGTCAGCATGCAAGATGGCCGCCTAATGGCTTCACTCGCGCTGCAGCGACCAACGTTGGCAGCGACCAAGCGGGGAAGCGCCAGGAAGCGCAGATATCTGTTGCTTGTTGGATAAGCATTTTAAAAATAAATAGCGCGAAGGTCAAGTACACACTGACGGCTTAAAAAATTCATCAAGACAATATTATTGTTGGAATTGTTTTCAAGGTTTTCAAGCCGTGAAGAAAGACAAGACAGAAACGCTACCTTTTTTTTATAGCCAACACTATCCAATCCAACCTAGTGAATCATCCAACCACAACTAGAGCACTATATAGCTCCTTCGGAGCAGAGTAGCGCAATCTAGAACGCCGTCTCTCGGCGACTAGCGGCGAACGCCCGGAGGTTCCAACTGCGGTCAGAAATGCATGGAGAACGTGAGAAAATCGTTGTTTCTTCAGTTTTGTGGGGATGTGCGGAATGGAAATCATTTTTGACATAATAATGAAACAGTTTAGAATAATATGCGATAAGTTTTGTGCCAAACAAGGACGTAACTTTTTTTAAAAAATTGCCTGAGCGGCATCATGCAGCAGACGACACGGCGACGTCACACCATTCACGTGACCCGCTCCGGTCAACCCGAAAAGCCCATCTCCGCTGCGAGCGAAAATCGTCTGCTTCAAACGCCATTGCCTTGGAAATTGCCTTCTCAAAATTTTCACACGCATCCGATATTATTAAAACTTTGATGAAGTGTTTAGCGCTTTACTAACTTCACGACAGGCTAGTTTTGAAAAATGTGAACTCGCCGTTAGTTTTTTAATCAGCCGTGTTATGTCGATCTCCATGTATTCTCCCATAGGGCGGGCCGCCTCCTGGAACCCTGAGTACCACGTGACTCGCGCCGAGCCGCTCTGTCGGCCATGTTGTCGGCAAAACACGGGGTTCAAAGGATTGCGCTACTCTGCTCCGTAGGAGCTATATAGTGCTCTAACCACAACAACGGCGACCATTTTGCGGGAGGGCGCCTACGTAAAAACGATCCTGTGGTCGAGCGGCGTTTGGTTTGACTATTTGACATCGAGGGATTACCGGCAGCCAAGATGAGCGCTGCTCAGGCCTCGAACCTGATCTCGTCTACGGCGGGCGCCATACCCGTCCTCAATGACAAAGGTACGTTTTTTGGGCTTACTGGGTTCCAACGTCGGGCTACACTCGCAGGGTTTCTAAAAGGGCCAGCATACGAAAGACATTCGCGATTCACGCGGTGGTTCCACGACGTGCATTGTGTGACTCCGCTCTTTTTTTTCTTCCCTAGGCGAGCTGTCTATGCAAAAGGTGAAGGTCCACAGATACGTCTCTGGCAGAAGGTGAGCACTGCACGTTCGGAACTCTGAAGCCGAGTTTGGAGCCAGCACGAAAGCTCGAGGTCGCTGCTTTCAAGCGTTCTTCCGCAGAACGAGCACTCGCGCTACAAAATGTGCGTGTCACAGCCAGGAGCGCAGGCTAGCTCGCTCGCGCTCCTAGGGAAGGAGCGCGAGCGAGCGTACAACAACAACAACTTAGAGCTGAGAGTTGAGGGAGCCCGTGGTGCAGTTACGAAAGCAATTTTTAGTGTTCTTGTACGAAGCACAAGGGAGAAGATGCTTCCTTGTACTACAGTGTCTGGAACACCAGCAACACAGGCCCTCCGTGTTCACGTGCAGGAAACCGATTGATACCTTTTACTATCATCATCATTAAATATTAATCTTTTACAATTTAGGCCCGCCGTTACGCAATGTAAACATGTTTTTAGATTTTTTAACGACATTGAGAATATAAGCTCATCTTTCTGAAACATTGTGGTCCCAAAAACGATCCAGTTCAAACCAGAACCAACCGTGAAATACCGGGCAAGCGCCCACTCAAACTTTGGAGACAATCGCAAAAACAATGTGGGATGGGTGCATGTCTGGTCATCAATTTCACATATAAATCTACTGTGTGTATTTTCTCAAATCTTACAAATTTGGTAATGGGCGCCTAATGTGGAATGGGCGGATGCTCGGTATTCTACGGAAGTTAAACCCCGTCTTTAGTTGTCCGTTGTCATCATCGCCACCACAGGGATGTCACGTGAAAATATTGCGTCCCCAATTAAATGCCGCCACTTCAAACGTCTCCGAGTTGACTGAGTTGCTCGCCTGTTTCAAGCTGGACTCGATCCGAGCGATTTGTGTCGTGGCGTGGGTCTCTAGGGAATTGTTGGGAACAACTCACCAGGAACCCCGAAATTGCTGGGGTCCCCGGTCGAAGCGGGCCTTAGCGCCCCATCCTGCTCATACATCAAAAGTGGTCCCGAAGGGGCAGCAGACGACGCCACAAAAGCCGAAGTGTTGTGTTGTCGGTCGTCAGGACCCTAGCAGTTGGGGCTAGAAATTCAGGCGAAAAGCATGAGCAATTGCGAGCGTCGCTGTCGTCGCGGTGTTTCATCTCCTGGCCGTTGAAGCTTTGTGGACTGTCAGTTAAGCTGGAGGGTGACCTGCAGCAGAACAGATGTCTGCCACTGTTCGAGGATCGTGGCTGGTGACAACAAGACACTTGTACAACGTCATCGGGCGGAAATGGAGGGAGCACTTTCTGAGGACGTAGCAAAAACATCAGTCGGAGACGCGTTTTAGGCACCATACTAGTATAGTGCTCCGGAGTCTGTTGCGGTTACTGGTGATTAGGGGTGCGTCAAACCTACAGACGTTCGGGTTCGACCAGGTTCGACTTTTTCTAACGTTCAACTTGAAGTTCGGCAGATACTCGACGGAAGTTCAGCCATTATGCATATGTGCATAAAAAAAAAAAAAAAAAAAAGCCGGCACTGCGTGGTGGAGGGGGGTTGCATCGTTTTAATGAGCCAACTAAATGATTGAAAACTTATATGTTTCCTTTTATGCTGTGTAAGCATTGCTAATTATTGTCTAATATTTAATATAAGCTCTTTTATAAATATGTTCTCCACTTATATTCTTTGTAGAATTTGGGTAGCACTGGTTAACTAATAAAGCTTTGTCAAATCCTGCCAAAATAATAATAATAGATTTAGTTACCATAAAAGTATGCTGAGAGCTGAGGGGGAAAAAAAAAGCAGTCCAGGCAGCTTGATTGTTCCCCCTCAAGTACAATGCAAGAAATTATTCAATAATACAAGGCACTTCCATCTAACAACAACAAAAATTACCGACTAAACAATAGACAGCAGTGACATTTGCCTACATCAAGATAAAATAACTGGGAAGCTGAAAATTGAAAGCTCTAAGGTTTGCCGACCCAGCCCCCAGGTTCGACAGATGTTTGCGTCATGTGCTTCGAAGACCCGAGGAGGAAGAAAGCAGACAAAAGGTTGGGCTTGTTTGTTTTGCCACGGCGTGTTGAAGTCGTTCGAGTGCTAGTCGACTTTATTTATTATGATACAGCGCACAATGCTGGTGTTTTCTTGCAAACTAAGCTAGAAAAGAGGTGGACACAGGCCTCACAAATGATGTTTCTCCGTGCCACCGACGAAACTGCCGTTGTGAAGCGGCCGCGATGTGCAGGACCTTTTGCCCTTGATGATCCTAGTAACTCCATGCCTGCAGGCCCAAATATGCCCCGAAGGAGAGCAGCGACGAGGAGAGCGGGGATGAGTTCACCTTCGAGCGTCGCCAGCAGCCGGCCGCCCCCGAGCCCATCCCCGTGGACGAAGAGGCCGAGCGCAGCGACCCCCGCCTGCGTCGTCTGCAGCGCAGGGAGCGCCAGGCCAACGAGGAGGAACGGTGGGTGTAATGGGGGGGGGGGGGGGGGGTTGGCACTGGATGGATGTTACTGGTTGTAGCCTTTGTAGCGGGCGGTAGCTTGTGCCACCTAGCCTTAGTCTATAAAAAACTGAGGCTAGGTATGTGCCAGATGGGTGCTCAGCCCCGCTTGGCACCAAGTGCTGAAGAATAGATTGAATGTGGGCCTGTTTTGGGCCAGAGCTTTTGCCGTGGCACTATACTTTTTTTTTCTTTGCTGTCCTGACCTGTACTGGTGTTTAACGGTGGATTTGGCTATATCCGTATTCGCGTCAAGAGCCGTAGTAAAAAATGTGCGCTCTACACGAAACATTATAATTTCTCCCTTCATGCGTTGAGTTAAGATATACATATCTTAGATTAGATTTATGATATTTTATCGAGACCTACACACTTCCATTTCTGACACCAAAAGCTTTGTTTCTTTTTTTTTTTTTGACAACCAAGTCTTCTTAGAACTGCATCGTGCAGCACGTGAATAGTGCACAAGACTTACTCTTTTCTTGATGTGACAAAGAGTATAGTTGGTTGTTCATTGCTTCGAATAAACTGTGCTGCAAAGAACTACAAATAAAGACACTTAGACGAGAAGGACAACGCAACAAACAGAAATAAGCACAAATGTTTGTTTGTCACATTGTCTTTCTCGTTTCAGTGTCATAATATGTAATTCCTTGCCGCACAGTTTAACCAAAGCTGCATTGATGTCTTCTGCTTCAGAAACTCTCGTAATCCTACGGTGAATTTTGTTTTCCGGTACTTTGACTCATAGGCTGCTTTTGAATCGAGGGAAAGGCATAAAATTTAGCCAAATGGGGCCGATAGCGATTAAGGAAATTAAGTGCAGGTTGTTTCTCGGTAGAATAGGCTCCCGCTTGAGACAGTGCCATTCCTCTAACCTCGATTCCCCAAACTCGCACGACGCCCGAGGATCAGCTCTTACAAGTGTATGGCACAGTAACAAAAAACATAAATCCCTAGCTAAAAAAAAAAAAAAGAAAAAAAAAAGTAGAAAACGGCAGTGTTTTGGGGCGACACTAATCCGACAAGATGAACGTACGACGGATGAACTACCCCACCTCGGTGATAGGTTCGTACGTCTAGAAATCCATACTTATTAGGAATGCACTCCAAGGAGCCACCAAACGTGTCTGTTCCTTCTACTGAAAGTTCTTCCGATTTCTTCCACCGCAGTCTCAGGTGTAATACGACATAATATCTCCCCGTCTGGGCAGGCAACTTTTCTTCACCCAAATGCACGTACGGGTCCCACTGGAAGCGGGAGTGGTGCCCCGCTCGCGCTCCCAAAGGGAGACTTCTCACGTGAAATTTGGAGGGCTGCCCGTATGTTTCCGTCCGAATTCCAAGTCCTGATTCCCGTCGGCGAATTCAAGAAGCATCTTTGGCCTGCCCCTTTCGCACTCCAGGTGGCAGCATCCCTTTATTAGAGTGTGAGAATATCTGCCCATAGGAGGGGGCATATGTCTTTATATCTTTTTCCTCCCAGCTATGCATCCCCTAGGTTTCCTCATCTGTTTAAAGTAAAAAATACTTGTTTAACTACGACTTATTTAAGAACTCATTTTTCGTTAAGGCAATCAGTGATTGCAACTCTTTACTCTCGAAATTGTAAATAATACGAACGATGATCTATTTTTTTCCAAAATTACCTTTACTCCCTCGATCCTTTATGTAACCTTAGTTCTCTCCTTTCTTTGTGTGTGTGTGTGTGTTTGTCTTTTTTTAGGTATGCACATATTTGCATGTAGTCATTGTTCTGTTTTCATTTACCCAATACTTTTTACTGTAATACTGTTGTTTTTAATTTCTTTTCTCCCCTTCTATAATGCCACTGGTGCTGCAGGTATCTAACAATAGATAAATAAAAATTACTTGTGTAAGTTTTTGATACCTTAATGCTGGTTCATTCACTTCCGACTGTTTACGACTGAGTGCCACCTCTTGTGATCTCTTACGATGAGAGCACGCATTGACACCACCTTTCGAGTAAACGCTCAATTTCCGTATAGATTTTTTTTTTTTTGCTCGAAAAGGTGTTGACAATGTTATAAGCAACCATTTTTTATAGATAGTCAGCTCATTTGATTTACCTGCACCAGCTGCACTCTATGCACACCGCCGTATTTGATTTGTGTGCAGCCTGTCTGAAAACACAAGCGGAGGTCCCATACTTTTCTCCACCGTGCTACACTGTCTGGTGAAGTTAAATGGAACGAGCCCATTATGTGCCTCTCACAAACACTGCTTGACTCTAGTGAAAGGCTTGGCCACCTCATAGATAGTGTAAGAGAGGACAAGAGCTCGGTCCTGAGCAAACTCGAGTGCCTGAACGGGCCTCTAAGCTGTGAGCTTAAACCAACTGGGCACACGTTGACTCCACTGCCGTCGCTGCTGCTGCAGGATGGAGCGCCACCGGATGATCCATGAGCCGGAGGTGCTGGCGGTGGCTCCGGAGGGGGAGGAGCCTGCGGCGGAGGAGGGCCGGGCCCCCCGCTGGAGGGACGAGGAGGAGGACAGCGAGGGGGAGGACCTTGACGAGGAGGTGGGTCCGCCCAAGCGCCCCCCGGAACGCGCTTCTGACCGGTGCTTTTAGCGTCCCACCATGCAAAATGGTCTTCGAGCAGCGACGCGTCGAGTCACAAAAACTGGAGTGTCACGCGGTTGGATGTCGACATCTTGGCAACCGGTCATGGAAGTCGTGGAAGGAAGCGTGAGAGAATGTTAGTGTTGTCGTCATCGCGGCGTCCTAGTTCCTGGCAGCCGAAGCTTTCGTTGAGCTAGACGAGAGTTCTTCGCTTTCGCGACTTGCGCAGGTGGTCAGATGTACCGAGCGTTGCGACTTGGGAAGCTGGCACTGGCGTAGCCATCTCCCGCCGTCAAGAGAGCGTTCTTCGTCGAACGGGACAAGGTACTCTGGGAACGGGGCAGGGTTTTGGCTGTGGGGAAGGTTTTGCATTGGACCGAAGGTTTCGCATTCCTCGACCGCCTCGCATTTGCTCGAGGCTTTTCTTTGTACGCTCGCCGGAGTGGTCCACCTTCTGTCCCATACCTACTGTGTGTCTATATCTAGCTCGTCATCTGCACGAGAGCACGGCCAAACGAGAAGCTAGGTATAATCATGCGCTCGTGGCAGTAGCTTGGGTGGGTCGTCGTGCACCGTATACGAAGCGGCATTCACAATTGTGACTCGTTGGCGTCTCTAGCTCGCTCCTGTCCGCCCCCAACCATGCTTTGCTAGGCGCACCAGTTCCTCGCTCTGGCGTGCCCGAGGACGCAGACGACGAGGGAAGGTGACGCGGCCATTTTGTGCAGGAGATGGAGCGGCGCCGCCTGATGCTGCGGCAGCGAGCCCTGGCCAGGGCGCAAGAGGAGGTGAGTGGACCCGGTGGTGAAAGTCCTGGTGCCGTTGACGCGTGGTTGCCCATCTCAGGAGCTGCTGGACCTGGAGGAGGAAGGCCGCTCCGACGAGAGGGAGTCCGACGAGTCCGAGTACGAGGAGTACACGGACTCGGAGGAAGAGGAGACCGGGCCGCGGCTCAAGCCCGTCTTTGTGCGCAAGTGAGTGCGGGCCGGTCGGCCACTGCCACTGGCATTCGGACTTGGAGGACCGTTCCTTCGGGGAACGAGTCTCGCCCGTCGGGAGGGCGGGAGCGAAGGCTCTCCTCGAGAAAGCCACCCGTCCATTCGCCGTCTCCAGGGGCGTCTTCTTTCCTCTCTCCATCAGGCGAGACCGGGTGACCATCCAGGAGCGAGAGCGTTTGGCCCAGAAGGAGAAGGAGCTGGAGCAGGAGGCCAAGAAGGTGGCTGAGGACCGCAGGAGGACCACCCTCAAGGTGGGCTAGCCCCTTTCCCCCACTTAAAGGGACACTGACACCCCCCAAAAATTTTTTTTCATTTTTTGCCAGAGGCTTTATTATGGTGTCGGAGGACTACCCAATTAATATTTTGCAACAGAGTAGCGTATTTTTTTTAATAAAGCCGAAAGACGCAACTGCTCGAAACCAAAACCGAAACCCGACGGAGGTCGGAGAAGTGGAGAGAAGAGAGTGAGTGGCGGAAGTCACGTGGCTACACCCGACCGTGCTTTTTTTTGTTATTTTTTTCTTCTCTCCGTAGCAGACGACACGACATGCGGCGTGCGATGCGGCGTGCGGGAACTGCTCGCCGGGCGATTCTTTTGCAGTTATGTTTGTTACGCTCGTTGTTCTGTACTCCAAGATGAGTTGTTTTGTACATTGAGGAGTCGGAGATGAGTAGTGAGTGCCCGTGGTGAATTTCCATGATCGGCTCCGAAAAGAATACACCCAAGATGTTGCGTGAAGAGCTGGCTCACATGTCCTGCGTCCGAAAAAAAGTGGCATTGTGCGACAGAGTTTCCGAAAGATCAATGGGATCGGGACCGTTGGCTGGCTGCGATTCCTGTAGAACATGCACCTCGGAAAGCGGACGCTACCTGATTTATATGCTCCTTGCATTTTGTGGAAAGGGATTACATTGAGTTCGCAGGTGTCAAAAAGGAAATCACATACCATTTAATTCAGCGAAGTATCGTCCGCAACATTTATTTGTTTCTTCTGTGATGATTGTAAAAAAAGAAAAAAAGATACGTAAACATCGGGAAATGTTTGAAAATAAAAAAAATATACAAAGTTTTACGGGGAATCGAACCCGGTCCTTCTGCGTGTGAACCGGACGTCTTTCCCACTGCGCTACTGGGGGATCTCTTTTCTGGGGGATCTCTTTCCTTTGTAATAATTAAGCCGGTAAACTGTAAGTTGGAAAGTTTGCTGTCGATTTTTCTCTAGCAAAAGCACTCCCGAGTCGAAGTCGGGAGGCACCACGCTTTGGGGACATTCGCACCTAGTAAAGAAATCGTACGCGTGCATATTCAACTCGAAGTAGACACGTCGTGCTTGACGTTTGCGCGAGCGATGTCTTCAGCCACGAGAAGGGAGCGACGGCTCGGCGACGTCTTCGTGCAAATCGGCTTGGTGGCCGGGCGTGTCGTACGGGATGAATACCAATTCTTTTGATCAGTCCCAAATTTCTCTTTTAAAGGTAGACAGAATTCGCCGGTACCGCGAACGACAGTTCTGAAATAGAGGCCCCACGCCCGTCGTCCGCTGCCATCGCCGTCCCCGCGAGTCCCACGATACGAGAAACGACGAACGCACAGAATGCTTCCGGTTGTCTGTGGAACTTTTTTTTTTCAATCAACGTATTTACAGCTTTTTAGAAGCCACAAAAAATGGGTTTCATATTTTTTTCTATTTTTAATCTTGAGTGTGTGCCTTCAGTGACCCACGACTTTGATTAAATTTGGTGGTCGCATCGATATCTTAGAAAACGGCCCGTGACCTCGAAAAAGAGAGTGAGCGAGACTCGAACCGGCCAGTTCTTGATCGGCGGTTTTCGGGCGGAAAGAAACCGAATTTCGAGCCGCAAATTCTGTTCTGGGTAGTTGAGCTCTCATATGACACGTACAACTAAAAACCTCGGCGAGCATAAATACCCTGTCAGTATCCCTTTAAAGGGTTGCTCCGCTAGTTGTTCGACCTACACCAAGTGAACACATCTTTGGAATACCCAGGCTCTCCATCATTTTATCTATTTCATTTAAGTTTCAGATAGCTATTGAGTAAACAGCAAAAAAAGGTGATGCCAAAGCCACCATTTAAATTTTCCCACGGTCTTTAGTGTGAAAGTCACATGTTGGATAACTCGGAGGTTGAGCAGGCCATCTGGAAGACGCAGTAATTTGCTCGAGGGTTTCGTTTTGATGGCGTGAGTATTCGTTTCACACCATCGAACTTGTAACCCGTTCAGAAGAAGCTGCACTGGCCCCATATTGCCCCATATTACAACATCTGACGTCACACGGTCCGTATTGCCAGCGGAGCCTCTCACCCTCTCGGACCAAATTTGAAACTTTAATAACTTTGCAAAAAACTGTGATTTGAACTTGTAATTTGGGTTATTGTTTCAGATGGGTCTATTAGTATATTGCATTGATTGAAGCAAATCGGAGACTATTAGCCCCGAGAAGATGGAGTTGCGCCACCTGGTGGCTTCTTGTCGTGATGTACCTGCAAGGATCACGTGACCGCTTCTGCTTTTCATTGGTAACATGTAGGTTTAGGTCTGTCAATCAAAATTGATGTTTGATTCGTTAGTTTGAACGGTAGTTTAGGCTTGCTTTTGACCTAATTCTTCCGTCGTACTTCTCGCCAAAATTAAACCCAAGCAGCTCGACAAAAGTGGCGTTGGGGCCTACAGAACAAGACCCAGTGACCCAGTTTTGTGTTATGTTATTGTACTGACCGCGACCAAACAGGTAGATTCTGGGACTACATAGCACCCGGGGCGAGTTTTCTTTTTTTTTTTTTCCCAGCCTGTGGGAAAGCAAATAGAAACCAATCGTGAGGATGGCCGAGCAGGCATTACACTTGGCTTTCCGATTGACTTTTTTTATTTTTTTTTTTTCAGTCTGCTTGCATAGTTTTTGAGCCGCGCAAAAAATAAAGCATACTTACTACATGATGTGAGGGCAATCCATAGCTTGTTTATTTGAGCTTTACATAAAAAAAAAGTAGCGAATAGGATTGATGAGTGCGTCACTACGACGAAAGCATCTGCCACCACCGCACAACTCTCTGAGAATGACGAGGGGACGACAAACAGATGAGACTCACCTTCTAACCGGAGTATCTAGGTCACGGTTCAAACTATTCATACAAAATAATTCCACTTAAAAAAGAAATAAAAGGGTTCTTGGTGTAGGCAGCAAGTGACTAGCACATTGTTAGCCTTCTGACCTAAGTACCTTGCTAGCTTTCCCACTGATCTGAACTGCCGCTGAAGTCGTTTGGAGTGTTGTTGCTGCTGGAACCCTATTGAGCGGCCTTCACTGAGGAATGTAGTTTTGAATATGTATTTCCTTTCGTTTAGTGCTTAAAGTTGGGAAGCATGCGACGAGCACAAAGAAGTATGCTCGCTAATCTCCATGGCAAAGTGTCCGAGCGGTGCTGGCGGCCATGAAGCTATCGCACGATTCCATCCTAACTTGCACACAACTTCCGATTGTTTTGTTTGGCGTATTCAGGTTTGTTTGTTAGGTTTTTTTCCTATGCAGGTTTTGCCTGATGGTAAAAACAATATACACTTAGCAAACAATTCTTGCTGCTACGTGCTAAAGCACACAACCAAAGCAAAGCGGAGAGAATTCCTCGCCTCGTCACCATTGAGCGATTGCAGCTCTCGAATCAGTCCCACTCGGGTCTAATAGAAATTTTGACGGAGATCTAATTACTGCAGTTTTATCTGGGGTACACCCACGATATCCAATCTCAATAAAATTTACTTTTTTCAGAAAAAGATTGTGAGAGCAGTTTGTAATGCGCCTTACGATTTACATGCAGAGACCATCTTAAATAATTTCCAAATCGTACAGGGTGGGCATTTTAAAAATGCCTATCCTATGTGATTATATTATGCATCAATATGAAAAATGAAAAAGGAACTCATTTTAGCCAATCTAGCAACTTTTGAACGGAACAGTCCCTTTTGCCTTACCTGCCACAATGAATATTAGAGGGTTCTCACTTGTAGATCGAACGATGGGCAGCAAATTCATCATATAGATCCTCAGCCTTAAGTCATCTTAGGATTCTAGGCACAATTCCTACAAAAAATTTATGTTGCATGTTTCTTTTTTACAAAACTAGACATCTTAATGTACATAATTTAACCTTTTCTGTTCTGGTTTTGATTTTGTACCGTTACTTTGATTACCATATAACTTCGAATTTTGTGCGCTTTTTTTTTGGCCATCCATTGTACAAATTGTTATCCATTGTACAAATTGTTGACTCACCAACTGCCTATGGGTCGGAGGACTCGTCAAGCTGCATTTTGAAGCTTTTTTCCCCTTCCCCCGCCATTTGTACGATTACAATTTCGTAGTGAGAGCCAAAAATAAAAAGAAGAAACATGTCTCTCTACCTGCACTACCTGATGGTATAACGGGTTTAATCCAATATAAATGAAATAATGGCGGTCAATGTGACCAAAATGTATTTTTACAGTAAAAGCCGAAGAAAAACGGGGGAAGACGGTTAACTCCCAGGACGGGGAAACATACTATGGCATTACCAGTGGCATATCTTTTTGTATTTCTTAAGTAGCTTTTTGTTTTTAAGATGGGACTGGGTTTCAAGAGTTGAGGTCCGTTCTCGAGTCCTTGTCTCTTCGCCTTTGGACCGAGACGACGGCGAGTGTCCTCGACCAGGTTCTTGTTCTTCCTTTTCACCATTTGTACAAATGAAACATGAACAATATGATTGTGGGCGTGTCCCCGTCCACCTGACCCCACCCCGTTGGTCGCTGCAGATCGTTGAGGACGAGGCCAAAAAGGAGCTCATGGAGGAGAAGAAGGTAGAGGATGCGGAGGACTGGGTGAACACGGACGACGAAAACGACGAGGCCGCCTATGAGGCCTGGAAGCTCCGGGAGCTGAGGAGGATCAAGCGGGACAAGGACGAGAAGGAGCAGTTGAGTGGACCCTCTCCCCATCCCCTGTACCCACCCTATAGCTGAATCGACCTTTCTCGAGTAAAGAGCGCCGTCCGGGGGGCTGTCTGAGAACTACGAGCGAAGGGCAGCCCAACGTTCTTTCACCCATCGGAACACGTTGGCATTGTGCCAATGCATCAGTTTTCATTCCTTTTTATGTTCCATACTACCGGTGCTGAAAAATTATTGTTGAAAAAGATGAAATAGGCACAAAGACAGGTGCTGACATTGTGAAAATGGCGACAGAGGGAAGCAAGGGCCAAGGGAGAGGCGTGTACGCATGCATTGAGGCTTACCGGAAAAGGTTCATAATACCCGAGCACAAAGGAGCATGCTGCGTGTGTGCTTACACGGGCTGCCATAGGCTGCGGTAACTGGTGTATTTCGCATCTTTTATATAGACGAGGAGAGCACGTGTAGTGTGTGTACCCACGATACGTCGCGGCATTCTCCTTGGTGCTCCGGTAATCTGGAAAGAGGTCTGTTGGTGGTGTAGTTGAGGGATCCTGGGCCTCCATTTTTTTATTTGCTCGTGCTATTGCTACTACTCCAGTGTTGCGCGTTGTTGGCAATCGGCATCTGGGGTAGTTAGCTGATCCGACCAGCTCGAGGCTCCAATGGATGGCCACAGTTTCTAGATTGAGACCCTCTGTCCTTGCTGGTCTTTGCAGAGGCTCGTCCCACGCTCTGTTTCCCGTTTCTACTCGACTGCAGCAAACGCTACAATCCAGATCTGTAGACAAAACGTGTAACTACGCTTTCCGTGCGTCGCTGCACCTCCTCTCAAAGGTCACGCAACGCTCCTGCAGCATTGGATTGGCTCGGATGGCTTATGGCATCTGCCGCGCTCAATCGTAAGGTGAAACGAAGTGTCGCTTGCAAGTTGTGTGTATATGCAATCAGTCCCACTCTGTTTTACGTGGGTTGGGGCTTCTTTGCTGGCCGAGTCGCTCACAGACTTCGCGGGTTACGTTTGGCCTTTTGGGGGTCTTCTTGCTCGGTTAAAAGAGTTCCCTTTTCTTCTTCATATCTTTGCTTCGTCAACTTATCGTGCTGTTTTTCAGCGTCCTCTGGGAATATTTGGGCATTTCCTCCTTAGTGAGGCCATATCTCCAAGCTTTGCCACCCGTTTAGGGCGGGCGCCTTGTCCCATTTGGCTCTGCCACTGCCTCGTCATCGGCTTCGCCAAGGGAATTCCGTTGCCTCCACTCGAGCTCTGCCCACACGCCGGCCGGGTAGCGTGGGAAGATTCGCCTTGCCGGGTTCACGGTCTAGTGAATGCTGGGACGGATGCAAACTTGGCTTGTTTTATATGCAGCCACCTTTCGAAACTCACAATGTTAACAACCAGCGAACTGTGCCAAGGTACACAAATGGTACATGGAGCCACACCTTAGAAGGTGGTTGCAAATTCGTCAGTTACGAGCGTAAAAAAAAGGGTCTCGTTCATCTTCGGAGAAAATCCCTATTGGAAGAGGTAGGCTCTTCCGTGTGAATGAGTTCTGGGGTTCAGGGTGTGGAGAGTGCCATGTCCAACTATAAACTACAGGGTGCAGATGCTTCGGTACAAAGTACCTACTCTATTGAACTTTTTAGACCAACAAGGTGTTCACATTGAGCTTACAAACAGAGGCGTTGTAACATTTTTTTCTCTAACCACGTAGTATGTCTCGAATATAATTCATTCCTGTTGAAATATCTTGTTATTTTTTTCTGCCTGCCAAGCTGGCAAATGGAGGGTGCAGGGGCCCCGTCCCCTTACCCCCTTATGTACCCTGGATGTAAAATAAATTGAAATTGAATCGAATTAAATCCCCCACCCTGTTGGCTGCCTTTTCAGGTACGAGCGCGAGCGAATGGAGGTGGAGCGCATGCACAGCATGACGGAGGAGGAGCGGCGTGCCGAGCTGCGTGCCAACCCCCGGGTGGTGACAAACAAGGCCTCCAAGGGGAAGTACAAGTTCCTGCAGAAGTACTACCACCGGGGCGCCTTCTTCCTGGTGAGTGCCTTTCTTCCCAAAGCGTGGGCGGCTCTCCGACGCAGGCGCCCGTTTCCCACCCCAGCAGGAGCAAGAGGACAACGTCTACAAGCGGGACTTCTCCGCCCCAACCCTGGAGGACCACTTCGACAAGACCATCCTACCCAAAGTGATGCAGGTGAGCCGCTGAGCGTCTGCCCGGCACCGTGTGCGCGGGCATGGCAAAACCGGCTCGAACATTTTTGCGGGCAGGTTTTGCCACGACTCCTTGCGTTCCACCGCGATTGTTTTTTTAAGCGGCACCAATGCGCAAGTAGTGCTTTCAGTTCCAATGCAAACTGAAAAGATTTTGTAGCATTTGCGAGATGAAATCTATGCACTATCGATGAGATATAGTTGCTTGTAACATTGGCAGAATTATTTGGAACCCACGGTGAAAGAATTTAATAGAAATTGAAAAACTGGAAGTGTTTCAGAGCTACGTGATAGGGGGCGCCAGCATGTTCTCCGTCATAAGCAATTACAAGAGGTTGAGCACAGTGGATCTCAACGCAAGTGCTTGGACTAGCCTCTCGAGTTGACTGCGTCCATAGCAACCAAAGTTACAGCAAAGACTGGAAGAAGCGTGGCTCGCGATTGGTTCACAAAATTACGTCCTACGCTGCTTCTCCCGTTATGTGCGGCAGATACTTGTTCTGTGGTCATTTTGGTCACTCCTAGCGCAACGGCACTTCCGGTTTGGAGCCGGTATGTCTGTCCCACCTCCGTGGGCGCAACTGTCCGGGGTCGAAGTGTGGACAGACACGGACCACGGCCGCACGCTCAGACCTCTTGAGCCGTGTCCATTCTGGTTTGATAGAGTCTCCGTGAGTTGCAACGGGAGTCGGGAGTGCGACTTGAACAAGTTCCAGAGTGGCAACTTGGATGTGCACATTGTTCCCATTCAGCCTCACTGGAGGTCGGAACTGTGACGAGGGCTTTTCCAGATGAAAGTGCCGCTCCACACGTCAGGTCTGTCGACGTTCTGGAGTTGCGGAGACCTCGTCAAGATTCGAATAAATGACTCTTGTTCGTTTCTTAGGCTGGTTGCCATTGGTAGGTGGATTCCTAATGTATCAGGTTTCGAGGCGGAAGTTCCGGGAAGAACTGGGAGTTTTCCCGCTAATGTCAGATATCTTCCCAGTTTTATCTCGCATTGATACCACAAACTCGGATTTCTGGAATCAATTCAGAATTTTGCGCGTAGTTTGTGTATGGCCGGTCGCACTTATGTGAGCCTTATTAGGGCATCTCTTCCGACCCCTTTGTAAGGTCAGAATTAACTTGGCACTTATACCGCATTTGAAGAGTTATTTGGCGTCTTAGACAAGTCGTTTCCACCGCAAATGTCGGCCGCAAGTAGGTTTCACCCGAGAGGCCCTTCGGCCACGGCTGCGAGGTGCCATTCATGGGGCCTTCCCACACGACTAAGGTGCCTGAACCCATCTCCGACTTGTGTGTTTAGCGTCCTATTCCGCCCATGCATCAAAAGTGCCCTCTTAATGACAAGAAATGACGTCAGGAAACATGGAGTGTCGTGCTGTCAAATATTGGGATTTCGGCAGCTGGGCTCGCAAATACTGGGACGAAGCATTAGGAAACATGAGTGTCGCCGTAGTGACGGCGTCCTAACTTGAAGCTTCCATGGACTGCCAAGCTGGAGAGCAGCCTGTGTGGCAGACGTGTGTAGCAGACGGAAAATAGGCGTCTGCCTCACCCACCACCGCTGCTGCGACACTGCCGGGATCATGGATGCAACAGCATGACACTTGTGTGACGCTATGGGGGGGGATATGAAGGGACCTGGATGCGGTAAACCTACAAGTCGGAGATGCGTTGCAGGGACCGGAGCGCGACCAAGCCGCACGGGACTGATGCCCTCCCCTCCTCGCGCAGGTGAAGAACTTTGGCCGCTCTGGGCGCACCAAGTACACCCACCTGGTGGACCAGGACACGACACTGTTCGACTCTCCCTGGATGTCCGAAACGGCCCAGAACCTCAAGTTTCACGCCAACCAGGCCGGCGGCATGAAGCAGGTTTTCGACCGACCCACAGCCAAGAAGCGCAAGACTGCCCCCACTTGAAAACTCTCTTTGCTCCCCCCTGTACATACCCGGAGCAAATAAACACCCCCCCCCCCCGTTCCACCGAGCACTCTTCCCGACGTCGGTTCGTCCGAACGAAGGGGTAAACCGGGGTGCACGTGCTTGCTCTAGGTTCAAACCCAACACCTTAACACGGTGTTGTGTTTGCCCCCTTTTTCGTGTTTCCTTGTCTCCGGGGTTTTTCAGTATGATCACTCATCAGCCCCCCTGCGCAATCTCCCTTTTCTTTGTTGTTCTTGCTGCGGTACTTGCTCCAAGTCTTTGTGCAACCACTGCACGAAGCCACGGCTTTTTAGCTGCAGCTTTCCGGCTGTATAACTTTGGTATTGTATGCTGAAGCATACCTAATGTTTGCAGGTAGTGAAAGCATGCATGTGAGGTGGTTAGGGAACGTGATGAACTGAACCCCGAGACTCGGAGAAATAGAATGTGCGCTTTGCAATAATTTATTTTTTGTTTTCCTGAGGTTTAATTTATGATAAGTTTTTCTCATGGCTTAGGATTGAAAGCAAAGGCAATCCTTGCGGAGCTGCTTGCATCTCGGAAATTGTGCCCAGTGCTGTGCACTGCAGAAATCCCGCAGAAGGGGCCCGGGAACTAAGACGTGCGAAGGAACAATCGGGAAGCGTGCGGTTAAATTTGAGAATATTTGCACAGGCATAGCCGAATCGATAGCATGTTTGGCTCTTTTCCGAGGGGCCAGGGTTCGTTTTTTGACAGCGGTACTAGCTGCATTTTTACTTCATAAGTGTTCTGAGTATGTTCTTGTAGCATTTGCTGACTTATGTGCTCTACTGCCAAGGGCATATAAAAGGGAGAAATTTTTTCGCTCGTTTCTGTGCAGGAAGTTTGTTGACCCCAGTGGGTGTCTGGTGTCTCCACTGTAGACGAGTAAGTTAGACGCAGTGGTGATGCACGACTGCACATCTGTCCGATGCTCCTTTAGATCAAAACGGGCAGGGGTGGGTATTGAACTGAGGGTCCTTGGATTCTGCAACATGAGTTTTCGCTCCACAAGCTGCAAGTTGGGCTGCGTTAGCACGCTCGACCACCGATACCCCGAGTCTAGATGGCTATAAGCTGGGAGTCTGAGGATGTCGGGTACCTTTATTCGTGGTTGTAGTGCAAGTTTCTCTTAATGAGCATTTCTGTGGCTTCCACTACTAGTGTCTGTTCATTACAATATATTTATTGTGGAGGTCTCTTTGGCGCTTGTCGTGAGCAGAATTCCACTCGGCCTTTCGAAAGAGTTTGTCATTTAAACTTTTTAGCTTTCCTGCAATAGCCTTTTTGAGCATCTCTTCACTTAAGTTTCTCAGATGTTTTTGGACCTTGATTGCAATTAGTAAATAGGTTACATAAGGAGCCAGCAGATGGCTCGCCAGGAAACAGAATGATTTGTTTGGTCGTCTCGGGGAGTGCCAATGAGCAGTTTCTGGTTTGCAGTTTTATCCGACGGTGTATCAAACTCGTTCTTGGTCACCTGCTCAAAGTATTCTTGGGAATGTAGCTGCCATTTCTGCCAAGTGAACTCCCCTACTTGAATCTCGGACAAAAGCTTACCTAATTCCTATTGTAATAACATTTACACTAAAATCCGAGCCTGAGGAAAGAAAAAAAGGCTGCACATACAATAATGCTCGTTTTAAAATCGCAATTAAAAATGTTCTTGATTCACGTCCGACATGACTCGGTAATTTTGTTTTTATTTATGCTTTATGTGTGGTTCCTATGTTTGAGTAGAGTTACAGTTTCTCTCGTTCTCGGATGTTTCAATACGGAGGCCGAATCAAAGCTAACATACCCACGAAATTTGTTCGCTCCAAGGGTGATTGTTCGGTAGCTCTCTTTTCGTTGCCGAGGGCTGTACGTATTATATATGGGACAAGATTCCTGTGCTCTTGCACTGTAGGCTAAAAACCAAAACATTCAATGCTTGCCCCGCCACTAACACCATCACCAGGCACATTGCATATGGATTGTGAACCTGTCCCAGAACGAAAGAACCAGACGAGGCGTTGTCAGTTCTCGGAGAGTTCTGTCGGGAATTAGCTTAGCCAGGGGCTCCGGAACCGAGGGGGGAAGGGGATGGGCAGTGCAGTGGGGGCAGTCGCCCCCACGCTCAAAGCTGTCCCCCTTCCCTCCCTCTTTTCCCCTCCCACCACCCGTGGGTTCAAGCGACGAGGCACCACAGGCCAATATATATAAAGAAAGAGACAGGTTAACTACACGACGCAACATGAGCCCCCAGACATCGCTCTCACACATCAGATATACAGGGTGTCACAAAAGAAAATTTACACGGTCTTTTTTACCGCAAAAATAAACTAGGCATCGCCGAACGCTCATTCACCTCCCAAAGGTAGAGCTAGAGGTCACAACCAGATGCCAAAGTTTCAGCCCGATCCGATAACTTAATCAAAAGTTATACGTGGTTTTCTGAAAATTTCAATGGGAAAATGGCGACCGACGGAGTTTTCAAACACATGGGGCTCTATGGCGCCAGAAACCGAAAACGGGCAAAAATGGGCTCCGTTTTCCCATTGAACTTTTCAGAAAATCACTTATAACTTTTGATTAAGTTATCGGATCGGGCTGAAACTTTGGCATCTGGTTGTGACCTCTAGCTCTACCTTTGGGAGGAGAATGAGCGTTCGGCGATGCCTAGTTTATTTTTGCGGTAAAAAAGACCGTGTAAATTTTCTTTTGTGACACCCTGTACTTCCGGAGCCCCTGAGCGTAGCTGTATTCTGTGCAGAGCAACCGTGGGCCTGATGGCCTGAACGAGCCTGACGTAGATGGCACGCGCGATGACAGATGGCTCGCACGTGTATTTTCCTCTCTCCCGAAGCAGCTCAAGGTTACGAGCCCTCCGTTCTGCCGCTGCCTGGTGCGCTTTACACAGCAGTAAAAAGAAAGAAACTAACGCAGACGTCACTATTGTTCGCACTTGGGTGTCAGCTTGTACTAGGAGAACGTCGAGAAAAAAATAAAAGAACCGCCTTTTTTTTCCTCGTAATTCTATACAGCTTTAACAACGTCATGTCCCTCAGTTCTAGTTGGTATCGTCTCCATCCTACTTACGCGACGTGGAACGAATATGACGTCAGGGTTTCTTTCTCCCTCCCCAGGGCGTGAAAACACGGGGTACTGTGAAACAAGAACGCATAGCACATAAAAGTGATATTGCTATAAAAAAAAAAAAAAGAAGACACACACACACACAAAAAAAAAAAGACGTCTTTAATTTGCGCATTGGAGTGCAAGGAAGAGGGCGCCCAACGTAATGGAGAGGCAGCCAAGGGCAAAGCCCGCATCTGGGTTTGATCTGCAGGACCCTAATCTGGACATTTAGCGGAAACGTGGGCGAAGAATTCCAGCGCCGTGATTCGTCGGTGCCAAGGTCAAGGGCGGCACCGGCCAATCGCGGCCACCAAATTTCTCGCCGACTTTTTTTTTTTTTTTTTTGTTAAGTGGTTAGGGGGCTATAATCTGGACACTTGGCGAAAGGGTCGGCGGGAAATCTGGCGGCCTTGCTTGGGCAAAGCAGCACTTGGCCTTGACTTCGGTCAATCATAAGCCGCCCGATTTCTCGCCGACGTTTTCGCAAAGTGTGCAGATTAGGGCCTTAGGGCCCCAGGGTGAACATAAGCACATGCCGTTGGATCTAGATTTCAATAGCACTAAGCACACTGCCGCTCATTAAAAAAAAAAAAAAAAAAAAAAAAAATTTTGGGGTGGCAAAGTTATGGTGAGCGCGTTGGTGATGATTAAATTATCTAAAAGAATAAACAAAAAGACGGACGAGACGAGACATCTTTCATCAAGATGTCTCGTCTTGTCCGTCTTTTTGTTTATTCTTTCTGAAAATTTAATTATCACCAACGCGCTCACCATAACTTTAGCCGTAATTTTAGAGAGCTTTTGTATGTCACGTCCACAAAAAATACGTTTTTTTTTCTTTTTTGTTTCAGAGCGAGTGGCTAGGAGAAATGTAGCGGTGCTGGTTCCATCGGCGCGATTCATTATTTCATTATTGCGGTATTTTGACGCCACTAATCACCGATCCTCCCCGTGGATCAGAGTACAACTTGGAACCGGTCATGACAACAGGGCCGTTTTCTTGCTGCTCTTTTGACAGGAAAGTTACGCAGGGCTGCTACGGTTCATTTGAACTGTGATTTACGGCCTGTCCGCCCTGCTTATTTATACACGGCGACTCTTGGGCACACAAGGAAAACGTCGAATAAATTCTTTTTGTCCTTGTCTTCTTTCTCGCTGGCCTTGGGACGCCCTCTGAGTTTGTTTCCCAGATAAAAGTTGTCGGCGGCGGAAGAGAAATGCTCTCAAACTCGCTTTTGCGCTGAGGCACGCAAGAAGAGCCCGTACAGTGGAACCCGGGACAGGCCGTCAACATTTTGTACAGTTCATCCGCTCCCATGGAAACCGATGTGAGTTCCGGACCTAATCGTCCCTTCAAACAATACTCGAAGCGTTACAAGATAGTTGAACCGACAACATTATTTATTTGCGCTATCGTCTTCTTAGAGGGTTTATTTTGAGCGAACGACATATCGCAGAGAGGTTCCTAGGAAACGTTGGGAGAAGGAGCGAATGATAGCAGACGACGTGGATTCCGAAACTGATTAGAGTCATCGATCCACATAAAATAGTCTGGCTAACACATATTTTACGTTTTTGTGAAAAGTTAATGTGATAAAACTAAGAAAAATAATCAGTTAAATCTATGACTTTGTATCAAACTGAATGAAACTAAATGGCGAGTCTAAAACAAGAGCCAGCTTAATCCGAATCCAAGTCCAATGACCTACACATCCGGTTCACTTCTTCCGTTTCATACGTGTATAGTGGCAAAGTTAAAAGGGACAAGCCGGAGGAATGCCCGAGTCGGTGTCGCGGAATTTCCTGGCTTCTAAATTGTGTCCACTGACAGCACCGGCTCCTCGCCATTGACATTGGTAAATGCTCGAACGGCCAAGGTAAGGAGCACGCTGGGGCCGTGAGCCCATCGCTGGCGTCCGGCGCACCAGCGCGGACCGTCGGCACGCCGGAGTACGGTGCGCCCCAACGAGAAAGAAAGCTGTCGTGCGCGTCCTCTCGCCGAGCGGGGCGACACGTCGTCTCGCGTCGTCGTCGGACCGTGTGCCCCGCAGCGTGACCGGTCATTAACTCTGCCCGGGGCTGCTCGCGCGCGACACCGGCCACGGCATCGGCCGACGCGAGCGATGCTGGCAGAGAGCTGGCACCGAGGGCCCCGACGAAACGCCGCTTTTTTTGGGCGCGCCGAGAACAACGGCCAGGTTTTCCCGTCCTTGAACTTGCTAGGTCACGGGCCTGGCGAGCTGTCACGTTTCCGCCCTAACCTAAATAGCGGCTCTCGTTTTTCCTCCTGGATTTTTTTTTTTGTTTTGTTTTGTTCCCCCAGGCCTTTGTTGCGACCGGTTCAATTTGTCGATGGTTTGATCGGCTGCGGGCGAGCACGCGACGGGGAATAAAGTACCCGAACATATTCGGTCGGTTGAAAGCTTAGGGTCGCCCGCTGTCCTGACGCCTTTCTTGCGCTTTTGACGTCAAGCGCTGTCACGCCTTGACGACCGCCTTGACGGGCCTTGTGCGCGCCGCTGTCCTTTGCGATCCCCGTGGAAGCAAAACATCCGCGATCGCAAGCTCGTCGAACCATGACTATTGTATTCACGATTGCAGCATCTATTACGATGCGAGCAGGGTCCGCTTCGAGACGATTTCACTCGCTGGTTCGGGAGAGAATCGTTTGGCATGGGGCGCCCGCCACCTTTTACAGAGTCATAATTCGCGCGAGACCAATTTAGCTGTTTCACTCGAACGTTTTTGACCCGAGAGAACTCCGCGGAGAGAGGTCAGTGGTTCGCAACATCGGGCCAACACCACTGATTGCTCAGAGATGAGGGTATTGTTGCTCTTGCCTGTATGTGTTACGGCTCAGTGCCACAGAAAGGCGAGTGGTTCATTAAGGTATAACACCTTCGCCTCAGCGCTTGATGAGATTTTGTCTTCAGCCACAGATGTCGGTAGTGCATAACGTGACCAAGGACTTTGCCATGCTGCAGACGTGCCATTGTCCGGGGCCCCACTCCACGGACAATTTTCTTTCTTCCTTACCGGCGGTCTGCGTCGGTCGTCTTTCCCGGCCTCTGGCCGTAGCTGCCGAGCGCCTTTAAGCCACGGTCACTCTGCTCATACATTGTACAAAAGGCAGTCGGTATTTGTTCTTTGGATGACGGTCCTCTCGCACAGGCCATGCCGTCTGCAAACACAGAAATGTACGAGCCACACTTGCTTGTAATCTGCTTGAGGCGTGTCCTCAGATACCTCTGTTGTCACATCTGCAACGAATGCCGTGTCTTTTGTACCATGTATGTGCAGTGTGACTGCTGCTTTACGCTCGGCCGCAATCCAAGATCTTAGCCAGTCTCGCGGATTGCACCTTGATGCCCAGTCGGGCGTGGCCGTCCCCGGATCAACACGTGGTTGCGCGAGCGTCTTCCAGACGTTACACCCGGCGTGGCCCCCTTGCAGACGATGCCGAGTTTCAAGACGACCGAGGTGCGCGACCGCTGGCCCGAGGATGTTGGGGTGCTGGCCATGGAGCTGTACTTCCCCTTCCTCTACGTGGACCAGACTGAGCTGGAGGTCTTCGACGGTGTCTCTACGGGAAAGTACACCATTGGGCTGGGCCAGGCCCGCATGGGCTTCTGCTCGGACCGAGAGGACACCCACTCGCTCTGCCTGACGGTGACGAGCCGCCTGCTGGAGCGCACGGGGGTGGGCCTGGACCGCATCGGTCGCCTGGAAGTGGGCACCGAGACCCTCCTGGACAAGTCTAAGAGCGTCAAGACGGTGCTCATGCAGCTCTTCGAGGAGAGCGGCAACACGGACATTGAGGGGGTGGACACCACGAACGCCTGCTATGGCGGCACGGCGGCACTGTTCAACGCCGCCGCCTGGGTCGAGTCCAGTGCCTGGGATGGTGAGTCGTGTTCGCTTGCAGATTGCTCGCCCTGGAGGCGCCCCCGGTCGATCGGCGCTACCTTTGCGCCTTTGTTTGCGAGAGCCAAGATGGCCGATCCGAGCTTCCCACATTTTCTCTAGCTGCGAAGGTTGCATTCTCCAACGAGCGCGACTTTGTGGCAGAGGTGCCTCGTGGAGTCACGGAACTGAGCCCATGGTTTTCGTTGCGAGGACGAGCCAGGCATGATTGTGACGCAGTTAAGAAGAGCCGATTACGAAAGTTAGTAGAGCTGTAGTCGGTGTCAGGTTAACTGTCCAGGGCAAGCTCCTCCGACCTCTTTCCCTTTTAGCAGAGCAAACGCTGGATAGGAGGTGACCCTTTTGAGGTGTGCTAAAAGTAACATTTTCACCTAGTAGCCTCGCAGATTTTATATTGTTGCAGAAACTTCTGTGAAACAACGAGGCTTTCTTTTTATGCACTCCCGAGCATGTCCCAACTTACATGGGAAAGGGCGAATTGTATGTGCGATGCCCTTTGCAATGTTTTTTGCGATGTGCGAGGGTTTGCAGTGGGCTTGCCACATGTGCGTTTCAGGACGCTACGCCCTGGTGGTGGCGGCGGACATTGCGGCGTACGCGATTGGACCGGCGAGACCTACGGGTGGTGCCGGGGCGGTGGCCATGTTGGTGGGCCCCAACGCAGCCCTCATCCTCGAACAAGGTGAGAACGCGGCGAGGGACTCTCGTGCATTCGTATCTCCGCTTGGAGCTCGACGTGCCGTGAGAATGAGCGGTGGGCGTCACGAGACGTGTCGCCGACGTATAGGAGACCAAAGTCCCTCTTCGGACGTAGCACACATTGCCCGGTGTGTGCAGGAGTGCGTGCGTCGCACATGTGCCACGTGTACGACTTCTACAAGCCGGACCTGCACACGGAGTACCCCCGGGTGGACGGCAAGCTGTCCGTGGAGTGCTACAGCCGCGCTCTGGACAAGTGCTACGCGGGCTTCTGCAGGAAGGCACGCGTGGCCTACGCCAAAGGTGAGCCCTGCCCCGAGGACCTTTCGTTCATTTATTTATTTCTTTGCCCTCAAGCTACAAAGTACATTACACAAAGAAATAAACTCACGAGAAAAGATGGCAATTAAATCGGCTATAGATGACGTTAGTAAGAGCTCGTTAAAAAACAAAAAAACAGCATCACTAATCGCAGCAATTGGGAAGGGAAGGTGGTTTCAGTCAAGTGATGTTTGAGGTATAAGTGAAATGTTGAATGTGTGAGTGTTATTGTTTGGTATGGCCAACCCTATAAATATGATCGAGACGAACTGAGTGGTAAGATGGTTCAAGGATGATATTCTGGCGGAGGAATGGGTTATGATAATAAAGCTTGTGGAAGTCATATCATGTGGCCCCTTCCGTCGTGCGTCTCCGTGGCTGACTTTCGGGCCTCGCGTTGAAATGTCAAATACGATTCTATTTGCCAGGAATAATTAGGAGAACATTCGAATACAATTCAATTTGAGCTTTTAAAAAACGAAAGTGGAGAAAATTTGTAGAATTTATTTTACGGCATCCCAAATCCTTTTGAGGTATTTAGCACTCAAAGTAGAGAGAAGAACAAATACCTCAATATGTTATAGACTACCAACTAGCTTAAATGTCAACTTTACTACAGTTATCCCCACACCTTCTAACCAAAATTCGCTTGTCGACTGTACCGGCCACGCTATCGTCCAAACTCTCAGAACAGCTGACCGCGGGACTCCATGTTGCGGCAGTTGTGCTGTGCCGCTTGGGTGAAGCTTTTCTGCTTTGCACTAGCGGTCTCGTGTCGAGCTTCACCGCTTCGTGAGTGCTCTCACTTTGTGCTTCACTAGAGCTGTAATGTCGAGCCTAACCGTTTTTTTTTCTGCGTCGGAGTGCTCAAAGAAGCGGTTGATCTGGAAGAGCATGTCGGTTAGCTCTATGGCTTCGGAAATTTTGTTTGCTGTTGTAGGTCAACTTTGCATAAATACCAATACAGTTTGCCCCTAATTTAAAAAAAGAGTGGAAAAACAAAGCCCGACCTGTATTCAAATACATGCATATAGTACAACATCCTCTTTTCTTGTCTGGCTCACTTAGCTTTGCTACTAACAGCTTCCTCTCGGCCTTTTACCTTCTTGGCGGCTTGGGTACCTTGCCAAGTTCGGTCGGTTGTGCATGGATACTTGGGGCTTGGTTTATTCGATTTGTAGTCATGACATTTACATATAGATACCTGGATGCTTTGGACTGGCCACCATATCACCTCCACTTTGATTCTACTTCGGGCACTCCCAGAAAGTTAATGGAGTGCTTCTGAGACGGTGGGCATGCATCGAACCTAGTCTGGCGATGGATGGTCCTTTAGTTGTCACAATGTGCATAGTATTCCGACGTCTGGTGTGCTCGTCAAATTTCACCCATCATGTTTTGTCTCGCACTGACTGACAGAAGTGTGCACTCCTAGGTATCGATGTGTAACATTTCAAGTGCACCTTAATTGAGGAGGTGACAAAACAGTGAGGAGAAGGGTGGCCTAGAGGCATTGAGAAACCTGCCCAGGTGCTAGCCTTGTAACGGACCCGGTACGTCGGAACGAAGACGACGCTCACATTTGCTTGTCTTTGCCCGCGCGCCTATTGTGTATTTTGAGTAACAAGTGCCATCTGGGGGGTTGTCTGCGAACTACAAATGAAGTGCAGCCCAACCTTATCCCAACATTCTTTCATCCGTCAGAACAAATTGGCATCCGTCAGAGGGTCACGTGACCCCCTGAGGTCACGTGACCCTCGTGAGGCGACGCCGCTCGGAGTAGCAGACAGGATGAGGAGGTGAGGAGGAGGGAAGAAGAATATACTTTCCCTCCTCCTCCTCCTTAAGAGCTGCGCTGTAATTTGGCGTTACAGGGAGTTGTAAATGGCTTTCATTTTTTGTTGCTTTTGATGCCCCATAATACAAATACTCAAAAATGACTCCTCGAGAGACGAAATACGCTAAAAGATAACTGCTGACAATGTTTTGTCGTGCGGAACGGTGCCCTCCGAAAATGGCGCGGGAAGCAAAGGCCAGGGAGAAGGTGTACGCACGCGCGGAAATGTACTGGAAAAAGGACCATTGAGATTGCAGCAACCGACGGCGCGCCGGGTCTTGCATCACGTTTCATTGCCCAATGGAAGGCACTCTGCCACAGGTTGCGGTGACAAACACCAGACTCGCCGGTAGGAGATGCGTCGCGGTCATTGGGGGTGCGAGCCGGTGAGGAGGGTGTCTTGTTTCCTGCGCAGAGCGCGGTGACCGCCCGGTGACTCTGGAGGACCTGGACGCCATGCTGTTCCACGCCCCGTACGGAAAGCTGGTGCAGAAGAGCCTGGCCCGGCTGGTGCTCAACGACTTCCTCAGGGACCCCGCACAGCACCCGGCCCTGGCTGCTTTTGGGTGAGCGCCCGTCTACAGCCCAAGACTACCTCTAGAGCCAAAGCATGTGGTAGCCTTAGCTGCCGGAGTAGCGACACGAAGCTAGAAGACCTAGACGCACAACGTCGGGAGTGCTACTAGGGATCCCCATTTTTGAACCTGGAGGTTACTGTGGTAACTGAGCTGCTAATGGTGCCCGGCAGCCCCTTTCTCAGCAGGGCTCGTGTGATCTCTCCCTCTGTTCATTGAAATGCAATGCGAGTAAAAGTTGCATAAATGCGTGGTTGGCATACCGGCATGGGTGTATCTGAAGGTTTGAGTGCCTCACTCACTGTTCGCGCTACTCGAGGAGCGAAAGAAGCACAAGGCGGGTTGTGAGCGGCACCCCATAGCATCTGAATACCACTTCGGCAATCACCGGCTTATTTCGGCTCTGCCGGTTCCTATGGAAACCTAACCAGCTAGGCCATTTTCTATTGCACTGTGGTAGACCAATCGTAGCGAGAGGTGGCACGTGAAAAAGCGTAGCGCTACTCTGGCAGCTAAAGCTGCCATAAACAGTGACTTTAGGCTCTTCGGCGGCCGTCTTGGAGGCAGCAGCGGAGGGAAGGCACTGCGCTTTTCTGACCGTGACTGGCCCCCGCAGCTCCCTGAAGCTGGAGGACACTATCCACGACCGGGAGGTGGAGCGAGCCTTCATGCAGCTGAGCCGCAAGACCTTCCAGCAGAAGACCGAGCCCAGCCTGCTGGTGTCCAACCAAGTGGGCAACATGTACACCCCGTCCCTGTACTCCTGCCTTGCCTCCTACATCGCCAGGTGGGCCCCGCGCTTCTCACGTGGGTCGACGTCCGGAGACCTGTTTCCGTTGGGGGCCGCTGCCACGCGTGGAACGTTGCCGCATTCGAGTCACGAGAAGGAATGCCTCCCGAGTATGGAGAGTGCCCATGCTGGCAACACAAACTTGCGTTGACTTCGCTTATCCGTAAACATAAGTTGCAGTAAGCCCATGCAGGCATCTGGGGTACTATTGACAAATTTGTTTCGTAAGTCGACTTTTTAACAGATAGTAGTTTTTTTTTTTCTTGCGCTCTCATGTTGTATTTGCTCGACAAACCTTTATCCTCACAAAAAACCGAGTACGTCGTAGGTCGGCAAGGAGGAGGAGGAGGTGCTACAGAAGTTACGAGTGAGCATTCACACAACGGAGTCACATCTGTTTAGTAGGCAGAGTCTTTTTCTTTGTAAATCTGTTTGCGACCTTCGGGGGCTCGTCGAACAGAGGGCAGGAAAAAAGAAAAAGAAAGGCACCCCACGGAGGAGCGGTCACTCCGACAGGACAGGGGACGTTCTGTAGGCCAGTTGCAGATCCTCTGTGGCTCCCTAAGGGTTCAAAGGGATTAGCAAACATCCGAGACTCGGTGCACGTGACCTCAAAACTCTACGACGTTTAACCCCCTCAGAGAAAAACTAAATCGTGCAAATACACCATTGGAGCCAATACGCATGGGCGAAAGCTGCAGTTTCTTTGCGTGCAGCACACTCGTAACAACATAGTCTAGGAACGAGGAAGAGTCGCAAGACCGACGGCGCTCTAACTTTGCTGCGGGAACCCCGCGCTCCAAAATCGTCGGGGGCCGACCTGCGTGGCGGTCCCCACAGATAGAAACCGAAGACCTTTCCGGTGCAGCTGCCCCGTGTCGGAGCTGGCCGGGCGCCGGGTGGGGCTCTTCTCGTACGGGTCGGGGATGGCGGCCACGCTGTTCAGCATGCGGGTGACGCGGGACCTGTCCCCGGAGTCGCCTCTGCTGGAGCTGCACGCCAGCCTCGCCGACCTGCCGGCCCGGCTGGCCCAGAGGCGCAAGGTGCCCCCTGCCGAATTCGCCCGCATGATGAAGCTGCGGGAGGACACGCACCACCTGGGTGAGTGGAGGGCGCGACACGGCCGCGCTGCCTGGAAATCGTCCCCGACTGGTGTGTTTAGCATCTAGTTATGCGTCTGCCACGTCTTGCTCCGCTGCTGTGGTGTTTCCTGGATTGCGACTGGCGACGACAGTTGTACGACGTTATCTGCGGGAGAGGGAGGGACCACTATATATATATATATATATATATATATAAATAAAAAACTTTCAGCCTTCTCACTTTGTGAAGAAGGAAGAGCGCGGAGCTGTAGCTTCTGTTCCCGGCAGTGGCTTTCCAGGCAAGTGATCTGCCGTTCTTTCGCAAGGAAATCTGAAGCGCTCGATGCAGTGGAACTTGAGACGATGGCAGCTTCGCGGCTGTTGCGGAACCATTCGCGCTGCTGCACACGTCGCCGCTCCTTCTCTTCTCTCTCTTCTTCCGAAGAAAGGGCATGCTGTCGACCCATCATGAGTCCAAACGGCAACTGATAAGAACATAGGAAACGGCGCGAAAAAAAAATGAGGATGAAAAAGGAAGTTATGGCCAACCGCAAGTCGGCAAGCCACAGTGGAAAGGTTGGAAAGGTTGCCGCGGTCGCTCATAGATGGCAGTAGCTGTCCAGAGTTTTATGTTGAGATTTATTTGCCCACGGACACGAAACTGGGGAAGCTAGCCCTTAACAGCTCCACTGTAAAAATCAACACACCAGTCGGAGACGTGTGCCAGGAACCGTAGAGAGGGTTTGTGCGAGCGCCCCGTGTCCCCCTGCAGTCCCGTACAGCCCCGTGGGGTCCCTGGACGAGCTGTTCCCGGGCACCTGGTACTTGACCCAGGTGGATGAGATGCACCGGAGGAGCTACAAGCGCCTCCCGCTCCTCGACACCAACGGCAGGGCCCCCAGGGCACCCTTCAAGGTGCGTCCTCTTCCCCTGCTTCCGACCTATGCTCTCGGGGGGAACGCATGCTGCAGTGGTGTGGCACAAGGGGGAAAGCAAATGAGGAAGTTCGGATACCTGCACCAGCTAGGGTAAAAAAAAAAAAAAAAAAAAACGGCAGCGTAGTGTTTGGTTTTCTGCTTCCTTCCGCTTCGCCCATTATCTCGCTTGCCACCGCACAGATTCGGTAGACGTTTTCGGTTCTCAAGTCGTGTTGTCCATTTCTTTTCCTGCTGGAAAATTTTAAGTAACTGACGTTTCTCATTTGAGCACGGTCGCCCAGATACCTTCTCTATTTTGGAGTCCTGAGCAAATTTTTTGGAGTACATTGTGATATTTTAATTTCTTTTTGTTGTTGATAAGCATTTCTTGTGGTAGTTGTTGCGTTGGTATAAAATGCAATCATGAATGCCCCCCTCCCAATATGTGCTTGGATAGTTGAAAAGACTGGCAAATGACGGCCGGTTTTAGCTATGGACCGTCAACTGGCCTGCCATCCAGAAAACCAGCCCTGCCGGTCAAAAACCGGGCAGGTGGCAACCCTAGCACCAGCCTTCACCAGTGCAGAAAGTGTAGTGTGGTGCATAAGAGTGAGGGGCTATGTACTTCCAGTTATGTTTTCAGATGGGCTGCACTCATAAATTGAATGGACCTTTTTCCAGTAAGCTTCCACAGATGTGCGCACCCTCTCCCCTGGCCTTGCTTCCCGCCGTCTCCATTTTTGGAGGCACCATCCCGTGCGACCAACATTGTCAGCGCCTATCTTTCTGCATATTTTGTCTTTTGTTGATTCTTTGTCTGGGTGTCGGTAGCGTGGGGCATAAAAATGAAAGCCATTTACAACTCCCTGTAACACCGGATTAGAGCGCAGCTCTTGAGAAGGAGGACGGAAGGGTACTGAGGGATAGGTGACTCCCTGAGGTAACGTGACCTCAGCGGGGGGGGGGGGGGGTGACCTCAGTGGGGGGGGGTGACGTGAGGGTAACTCTCATAACCATTGTGACCCTCGTGAAGGTAACCCTTTTGAGGGTAACTAACTCTCACAACACTCGTGAGAGTAATGCTCGTGACCCTCGTAAGGGTAATTCTCGTAAAGGGTAACCCTCGTGATCCTCGTAACCCTCGTGACGTCATTATGGGAAACTTTCCATAATGCAATGCGCGGTTATGCCGACGCCGCTGAAGCCGGAAACGGGCGCCTAAGAGCTGTGTTCTAAAAGCAATGAAAACCGCTACGACGGCACAATGTCAACGTATTTTGACGAGCGGAGTCCTGTTGGGCTGCCCTTTGGTTGTAGTTTTGGGACCAACTGCCACGCGGCGCACGTTACTCGAAAAAGGTCCATTGGCAGTGTACACAGAGTGCCACTGCTGCAGGTATTTTGAATGAGCCCAGTTATTGTAAACGCAGCCCATGCCGGGACGGGCTGTGTTTCTGGGCTCTCAAGTTTTCTGGCCTCGTCTCTCGCCGCACTCGAATATTGCGTTCTCGCTCGATTTAGTGACCCGACTGTGCGCTACTTTGTCGGTCCTGTTGTTCGAGGCATCTTCGCGGGTATATGGCGAGCGAGTAAGCGTCTCCGTGTACTACAGGAAGCGCGAACAAAGTTAGAGGGATCGACCGAGCCCCACCTCGGCGTAGTAGTTAAAAGGGCACTGACACCCCAAAGGTCTTTTTTTTTTATTGTCTAAAACGATGCAAGTTGCAGTCATAGACACGCAAAAAAAAAAACGCAGTGCGAAAGAAAATTTTCCGCACACGCGCGCCTTTTTATTTTTGGCGTTTGATTCTCCCGCCTCTCGCCCCCTTGCTTCTTTTGATTCGTGACGTCAAGAATCATGAAATTTAGAAGCTTTGTAGGTGATATTTTAATAACATTTAATAATGGCAATCATAAAACACATTTTTTAACGCAATTGCGAATGCACTACGGCCCTTCTTTTTGAAATACCAAAAATCGGAGTCCATTGTGGTGCCGTCTCCTGGATCTGTATCCTCCCACGGAAAACAGGCGACACCGCTCAAAGCCGGTCTGCCGTCGCTTGCTCCTTTCCTCCTCGCTCTGGGTCGCCATAGCAACAGCAGGGAGTCGGGAAAGAAAGTGGACTCTCAGGACTCCGTAATATTTGACGTCAACGCGCCGGCGCGGATTGCGCGTGAACTTCGAATTCGGCATTTGGAAATTTTTTTTTTACTTCACAAATACTGAATTCCCAAATTTTGAATTTTGAGGGTAATGTCTCGGCATCGTTTTATATCGTTTCGGATAATAAAAAAATTATAATTTTGATGTGTCAGTGCCCCTTTAAAGGACATCTTGGCCGCAAGGTCCTTATTTGTTGTAGCACCCTTGGGAGTTGTTAGTCGACAGAAATGACCAACCTCGTGAGGTATTTCCCCCTTCTCGAAGTCCTCGTTGGTTAAAAAACGGTCTCAGAAACGGCAGCCATAGCTACCAACTACAGTCGCAGACAGAGTGCAAACGTCAGGGAGGAGCTTGGGTTGACCAGTGCGAGGTTCCCTTTTTGACAATGTCTCACACGTGCACGTGCAGTCGAAGTACGCCGGAAGGCAGCGAGCACGTGCAGTAAGCCGGGCGTTCAAACGGACGCCCTGCCTTTCTCACTTTTTCTGTGACTTTGGGAGACGTCTCCACATTGGTCTACTCACTGTATCCTCCAATTAGAGCCTGGCATGTCGCTATACTTTGTGCGCAAGGAGCGGACGGCCATGCGTGCTGTATTGCATTCCCACGCCCCAATCCCAGCCGCCTTTCCGCCCATTGCAGGAGGACGCCGCCACCAACGGACAGCCGGTCGGTGCATCAGAGTCCGAGGCTCACTGAACCTCGGCTTGAGTCCAAAGGTTCCCTTCCCTCGACGACGGCGGCCGCCTTGGATGTGCCCCCCCACGTTGTTCCGAAGGAGCTGAATGGGGACGTTCGGGCACCGGATCGGCATGCTTCCCAACGTGCAGCCGGCTCGGGCGTTGCGGCGGAAGTATTGCGTTTTCCGCAGGAAGGTGACGGCCTGGCTGCTTTGGCGGTGCAGTGTCTGCATTTCGAGAAGAGACTCTCGGCAATGTCCGAACTACTAACCGAATCTCGGAGCAGTGGGCCGTTGGCAGCCGGCACGCTTGGGGCGAAAGGAACGGCAGCTAGAGTCTTCCCCTTCTCCGCCAGGCCCCGACCTCACAGTGGCCGTCGAGCACTTCTGTGGGGACGCACGACGGGTCAACGCGTGTACATATGTTACCCAAAGAAGTTTGTTTATATAATATCTTTCGGACCGGGCGCAGATACGAACCCTTTGTCGGGCTGCATTGTCACCGGCGTAGCTGCCGCGAGAACGCGTGGGGACTGCTTCAGAGGTTTACGCTTTCGTAAGCTCCGGTCGAGCTGGCTCGAGTTCCTGAGGGTGCGCCTCTTCCAGTTTGTATCGCGCCCCTCGACGGAAGCCTGCTCGACCGGAACATGCAGCTAGCTGCACTACTATTGGAAAGTTTTATATCGCGTATAGTATTTATTTCTCACGCCGCGCAATCATGGTACTATGGTATGAGGGTTAGATTTTTTTTTTCTCGCGGGATTGCACTGTTTGTAAATCATCAAGATTTTTTTTTGGCATATGGCCAATCATTTTTTGTTTTTGTTTAGTTTTTTACTAAAACGATTCCTCAATAAACGAGTGTATGACTTTGCATGCCGGACATCGAGAATGGTTGTTTTTAGAAAGCTGGAAGGGTCGCGAAGTATCTCCTCTCTGAGTTGTTTGCCTGTAGACCAGCCTTGCAAGTTTTACACTTACAAATTGTGATGCAAAGCATGGATTATATGGTGAACTATTAAAGGTTATAACTACCTTCTTATAGAAGTCGTCTGCTGTGATTTATTTGGCACGGTGCACGGTGTCTTGAAAGCAGTTTTCTGCAGTCGGATGAATGCACTGGAACCTGCCAGTAGCTGCCTTTTGGGTCGAGGGTCGAGAACCCGTTGGAACCTGTGAACAGGATGTCGTCTTTTTGTGGTAGTGGAAGAGTACTTGGTGGCCTTAGTCGGCTATAGTACACGTGAATTCAAGTCAATCTATCCCTTTACTTTAATGGGGTGATCGGTGAAGTCCAAGGTCCGTAGGCAGGCTCAGTAGCGGCTGAGGGAGCGTTTTTGAGCAAGGTCATTTACGTGCGAGCATTTAGCTGGCAACACCCTGCAAGGTGGCTGCTGAGAGGGTGCAGTGCCACGGCTGGTTATGATGTGGTTTGTGACCTGCAGGCGAGCAGTAGCCTTGTACGGCGAAATAAGCGTAGAGGCCAGCCGAACGTGGAATTGGCGAGGAATCGGACATGGTTTCCTTGTGTGGAGCAGCTGTTGGTCGAACATCTGGACTTGCAACAGAACAGTGTTCTGCAGTGACCTTTTTGTTGGCAATTCCAGCTGGCTATACTTGGTGGACCGGACACAGACTGATTCATAGTTGTTTAACGTGGTGCCTCGTGAGCGACCTCCACTTACAGTCCATAAGCACGAGCAGCTCGAAGTGTGCGGGGATGAGAATGACTCCTATCTTGGATGTTCATGACTATAGTCGCGACAATGAAAGCCGCAGCACTGACGGCGTCCATGGTGTCTTCAGATCCGAAAAACGAGCATGCGAGACGTTCGGTGTCGTCTGTGGGCTGTAACTTGTGGTCGATGACGTATTTGGACGTGTAGGAAGCCCATCACCAAAATGCTGCTCTAACATGCGAACCAGCAAAGTATGAGTCGCGAGACTCTGGCTTCATGCGTGGCGCTGGAACAAGGGGGCAGGGGAGGCAATTGCCCCCTCTCAACATTTAACATTTCTAGTATACAATTTGTGGGAAGGGAATTTCCCTTTCTTGTTGCCCCCCCTTTTAAACACTTGAGACACCGCCGGCCACGAGGACATAGGTTGATTACGAGTGCCGATGCTTTCTGTTCTTGTCCAGCGATTAGTGTTGCCGAGAACCTCAAACTGTCATGTATATATGGTTGGGCTAAGCAACTTTGTTGTCAAATGATGACTGCAGCTCAAGATGTGGCGTAAACGGTGGAATGGTTGGTATTGGGGGGGGGGGGGGGGCTGCTGTCGCCTTTGATGTCGGCAAAAGATCATTTCGACCTGCGTGCGAAAATCCTGGCAGGGCCAGCGTTTGTAGTCCATTCAGTAATGTGCAACTGATATTCGCTCTGTATAACTTCCAAGCCTGAGCTCCTGGGCGGTCTGTTGGCAGTGAGTGTTAACCGCCTCAATGGCTCCGAGGCAAGGTGCCGGCTTACGGACCACCAGTTGGCAGGTGCGAAGGCTGGCCGAGGTTCCCGCAATACGAAGGAGGCTCATGGTGAGTGGAGAAGCCATGTAACCGAGATTTCGGTTGAACTTATGAAGATGCACAGGTGGTTCACATTAATTCTCAGTCCTCTGCTAGGACGTGCGATACCCTCGCTGCATTGGCACGTAGAACCCGTGCCGGAATACATTGTCTTGAGTGAAGAGCCCATTTCATAATTGGAATCGGTTCATTTTGTCACTGTGCTTTTACACCTATGTGACAAGGGTGCCAGGAAAAAAAGCTGCAAGTTTTCAGCCTAGCGGGTTCCTGCCCCCTTAAACACAGGGCAGAGCAGCACTGACATCAAAACACGAAAAAAAAAAAATGAAAATAACTTTTAACATGTTATATAAAATAAGCTGCGTAGTGATTACTCGTTGCCAAAATGTAATAGAATACAAGAAAAGCGGTCACCTGAGAAAATAAAAGGAATCGCGGGGCCTGCGTGGGCCTGCGGAAGAGACGAGGTTCTTGCATGCCGAAGTGTTAAATTTAAATACAAGCTGCATTTCAGTAGACACGAAAGTAAACAAATATAACAAACGTAAAACACTTTTTCACTATTGCACGGAAGTTTGAATCATACGGACACTTTTAGTGGAAGTGTATCAACATCTTGAGAAAATATGTTGTTTCAAAGTGACGGCAATTTGTAGCACAACCTTTGGAAGCCAAGATTAGTTCTAGATGACGGGATGCATCGTGGATGCCAATATGTTATGACACATTGATTTCGAGTTTGGCGAGATCTAAAATAATCGTAATATTCTGATACAATGTTACATCGCTTTTGCCCTTGGTGGTACTTTACATCTTTATATCGCAGTATTGCGTTTTTGGTGAAGTTAGAGGAGAGTGATGGTTTTGCATGCAAACAAAATGTGGCTGGGAAAACAGACAAGCAGCAAAAATTCTAAAGGGCCGCATGCCTTGCTCCTGTGCCTTGCTCCTGTGGCTCCCAAGAAATATTGAAGAGAGAGAGGGATAGATACAGAGTAGCTTACAGTCGATTCCCAGAATTCCTTTTGGCGTCATGTAAGGCACTGCACATTTTTTTTCTTTCATCCCTAAATAAAGATGTTGTTTCGCACGAAAATTTAATACCACTGCTAGTGCCTTGCACCATGTTTTCGACTTTCCAACGTTTCAAATTTCACGAGAAAACGATGGCCAACGAAGCCCTGACCTGCAGAATTGGGGAACGGACACTCCTGAAAATACCATATTACTTGCCATTTTGGTCCCAAACGTTAGTGTCAAATTCGGGAGGAGCATGAACACTTGGTGATGCATATGTAGTACTTCGCTTTGTGTTAGTTTTGTGGTAAAACAAAAAAGACAGATTTACCTTTGAAATTAAAAGCACTGGCCAGGTGGCGTAAGCCGCCTCCCAATTTAGGAGTTCAGCCATTTTTATCTACTTGATCTATCAAGTTTTTGATTCGCTGCGTTTACATTATATATTTTCTCTAAATTACGTAAGAAATAAAGACCGCCGGCTTTTATAAGAATAAAATAAAAGTTTATTTAACATTCGTGGGATAAAACTGAATTTGAGTACTACGCTTCGCAGATCTCAACTTCGGACCAATCAGGGCTTTCAAAAGAATCTTTTGAAGCACGTGACCGGCGGCCGTTTCAAACGAAACGACCCTTTTTTTTTATGGGGGTTTCGCTGGTTTTGCGGCGTTGCCAGCGTTGCTTGGTTTGGGCCACTGATCTCTATGACAATTGCTGGATCGCGTTTGCCCGCTCCGCGAATGCGGTCACTGGCGGCCATCTTTAGGTAGAGTTATATCACCTCTAGCCAATGTAAGCTGCTGCAGCCGCTATCATCCATCCATGGCAGATAGCGTTTTGGCAGGTGGGTTGGTGAAAATAGCGTGGGTGATATTGCGTGCTTGATTAAAATTATTTGACGAAACATGTTTTTGAAACACGGCGTGAACAGTAGTCCGGTTTTTGAGGACCTGGTAAAAGTTTCACAAAATCGCAGCACCGGGAGAAAAGCAGCACAGCACGTATCGAAAGTCGCATCGAAAGAAGCATCGAAAGCAGACGACGGTACGGAGTCTGCTTTTGATGCGAGCTGCGCTGCTTTCCCCCGGTGCTGCGCTTTCGTAGAACTTTTGCCGGGTCCTCAAAGATGAGGCTACCGTTCACGCCGGGTTTTAAGAATCTGCTTCGTCGAACAACTTCAATCAAGCACGAAATGTCACCCACAGTACAGTGTACTAGATCTACGGCTATTTTATGGCAGCCTGCCGCCATTGCGCTGTCCGCCATATTACTATGATGGCTAGAGATGATATAACTCTACCTAAAGATGGCCGCCAGTGACCGCATTCCGGTCCATAGGAGGAGCTGGTCAAACGCGATCCAGCAAATAGACATAGAGATCAGTGGTTTGGGCAGTTTGGGTTCGTTTTGCGCACTTTTGAGGGTGCCTTGAGGCGCTTGAGGTCAACTCGGCCTCAAGAACCAGTGATAGGAATGGTTCGGTAAACGGCACAACAGCTTCGAGGCTTCGGCCGCCGGCCAGCAGCAAGCAACGATGGAGGCACCGAGAAACCGACAGTACAAAGCTACCAAGTTGGTACGTGCGCCCCGCAGCCGTGCTGGCTCGGACAAAGCCTTCCTTCTATGCTAAATAACGATAGAAGGAGGCTGCGGCGTTGCTCTCACGTAGCGCATACTTAGTAAGCGCGAACCTGATACAGAAAGCGACTTTTGGAGACGACCCCCACGCTGCTCTGCCGATCCGTAGTCGAGTGCGCGTCGGCATACGTTAGCGCAGGAGTTTTAAAACTGTTTGATCTCGAAAGAACCCAGGAATCCCTCCAGATTTCGGCCACGGTTTCGGCATTGATGCAGTAAAGCCAGTAGAGTGGCGCGGATGCGCAAACAATTTGTTTGTGGCTAACGAAAATAATCCGTGGAGAAGATCGATGGACAAAGGACAAACATAAATATCCAAACACAGCTAGGTGACTGGTGAGCGACCGAAAAAATCCGCCTGGTCCGGGTATCGAACCCGGGACCTCTCCATTACAAGTGGAGCGCTCTACCAACTGAGCTAACCAGGGATTAGACGTCAGTAGAGCAAACGGGTTTTATCAGCCGCTCGCACCTTTGCATTTAATTGCATTATAAGTATAGCAAACGGGTTTTATCAGCTGCCAGCAGTCTAAAGCACCAACAGGGGTGAACGGCTTGCATTTTTAAGGTTATGATGATAATACAATTAAATGCAAAGGTGCAAGCGAGCTGGACAAAAATAACTATACCAGGACCAGGCGGATTTTTTCGGTCGCTCACCGGTTACCTAGCTGTGTTTGGAGATTTGTGTTTGTCCTTTGTCCCCCTTGTTCCCCTTCTTCAGGGATTATTTTCGTTAATCTTGTCCAGCTCGCTTGTACCTTTGCATTTAAATGCGTTATCATTGTAACATTGTTTTTGGTGCATGGCTCTACACGCTGTGCACCTGACGTCAGCTCTCCAGCCACCACTGGAGAAGAGGGGAAGGAGGATCTTCCCTCTCACCGGGACTGTTTTGTTTGTCCCAGACGTAGTTATTCTCCCTCTAGAAGATTATAGAAAATTAAACCGTCACTCAAAATTCGTACGAAAGCAGCTTCTCGCTCTCTTTTCTTTGGTGGTGCGGAATGGATGATGTGACGTCATTGCAAAGCTTGTATACATTAATGGGTGGCTCGGATCTGCTAAAACATGAATGCAAGGCACCTTTATGCCTTGCCACCTTGCATCCATGTTCAACAATGTTTATGTGAATTTTGCTGTTTACTTGTCCAGGGAAGGCTGACTCGCAGGCACTCCAGCGTGCGGGTTTTGTGACTTTTCTGCCAGCCACGCATGCCCCCTGTGTTCGCTCTTTTGTGCAAATAAGGAAGGCTTTTTAAAAATTTATTTTCAAGAAAGACATACATGAAAAGCAACATATTGTCAATGCCTGGATATGTAGCACTTGGCTTATAGTAGGGATTCATGGTACGCATAATCATAAAGAGGTGCATCACACTCGCAAATAACTTCTACAAACAATTGCATAAGATAAAATAATAATAAAAGAAAATTTGACTACAATCAATATTATTGAAGTCATACAAAATTGTATAAGCTGGCAATTACAATGCACTTCACATAAATGTTAGAAAGAGGGAGTATTCTCTAAGCTCTCCACCATTAGCAGATTGCTTGATTGCCAAAGTTAGAGCTAGGGTTAAGGTTAAACGAAAAATGCAGTCTAATGGGCAGGGATGGTCCAGGAAATTTGGAAGCTTGGGGAGCCTCTCAAGAGACTTCGGAGAACCCCTTTCTTTGGAGATCCTATGCGTTAGCGTATGTATGCCGACTCGCACCCAACCGGGGCACCATGCCTCTTGCAGTGGAACGAGGTGGTCCATTCATTCCGAGGCGGCATGCCCCGGGGCAAGCACCGGCGGCACATGCGCACCCACGACGACTGCTTCGGTGCGAGCGAGGCAGCCTCCTGGCTGCACCGGTACCTGGTCGGGAATCAGAACTTTGGCCCAGGGGTCACCAGGTGGGTGGTCCGCGTGCCGGTCCCCTTCTCAAGTCCCCAGGGGGACTCGTTAAACGACGGGGGACCGGCTGGTGCTTTCCACTTCTGCTCGCTTCCCGCTCTGCCAAATGATCCGGACCCCAGGAGTCTGATTGGTGCAGTCCCCTCGGTTATGCTGCCTGAAACCGACTGGTGTGTTTACCGCATCCGAAAAGGTGCTCCCTTGATTTCTGCCTGACGACGTCTTTCGAGTGTCATGTCCGGCTGCAATCCTGGCGGTTTTTTAGCAAAACCTAATAATTAAGGCTGATGCCTGCCCTTCTGTAGGTCTCTCTCTGGCTTGACAGTTCCGGAAGTCGTGGCAGCCGGAAGTTCAGACGCCACAACGACAGCGACGCTCACTCTAAAGTATAAACCGCACGTAAGCGATTTGTCAGGCGATGAGACAAGTAATGCAACTCGTTTCGCTGTCGATCGGTCAGTCACGTGACGAGGCAAACCGCATGAAAGCGACGGGAGCGAGCGACCAAGGCGACGAGTAACCTTTTCTAAAAATTTAAAAACCGAGTGACGTGACGAGTGGCAGTGAGAAATTTCTGTCGCTCGTCGCTGTCACTCATCTCGTCGCTCGCTGAATCGCTTACATTATTCAACCTTAGCTCATACTTTTTTCCGGAACTTCCACAACCAACTGTCAGGGTTGCGACATCCGACAGCACGATACTCTGGCTCTTCTGATGTCGTTTGTTGCCACTTGGGATCGCTTTCGATGCATGGTTGGAATAGGATGCTGAACACACCAGTCGGGGATCTGTTCCAGGAGCCCTGGGTACAGAGGGGAGCGTGCTCGAATAATAATTGTGTTTAGACAGCTGTAAATTAGTCATCCTTAATAAGCACCTGGTGTCTCAAGCGTAGAGAAGAAATTTAGCCAGCGCAGTACAACCACTAGCCTGGGGTCTTTAATGTGCACCATGCAGTAGTCATACACGGCCGCTTACTAGTACAATGCTCGCCCGAAACGGGCAGGGGTGGGGATTCAGCCCAGGATCCGTGGGTTCCACAGCACAAGCTTTTGCTCCATGCACTCCGAACTGCAGTGCGTTAACGCACTCAGCCACGGATATCCCGGGTGTACCCGGCTGTTGCCTTCCTCTGGACGGAATCGAGGAGCTAGGTTGTAGGTTGGTCTTCGAGCAAGACAAGTGACGGCGCAGCACGTCCAGCGACTCCCCCGTAAAGTTGTTTGCCCAGCACACAACTTTCTTCTTTCTGGATATTTGTATCCTCAATATTCCTCGCGAGCTGCCACAGCCGTCAAGTCTCACCAGTGGGGTCGTCGGAGATCCTGGGAGGAAGGTTCTCGGTCGTTGTCTTTGGGGCACGAAAGGACGCATCGCTGCGCAGGAACAAACTTGCAAATGCTCTTCGTTAGCACGTCGATGCGAGGCAGTGGCCGCAGCGTTGGCTGTGGCACGGGCGTACCTTCCAAGGAGGGTTACTCTGAGGGAAACATGCAGTTCGATATTTGACATTGATACCACTAGCCAACAGGTCGTGGTTCATTGTTCTTTCTGTGAGATAGTTTTTTCTGGAATGACTCTGATACTGCACTCTTAATGCATTTTTCCCTCGTTAGAAGGTTCCCATTGAATGCTACAAACAGATCTGTAAACCAGGAAAATCGGTGGCCGAGTGGGCTAGTGCACATCTGCTTAGCGCACGTGGAGCAAAAGCCCGTGCTCCAGAACCCAGGAGTCCTAGGTTCGAACCCCACCCCTGCCCGTTTCGATCTGGACGAGTGCGGTCGTGTATCTCTACTGCGTGGTGCACGTTAAAGACCCCAGGCTAGCGGTGCTACTGCACTGGCTATATTTCTCATCTGCTGCTGGGAGACAAGTCGCCTGTTGAGGCAGGCTAAGTTTTAGGCTCTATAAACATACAGACAACACAATTTTATGTGCAAACCTTGCGAAAGAAATGGCAAGAATGTTTGCACAGGGCACAAATGAGAGGGACATTTTACCACGAAGAAAAGAAACTCAGACAAAAAAAATTCTAAATAAAAATTTCGGGTCGCTATGCACAGGTGCATATTTTCTCAATTTAGTTTTGGTTGCGGAGCTTTTCGGGCCATACTTCTTGTTAGAAGAAAAAAGAAAACCATACTTGGGCATTTTTTTTATTTGTCGAGACTGATTCAGATTCGCTCTTTCCTTCTGCCTGCACTTTTCGAGGCTAGAATATATGTTTTAGTCAGGCCTGCCTTGGTCTGTACTTACTAATCACCTATAGGAATGATCTATGCTGAAGAGCAACAATTGCTTGCTTCTTGAATGATTTTGGGTGACTATTTCGACCGAAATATCCCTTCCTCGACTTGCTAGGGAGATTCTTCACTGCACATTACGTTTGTCATTAATGGATTTATGCATGTCACAATTTTTTGGTTTATGCCCGTCTGGGTTTTGCAACTAAAACTCAGCCCCAAACTTTACTGTCCCCAATTTGTACTGGGAACAGTATTCTATTTGAATTCGCCAGTGTGTTCAAAGAGGCTGTAGAAATGACGAGATTGTGCGGTGGTCGTTTGTATCTCCAGGCAGCAGACCCTCCAGCTCCTTCAGAAGTTTTTGGAGAGCCACATTATCGAGCCCGTCAGGAGCACCAAGTGCCGGGTGATCCAAGACGACAAGCAGCTGTACAGGTAAGACGCCGACAACTCGTTTAGTTGAGCCCGATATACTGGAAATTTGTCGTGGCGTAACTTCACCCTTTGCTGTTTTACTGGGACTCCGGAATATTACAAAAAGTTTTCTGTGTTGTGCGAATGCTGCAGGGTTATTAGTGTAGATGCCAGCTAAATAGAGATCTAATTTTCTGAGCATATGCAACAGTTTTCTTGCCCATAGAATGTCAATGTCACGCCTCCGATGACACGCTTGTGGTTTCTTTATAACCATGACAAGAATGCTTTAGATTTGTTTTTTTTTCCCTCGCACCATTTAAAAGAGGCTTGGCACCCTGTCCATATGCTGTCTTCCTACTTTAGTGTTTTTTTTGTTTTTTTTTGTTATTTTTTATTGCCTCGCTTACTTCTTTGCTCATACTTTTTTTTTGTGGTAGCTTCATCAAATGTGCAAACCACTAAGGCAGACAGCTGTTGGTGGGCATGGTAAACAGAACAATAAATTAAAAATAAGGCACTTCTTTCAGCTACTGCCCAAACGTCCCGTATGCAGAATTGATTAGTGACTTATATGCAAATCCGGGAAGCATGACACACAATGTCAATTTGTAGCATCATGCGACGTGGTGATGCGATGTAATGTCACATTACACCATGACTTGACACCCAAAGTCACCAGAGCTAACAACATTGTTGACACTGGTGTCCCGTGACAGCGCAACTTTGGTCTGTTAACGTCATGTGACACCGTGACTTCGCACTGCAACATCATGTGACACTGACTTTGCAGTGTAACATCATGTGACACTGATTTCACACTAACGTCATGTGACACTGATTTCACACTAACGTCATGCGACACCGTGTCTTTGCACTGTAACATTACGTGACACCATCACTTCGCACAGTAACATTACGTGACACCGTCACTTCGCACCGTAACGTCATGTGAACACCATGTCTTCGCACCATAACGTCATCTGACACCGCGACTTTGCACCATAGAGTTGGTTGACCCGGCGTGGCCCGTTGCATGTCACATGGTCACGCGACCCGCGTGCCCCGCAGGTTCGTGGCGCAGTCCCCGGCAAAGACGCCGCCCTCGCGTACCCCGCCGGCGGGTCTTGCGCGTGGCCGCACCCCGCTGTCCTCGCGAGAGAACGGGGCCCTGGAGGGTCTGGCCCCGGTGCCCACTCCGGGGCGACCTAGGGGCTTCACCCTCATGGCCAGCGACGACCAAGAGGAGCCTGGCGAGGAGATGGCTGGAGGTACCCTGCCCCGCCGGAACTCGGCTCCCCAGGGGGCTTTGGGTCGCTGGGAGATGCACCAGCTGTGGGCCTCCGTCACTCTTGCTAGGTAGGTCTTCCGGCTACGGCGCTTGGAACGCGACTTTGGCTGGTGTGCTTAACGTCCACCCATACATCCAAAGTGGCTCCCAAGTGGCAACAGATGACGTCGCAAAAGCCAAAGTGTCATGCCGTCGGATGTCGCCACCGTGGCAGTTGGTGTTAAAAGCCCCGGTAGCAAGTCGAACGAATGCAAGTGTCGCTGTCCTCATGGCGTCCAAACTCCTGGGTGCCCAAGTCCGTGAGAGCTGGAGACTGACCGTAGATGTGCAGACGTCTGCCACGTCCACCGGAACTGCGGCCGGCGACAGTGTGGCTCTTCTCCGACATCATAGGGCTGAAATCGAGGGACCTCTTTTTGACGTAGAACTGGGTCTTTCTCCACTGCACATTTTCCTCTACCGGACTTTAAGCCACACGCATTCGTTTCTTGCGCATCCTACCTTGTCATGCAGCAGGAGCCCGTGGACATTTCTTCAACTGCTGTTGTAGTTCTACAGAAATTTATGCGGTATAGTAAAGCTCTGCAGCAATAAATTTTTTGTATGCGGTAAACACGCCAGTCGGAGACGCTTTCCAGACACTGTGGGCATGGCTGAGGAAATGACGTCTCGGAGCAGTCGACTGCGGGACGGAGCCAAACGCTCCCGCGTGTGCTGCAAGCCCCGCCTCCCCTTGCAGGCTGCGTGGCCTCGTCGGGAACGTCGACGTCGTCTTGGACGGCTACCGGGTGTCGGGCGAGCACATTGCGCACAACATGGACCGGCTGAGCCGCAACGGGGTAGTGATCCTGCTCGACAAGACCGGTAGGGGCTCTGCCGTTGCACTCTAGGGGAGGCCTTTTTTTTCCGAGGACGCATCTACACCGAGTGTTCCTTCCCTCTCGCAGACGACCTGCCCAAGTGGATAATCAACGCGATGAAGTGCCTCATCCACTGTGAGTGCCACCACCACTTTCTGGCCTCAATTTGGGCTAGGTCATCGGTTCTCAAACTTTGTTCCTATGAACATAGGGGATCCCTAGTGTACCCCAGAGGGTTCCCTAGAGCACCCCCTAGGGTTCCCCAAGCTCTCAAATTTTTTTTGACCGCTCCTATCCCTAAGTAAAGTGTTTTTTTATTCCATTCAAGTGCTATTTCAGCAGTTCTGAGCCAAGCACTTCCTAGTTACGTGCGCTACTGTTTACGAGGCCCAGAGGCTTCTGGCTTGCTTTTGCTGCATCAGTGCCGAGACCAGAAGGCGTTCCTCGGCAGTCTTGACAAATGAGGCTTCCTCGGTAATTAAACGTTTGAGAACGCCTGTGCTGGTCCTTTCCTCAGTCTGGGTCGGATTACTTTGTACTCAACGTTTGGGCCCTTGGTTTTTGCGGCCATGATTTCATGCACTTTGTCCGTGAAACCTGCAAGTTATAGGAGTCCTTGAATTTGCAAAATACTTGAGCCGCGGCTTGCCGTCCCCAGGGCCCAGGGCCACGGGCGGTGGGAGCTGCCTGCCCAACTACCCGGGCTTCGAGGCGGACGTGCTGAAGGTGATCAGCGACTTCTTCTGCGGCCTGGGCACGGCGCTGTTGCCTCCCCAGCTCTGCAGACTCTTCTACTTCACGTTCGGTAGGTGCTTCTGCTTCGGGCATTGTCCACCCTCTATACTTGCGGGAAGTCTAGCAGGTCTACAGGGAGGCAGTCATGGGTAGTAATGCGTTACTCTAACTTTATTACTTTCTTGGTAACTTTCAACTGTAACGTGCCACCTCTTTGAAACATAACTTGTAACTGTAGCTCTATTACTTTTTTTGTAGTAACAATGAGAGTGGCGACATTACTGTCGTCACTGTTTCTTTAGCTTTAAGATATCGGTGGACGAGTATAATCTAGCCGTTCCTTGCAGTTTCCAAAGTATGTGTGCCGACAATTTGAGTATCATGTTTGCCTTGTGGCAAAAATCAAATTGGACGTTTGAGTGATTTATACAGCGTAAGGTTGGTCTGCCAGTAGAGGCGACTCTGGTTTACACTGTAGATGAGCAATTTTGCCAGTGCAGTACAACCGCTAGCTTGGGGTCCTTAACGTGCACCACGCAGTAGTGATACACGACCGCACGCCGATACAATGCTCATCCAGATCGAAACGGGCAGGGGTGGGGCTCGAACCCAGGATCCCTGGGTTCTGCAGCGCGAGCTTTCGCTCCACGCGCGTCAAGCCGTCAAGCTGGGTGTGCGCTTCAGCCCACTCGGCCACCGATCCCCCCTTGCCTTGTGGCAACTTGCGTCAACCTTACTTCCTTTACTTGCACTTTCTTTGATAAACTTGAAGGAGGGGGATTTTCAATCTTTCTTTTTTATTCGTAGCCTCGCAGAGAAGTAACTTCGAAGTAACCGTTACAAATCACGTTTTCAAAGTAACTTACCCAAAACTGCCAAGAGGTAGGGTAGACACTGCGGGCTCTGTAATGCCCTTGGGCACTTCTTGGTTCCGTGCAGCGAGGCTGTTGGACGACGTGGACGACGCCGAGCGTCCCCCTTCCCCCGACGACTCCATCGAGAATCTCCTGCACAGCATGTCTGTTTTGGGGAACCCATCCGCAGAGGCCCCGGCGCAAGTCAAGGAGTCGGTCGTGCGCCCCCTCCCGCTCGGTCGCGACCTCGTGTACGCGACCGCCTTTGAGAAAGCCGAACCTGTGACGCGCGTCGAGTCCCGGCAGTCGGTCGACTGCGAGCTCTTCCTCAGCACCGACACGGCAAGCACCATCAGCACGTGCAGCACCACACGCCCCGTGTCCCCCTCCCAGAACGATTCCGACGGGCCATCGGCACAATGTGGGAGCCAGCGCAGCGAACTCCCGGACTGCACCGGCTCCGTCGAAGTTTGTCGGAGGGACGCGCCTTTTTCGGCGCGCCTCGGAAGCGGATTTAAACGGGTTGCGAACTCGTCGGTCCCTCAATCGGTCGACACGCAGCTCGGAGTCGACTCTGCGAGTTCCACCGAGATCGTAGGCTGTTTTTCCGCGGAGGACCCGAAAGAGTTCGCCCGTGCCGCGGCCACGTCGTGCGCTCCGAGGGAGGCGGTGGTGCGGAGCACCGCGTCGCTGGATCCCCACGGTGGGTTCCTCACGCTACGGCAGATAAAGCGCGATCGGGAGCAGAAAAGGGAGAAGTGTGCTGGCTGCAGCTCCGCGACAACGAGCGTCCGAGGCGAGCCGGGAGGCTACGTGAACCTCGGCTTTGGCTCGGCCGGGAACCTGGATCGCTGCGGAGCCGAGGAGCAACCGAAGCCGACGTCGTCGCCGGAGACGCTCTTGCGCGTCTGCGCCGCAGCCCGCCCGGACTCGAGCTCAGTGGGGAGCTCCGTGCTGGCCGGCGAAGGCAGCGTGGCGTGTCTGCGCTATACTCGCAACCAGACCAGGTGCGAGAGCCTCCCTTCAAGCGTCGGGGCGGTTGGCCGTGCGGCTGGGACGTCCTGCGTGAACGTGACTTCGATCGGAGGTCAGTCCCTTTTCCAGCATTGCTTGTGGTTCCTGTCGAGTCGCAGCACTGTGTATGTCAATACAGTGCCTAGAATGTGACTCTGACCGGTGTACAGTGCAATCCACTTATAATGATACTACATATGGTGATGTACCGCTTATAACGATCAGCTTTTAGAGTAGTTTTAGACTAAGAACGATCAGTTTCTAGACCAGATACACAGATAATTGGTTATAACGATTGAATTTTCGGGCTTCCTCATTATCGTTGTAAGTGGATTGCACTGTATTTACCGCGTCCAGGAAGGTAATCCCTCGATATCTGTCCGAGGACGTCGTAGAGGTGCCATTCTCTCGCCGGCCACGACCCTGGCGGCATGGCGGCAGCGGTGGTATGTGTGGCGGACGCCCCTTCTGCCGCAGGGCGGCCTCCATCTCTGCAGTTCACGGAAGCTTTGGCAGGCAGGAGCTGAGATGCCGCAACGACAGCAACACTCGCATTCTCTCAAGCTTTTTTTTCAGAACTTGTACGCCCAACCTCCAGGATTGCGACGTCCGACAGTGTGACATTCCGGCTTTTGTGACGTCACTTGTTGCTGTTTGGGAACCCCTTTCGATGTATGGGCGAAATGCGGAGCGTAAGTTTGTCTGCTTTTTGCACAGGGGTTGCGATGATGTCAGAGCGCCTGCTGTAAACAACTCAATTTTCCCAAAAACCTAAATTTCGTGGATGGCCTGCAATTCGCGAAAAACACGTCATGCGAACAATTATGGTAAAATGTAAACACATTGGGCGCGTTCAGTAGCGCCTCCCTTGCCTCCGAACGGAGTGATTCGAGTTGGAGTCATCGGAGCGCCTACTGAACGGCAAAAAAATCCCGCGGCTCCAAACCTGCTTCTACGCAACTTCCGCTTCCTCCCCTGTGCCCAGACGGTCTCCGAACAAACTGGAAGCAGACGATGGCGAGCACGATCGCTTTTATTTGACGCCGGTATTGAAGAAGTCTTTACAAGGTCGTTGAAGAAAAAGCGGGTGATTGTACACATCAGCGCTGCTGTTCGAAGCGATGCAACGCGATCGAGCCCTTCGCTTGGCGGTGCAAAGGCAGCTACTCTTATAAAAGCCTACAAAAAACGTCGTCAGCACACGCAAAATACAGAGCTCAGCGAATCTACCCCGCCGGTTGCGATACTTTTATAAGGCCATAAGTTTGTTCTGCCCTTCGTAACGAACTTCCTATAAAATGTATTCACATACACACGGGAAGTTCGGCCGCGCTCGGCGATCAAGGTTTTGTCCGCCGAAGGGAGCCCCAGCCAACGAGCACCCCGATTTAGCTACGTAAACAAAACATGAATCGGTATCATGCTCTGCGTGAGTGTCCAACCGGCTTCTAAAGTCGCGTTCATACTCCGTTTTGCTCTGTTGAGCGCGGACGGGACGAGTTTCCGTGCAACGGCGATCAAGACACGGCGTCCAGTGAACGTTTGCGTTGTTTATTAGCATATTCGAACCAAACAAAATACGGTCCAATGCATTTTCCGAAAGAGCCTTACCTGAAAAAGATATTCGAACACATTATTCGTTTTACCTTGAGCACTTTTCATTAACAAAAGCGAGCAAACCGCACACCCGCGACAGAACCGAAGCAGCTTATCCCGTCATATTGTTTGTTTTTTCCTCTTTTAGCGCCGGAAATCGTCACCAGTCAGGAAATTACGTCATTTTAGCTCCTTTGACTCTACGTGCACCGTCTCCAGACTCGGTGCTTCGGAGCTTGACTCCAAAGCCCCGGAGTTACGTGCACCGGAAGTGACTTTTGGCCGTCCAGTGGAAGGAGTTAGTGACTCCTTGACTCCGGGGCCGCTACTGAACGCGCCCATTGGAATCTATATTGCCATCCCACCGCGTCGCGAAAATTAGAACCCGCAAATTATCCCAAACCTTCAGCTTTTATCTAAATAGTGAAATATTGAACCCGCGAAAAAATAGTCGTTTACGGTGTCTATTATTGGCTGATTTAAAAAAAATAGTGGGTAGACCTCAAGGCACCTAGCATTGAGGTCTACCCGCTATCCTTTCAGTCAAAGCCAATCAGAGCTCGGCTTCATTCTGACATCACCGCAACTCTTGTGCAAGAAGCAGACAACTTGCTCTCCGCATAGGACGCTAGACGCACCAGGCGGAGATGCGTCCCTAGCACCGTAGTGTCCTGTCTCAATTCAAGCGGTGAGATTGCCGAGGTACAGGCGGCTGTTACGAACAAACCACTGTCACACATTTTTTGGTGGGTCTTTTTTTCTGTGTCTCAACGTCCGCTTGCGCTTTTCTCGATAAATATTTCGCTAGTGCAACTCAAGAATTCTGCTCGCGTCGGTGCTGCCAAAGCAAGAGCATGGCAGGAAGCTATGTGTCCTCGCCTGCTCTTGTCCTAATGGACCATCCGCCAAATATGTCTGACCCTGGGAGGTACAGCGTGGTCTCGCCTTCGAAATGTTACTATGGGGGGGGGAGGGGTGACCATAGTACCAGTTTGCTTTGCCACGAGTAAGGCCAGGTTCTTTTATCATACTCCCTCAGATATATCGCTTGTAGGTAATTTGTTACAAAATGCAGTCTTTCTTCTGTACCTGCTCAGTTTGAAAGTGCACAGGCAAAATGGAACATCAATCTTCAAACTTTTTCTCAAGATTGTACGAGAACACCTTGGGAAATGATTGAAATTGCGTCGCTCTTTCCTTTGTTTTTTCACTCCACTCGCACGGGGCCGGCAGTCCTCCTAAGAGGGTCCCTGACAGTGGCCAATCTTCCGGTTGTGCTTCGCGCAGTGCGAACTGCAGCGTCCGCCGTCCCAGAGGACAGCCGGGAAGCGAGTCGGGTGGTGGAATGCCTGCGGGTCTCCTCGCTGCTGCTGCCTCCACGCTGCAGGCGCTACCTGCACCTCTTGCTGCGATTTGTCTTCAAGGCGTCCAAGAACGACCAGCTGCGGCTCTGCCCCGGGCGAGGGAACCTGGAAGTGGTCTGTGTCCTACCGTAGCCCACTCTATCAGACAAGGGCACGATAAAAAAGAAATTTACAGGGTGCTTTGTATCGCAAAAATTAATTACGCGTCGCTGAATGCTCGTTCTCCGCCCAAATGTAGCGCTAGCGGTCCGAATCGGGTGCCAAAGTTTTAGTACGAACCATTGTCTCACTAAAATGTAGTGATGGGCCGAACTTTTGCAGAGTTGAGAATTCGGCGCCGAATCTTCGGATTCGGCAAAGCCAAACTTTTGAATGGTGGATACTTGGGCTAGTTGGTGGTTGCTATACATAATTAAACAGCGCACAAGGAGAGGGACAGAAAAGGAAACAGAACAGGCAAGCGCTGACTCGCAACTGACGATTTACTATGAAAAGGAGAAGGAAGAAAACTACACACATGAACATATATCGGAAAAGAGAAAGATGTGAAAAAGCTAATAAATTAAATAAAATTACACCTAAAATAATTATAGCTGAAAAGGAAAACAAAATAAAATGAAAATCAATCTCTCAAAGTCCTAGGCATGTCCAGTGCCGGCACTCCGAAGCCTTGACCATACACCTATTTGTGCGCAGCTGCCCCCATAAACTCATACTCGCTGTCTTGTAGTGTTAATGATGGCTGGCTCACACATTTGGATTCGAGCTTTCTTATCCAAAAGGCTTCCACTATTTCTCTTGTTGTTTTTTCTTTATGGGAAGCTAGAACAGTTGTTGCACAAAAATCTGGATCATATCCACAGGTTCTGCAGTGGATGGCTAGGTGGCTTCCAGTTGTGGTTTGAAGAGACTGTTTATGTTCCCTTAAGCGGTCGTTGAGGCAACGCCCAGTCTGTCCGACATAGGTTTTCCCGCAGGACAGAGGAAGATGGTAAACCACTTGTAGAATGCAAGACACAAAGTGCACCTTGTGGTTTTTCATGCAGCAAGCCCTGCTGTCATTGTTCTTGTCCACAAGCGTGCAAATTCTACCCAGTTTGTTTGGGGCTGAAAACACCATGGGCACGTTGTATCTATTGGCAACATTTTTTAAGTTGTGCGACGTCTTGTGGATGTATGGTATAACTAGTGGTCGGATGTTGGTAAGGTCTTTGCTCTTTTTTCTTTTGGTCGATCCTTTACAGGTTTGTATCAGAGTGCTTTTGAGCACTATGTCTATTATAAAAGTCTTCAGGTACGTTGATGACTTTCTTATTATCCTCCAAGAAGAACAAACAGAAGACTTAATAGATACAATCCTGAGTGTTTTCTCCAGAAGCGGTAAAGGTCTGAGTTTTACGTATGAACAACCTATTCTAAATGTGCTGCAGTTCCTGGACCTATCTATAAAAATCTCAGATCACCACATTTGTTGGTCCTACCTACCACGCTCCAAAAAAGAAATTCTTAATTACCAATCTGCCCATTCAAAATTAATAAAAAGAGGGATAGCCAGTTCGTGCATGTATTCAGCTTTGAAAAAATCCTGTCACCACACCATCGAACAGAGTTTCAGCACTCAAGTAAACAAACTCTCAAGATCCGGCTTTCCATCAGCCATGTTAAGTGAAGTTGCGGGCACTCTGATACAAACCTGTAAAGGATCGACCAAAAGAAAAAAGAGCAAAGACCTTACCAATATCCGACCACTAGTTATACCATACATCCACAAGACGTCGCACAACTTAAAAAATGTTGCCAATAGATACAACGTGCCCATGGTGTTTTCAGCCCCAAACAAACTGGGTAGAATTTGCACGCTTGTGGACAAGAACAATGACAGCAGGGCTTGCTGCATGAAAAACCACAAGGTGCACTTTGTGTCTTGCATTCTACAAGTGGTTTACCATCTTCCTCTGTCCTGCGGGAAAACCTATGTCGGACAGACTGGGCGTTGCCTCAACGACCGCTTAAGGGAACATAAACAGTCTCTTCAAACCACAACTGGAAGCCACCTAGCCATCCACTGCAGAACCTGTGGATGTGATCCAGATTTTTGTGCAACAACTGTTCTAGCTTCCCATAAAGAAAAAACAACAAGAGAAATAGTGGAAGCCTTTTGGATAAGAAAGCTCGAATCCAAATGTGTGAGCCAGCCATCATTAACACTACAAGACAGCGAGTATGAGTTTATGGGGGCAGCTGCGCACAAATAGGTGTATGGTCAAGGCTTCGGAGTGCCGGCACTGGACATGCCTAGGACTTTGAGAGATTGATTTTCATTTTATTTTGTTTTCCTTTTCAGCTATAATTATTTTAGGTGTAATTTTATTTAATTTATTAGCTTTTTCACATCTTTCTCTTTTCCGATATATGTTCATGTGTGTAGTTTTCTTCCTTCTCCTTTTCATAGTAAATCGTCAGTTGCGAGTCAGCGCTTGCCTGTTCTGTCTTCCTTTTCTGTCCCTCTCCTTGTGCGCTGTTTAATTATGTATACCAAACTTTTGCCCAACTTTTCTCAAAATTTGGCAAGAGTACATTTTTGCCAGACTTAGTGTTGATATATACTTTCTTCTGGCGAAAAGAGGCTTTATGTTTTTTTTTCTTAAATGCAATGTGTAATGCATATCGACACAGTTATTGCTAAATAAGGTGATAATCTACGAGACCATTCTATCGGTGTCATTTTTGTGTTTACTGGCAATTTTAGAGTGACTTTTTGCAGAAGTGGTGTGACAACGAAATTGGGTCGTAGCAGGCCTTGAGCGGGCACAGTCACGAATCGCGATACGCAAGTTTCGGTTCTGAGGCCTCATCAGCGCATGCCTGCAAGTGTGTGCGCATGGTTAATGTAAAGGCGATATCGCTGTGTTCTTACTTTGCCAATGTTGTGCCACGGCACGCCATCTGCTGTGTCCCGTTCAGAAAGCCCTTTTAAAGAGTATCTTACGTCGTGACACTGGGTGATCACTTGCAGTTGCTGGACGCCTTCGCCGGCGCGTTTGTGAGTGCGGCGGGTGAGCTGGCCCCCGAAAGTGCCCGGGAGCTGCTCCGTTTCCTGGTGCGCCACTGCGACCGCATCATGGCGCCCCCTGGGGAGCTCCGGCGCGAGGTCGAGGCCCGCCAGGCCATCTTGCGTAGGGGCACGGTAAGGCGCTCCACGCACACCCACGACACCCTGCCGCGGCGCAAGAGCGGTGCCGCGACGCGGGCCGGACCGGCCGCCCGTCTCAGGCAGTGACGAGTGCTTCTATGATGAGGATCTCACTTTTTTATGGACATTTTAATTGACCTGGGAAAAAACTGTTTTTACCTGTCAGCGGCCCGGCAAGTTTGAACGCATTTCTCGTGCCTTAGTGCTGGGGTTCTCAAGCCTTTCGATCTCGAGGAACCCTCAGAGGGGTCGGCAGGGATGCAATAAAGCAGTGCAGAAGTTTGCGGACATTGTAACCAAAAATGGGGTTATCAGGGAGGGCATGTGTGATATGCACCAATGAGTGGTTTGGTTCTGCTACAACAGGGCTGGAAATGTGCTTCACTTAGGGGCAGGGACGGTTGAGGATCTTGGGGAATTCCTGAGAGCACTCTGGAGTACTCCTGGCGCGGGTTCCCAGGAGTTTGAGGACCCATGCCTTTGTGCATTGTTGAGGTGTTGCCATATACCGGCACCGCATGTTTTCACAGTTCATGTGAGCTGAGAGCTTCTCAGATTTGCGTTAATGCATCAGGAGTTTGAAGGTACCAGGAATTCGTATCCCGCTACTTGCAAGAACCATCTCGGCTAGGTCAACGCACCGTGCGGCTGTTTTCTAAGTTCTTTGATCCCGAGCGCAATTGTGAATGTTGCCAGTGTCTGCTTGTTTTTTCCCTCTTACTATAAAAATAAATGATACAGCTGTCACACTTTTTTTAACCTCTTTCGCTTCTGCTGTGTGAAGGTGCAACCATAATGATCTCGTGACTCACTGCCTCTTGGTTTGGAAAGTCTCGTACACGTTTGTTTTGCCCCGTGTGCATGTACGCCATTTCATTAATCTCTACGGTGCTGACAAATGCCGAGGAACGCAAACCTAGATCAGAACTCGCATATAGAGTGCCTCAAAAGAAAATTTACACGGTCTTTTTTACTGCAAAAATAAACTAGGCATCGCCAAACGCTCATTCTCCGCTCAAAGGTAGAGCTAGAGGTCGCAACCAGATGCCAAAGTTTCAGCATGATCCGATAACTTAATCAAAAGTTATAAGTGATTTTCTGAAAATTTCAATGGGAAATTGGCGGCCGACGGAGTTTTCAAACACATGGGGCTTTATGGCACCAGAAACCGAAAACGGGCAAAAATGGGCTTCATTTTCCCATGGAAATTTTCAGAAAATCACTTATAACTTTTGATTAAGTTATCGGATCGTGCTGAAACTTTGACATCTGGTTGTGACCTCTAGCTCTACCTTTTGGGCGGAAAATGAGCATTCCGCAATGTCTAGTTTATTTTTGCGGTAAAAAAGACTGTGTACAATTTCTTTTCTGTGACACCCTGTAGAAGGCACTTTTCTGCGGCGAAAGACTTGCGTTTGTTGCTTTGTCAGCACTGCGGATGTTTACGAGATGGAGCTTAGGTGAATGTCAACCCAGATTGTGCGATGTTTTGCTTGTGTAGCATGCGAGCGTGGTTGTTGAGTCATTAAATGCACTCATATGCTCGACGGTTGCCTAGCGCTCAAAGCACCGGGTTTTCCACCCATATTTGCGAAAATGTGAGTAGAGCCACGTTTCAATAATTGACGAATGGATTTGTCGAGTTAGACTCAAAAAGTGCCTACTGTCGGAGAAACTTGGCTAAGCAGAGAGCTGTTTCACAGTGTTGTTGATTGGTGGGACTGCTGCTTTTTTGTATGGCTCGGTGTTCCTTGAATCGAAGTGATATTTATTTACGATGATAATGCTGAATTTAGATAAGAACTCTCTCAAGTCATTTCCATGAGACAATCACCCGGGTCCTTTGTGCATCTGTTGCACAGCAGCATTTCTAGCCATGCATGTGGCCTGCGAATCATCTTTTGTTGGTCTCTTAAACATCCTCGATCGCTGCATCGTGTCACACAGGGTAGAATCATTTGTTGTTTACCGTTTGACCACTTTCTTAAATGTCTTGCATTCTTTGTGTCGTCAATAAAAAGGTTTGTCTCTTCACCTTGGCACCTGCCTTGTCTCATGCTCTGGGAAGCCCGTTTAGAGATCCACGTGCTTTACGCCGCAGGCTTTTCAGTGCACGCACGCACGCACGCACCAGACGTACAGCAGTCCTATTCTCACTGTCACATGCAATAGGCACGGTGCAGGCAAACTTCGAAGTCGTGCAACGCTTACTACCCAGGCGTTCCGGCAAAAGTTCCCACGATGCAAATCGACCTGGCTCTAGGGTACAAAAAAGATTATTACAAAACACGGCTGCCGGAGAGAAAGCAGGCAGACGACGACTAGATGGAAGTAAGGGGGCTGGTAAACATTAGACACGGTGAAGAAATAGCCCACACTTTAAGAGGGACAAAGGCAAGCGGTGGCGTGTGTGCGTTCTCCCTTGTCCCTCTAATCCAAAGTGATGTTTTCTGCCACACTGTCTCATTTTGCTCACCTTCCTTCGACTTCCCGCCGCTGAATTCGCGCCTGAAAAGCATCTCTTTGCGCAGAAGGAATGCATATTCTCTTACGCCAAAGGAGTGCATTTCCCCTGTCGACGTTGATCCCATGAAAGTCCGGCCTATGATGCCTGGAACAGAGTGTGGTGCGCGTGTGGGGCTGACCCGGCGGGTCCACCATGCCGTGTGGTGGTGAGGCACGGGGCTTCTTCTCTTCCAGGGCGGTCTGGAAGATCCGGCAGAGCGTGTCCCAGCGCCCGGCTTCTGCCAGCGGGTGTCGCGGGAGCAGTTTGAGGCCCAGAAGCGGGCCCTGTCGGAGCGGGCCCTCTTGGACCTGCTGGACGACATCCTCCAAAACCCGAGGATCTCGGACAGGGAGCGCAGCCTGCGGGTCAAGCAGGTGCGGACTCTGTTTATCCTGGAACCATTGAAAAAGCTACGCTCCGGATTATTTTTTCGTTTATCCGATACCTACGTTGCCCAGTGGGCATTACGGTAGGCGAGTCATGAAAAAAATATATATACAAGTCAATTTAGCAGAATAACGCCATACAAAACCCCCCCCCCCCCCCCCCCCAGAGAAAACCAGTAAATGCCTGTTCACACAGTCATATTTTCTGGGGACACTCTGGGACCAAGCTCTCGTGATGTCTTACAACGAGAAAACACACTGGCACGCTGACGCCATCTACAAGGTGACCCTGAAAATGTAGTTCACTAGAACAAAGATTTTGCAGTGTCTGCGAGATGAAATGTACATTCTATAGCTTCGTTCGATTTGCCTGCACTTCCTGCACCGGTGCAGAAAAGTGTAGGGCTGTGCACTTCCATCCGTTTCAGTAAAACCTCATTAATCCGGATCTCCTGGCACCGGCAAAAATGCCAGAATTATCCGAATGTCGAAATAATGAATGGACAAAAAAAAAAAACTGCGCGAAAAGGTTTCCCTGTGTACCTTTACTTTGAGAAGAAATCTCATCGCCAACTGCTTTCTGGACGACATTTGGGCAGAGACGACAACTTTCCTTAGTGCAGTCCGGTGCTCTACCACACTTACACTGCCAGAGGCGTAGCAAAATTCTTCAAGCTCTATAAATTCTTTAAAGGGGCCCTACAACCACTTTTTGACTGGTTTTTAATTTGCACCGAACCTGAGCGCACTGTAGTAGTAACTTAAAGAAACTTTTCTTTTCTCAAATTTCGCTTTATTTTAAAAGTTATAGGCAAATTAGAATTACAAAAACAAGCAAAACATAACCTCCTTCATGACGTCTGAGGTCCTGACTTGAGTGGCCGTGAACTAGCGGAGTAGTGAGCTCATCGAGCGTTCACGGCTGCCGCACTCTGTGTCGACGGCTCCAGAGGGCGCCACTGAAGCACGTGTTGGATAGGCTGCATGAAGCGGGCGGCCAGGGCGGCTCGCATTGCATTTCCTGCGCGATTAAGGACTACTTTGGCATAACACTTCATTGGCCACAAACGACAGCAAACACGGTGTAAAGATCAGTTTAGAACGGTAGCCACTTCGCGCTGCCATACCGCCAAATGGCCAAATCGCCAGCCAAGCCCGCGCCGAAAGCCTTCAGAACGCTCGGAACCGGTTGGATCCTCGAGCCGGTATACGACCGCAGCGCCGCCGCATACTTCCGGCACCTTTCTACGCTTGCTGTTCGTTGGAGCCTCATCCCACTAGCCCTTTCTAGTATGCGGCGTTTTTTGCGCCGCTTGGTGGCGGGTTTGTCGACGAGTCTTTTCTTGTTTCCGTACTTTAAAAACTGCATTTGTTTCTTTTCTGATCTAAAACACTGAACAAAAACTACTTTCATACATAATTGAAACGGTTCGCGACACTTATATTTTGTATTTAGACTAAAAAAAAGCTTTTAGCGGCTCTGACCAGTAGTAAGCCCAGGACCAAAGTCGTCACATATTGCGCGCTTTCGGCAACGCGGGTCGCCCTCGTCGGTGGAGGAGGTTTCCGCGCCGTCCGGTTAAAATATGACGCACTGATATTTAGCTACTCTCTCCGTGCGCGCTGGCTTGCCCGAACCCCAAGAGACGTGGAAACCGCAAAAAAGGTATACGCTTAAATATGATTGCAGGGCCCCTTTAAGGACAGTCATCAAAACTACTATAATGGTAGAAAGTCCAGTTCCTTCCTCTGTCGTTGTAAAATTCGCACTGTTTCATTAGGAACACATACCAACTCGCCCAGTTATCCTGTTTGGTAGAAAGTGCTCCAGTTGGGGTACTAAACTAAGTGGTAAATTTTATGTTTGCAAGTACCCTTTTGAAGTAAATTGTGAAAAGTGTCGAAAGCGTGTCTGCATGAACTTGGAAAAGAAAATTTGGCAGCTTGGGAACCCATCAAGAATACTCTGGGGAACCTGATTCAAAAACTCGAGGTGTAGTAGTAAAGCCTTCGCTGCCATTGATTTGCATATTTATGTAATGGAGTTCTTGGGGAGCACGCTCGAACCTGTTCACTTGGCATTGCAGTTCCAGCACAACTACCCGTCCATCTACGGGAAGAAGAGCTGCGAGGTGACGGCGTTCAGGAGGAACAGCCGCTCTCGGGCGACAGTCATGGGCCTCCTCAGGAGCTTCAGACTCTGACCCGGCGAGCCAGGAGCACTGGCGAGTCGGCAGCGCCGGCGAGCCGCCAGCAGTGGCCGCAGCACCACGGGCAACTGCGCCCCTCGTTTGGGTGCCAACTTTCGTGCGTCTTGGGACTTCCCGGAAGCGTCACTGCTTACTTACGTACCTTGGGCTTCCTTCCATGCGCTTAATGGCGGGATCTTTCAGGAACCCACTGTCTGGTTCGGTGCTGAAGCGCCTCATACATTCTCGGCTTCTTGCGCTCTGTTTCGTCACTGCCCAGATTGCTGCTTTGTTTGGCAGCGTTGCTCAATTGTTTTACTCAGGAATGTTTCTACAAATGCGTGACTCTCTTGCACCTTCAGTGTCGCCACTGACGGGAGCCGCGCATGTGTTCTCAAGATGATGGCGTTATACATGCCCATCTTTACAGTACCTCCTTCCTCGCTACGTCTTCGGAAGGGGGGGCGGTGACTTTTCACGGCTTTCTCGCTAAGATTGTGTTCCGACATCCGACACACACTAGTCACGAGCACGTACAAACCACCCCATATTTACAAATATCCACCTGAAAGCATTTGTGTAACCAGGAAATTCCTCTTGCGGGACCACTTACCACGTTTGTTGTTGGTCAAGTTGGCAGAAAACACTGCAGGAAATGCAGGCACAAGGTGGCGGACACATGTGCAGTGCTGACTCGTGACTTCTTTTATTTTACTTTTATAAACACAAAAATGATTAAAGCACGAAAAGGATCAAGGCAGGACGCCTCTGTTGTATTTTTTGCTTGGCAGCACGCTTGTTTCCAGAGCTGGTTTCAGTGCATAGTGCAAGTTCGTCTGCTTCTTTTGCAGGGGTTGTGGTGACGTCAGAATGCCGCGCTCTGATTGGTTCTGAATGAAGGATAGTGGGTAGACCTCAAGGCAGCTTGCTTTGAGGTCTACCCACTATCCTTCAATTGAAGCCAATCAGAGCTCGGCATCTTTCTGATGCCACTGCAACTCCTGCGCAAGAAGCAGACGACTTGCTCTCCGGATAGGACCAGCTTAAGACTATGTGAAAAAATGCACTGCCAAAGCTGGTGCATGAGCGGATTCGCTTGTGAAATCGAGTCTCAAGCGAAGAGGTTACCTTTTCGTGTTTCTTCATTTACTTGTATGTTTATAGAAGTAAAAGAAAAGCTACCAGTCAGCACTCTGTGTGTCCTCCTTGTCTATGTTTTTTTTGCACTGTTTTCTAACCTTCCAACCATTTTATCCTGTATTAACCAAAACTTAATGCGTGTGCCATGTTTTTTAAGTGTGAAAGCGATCTGAAAAAGTTGCAATAAATATGAGCTGCCTGTTCTGCATTGAAACAGAAGGGGCTCTGCTTCAAGCAGTCCAAATACTTTGAGGGAGAGCTAGAAAACTGTGGATGACTCAATCTCCAAGACACGCATTCAAAAGCAGCGAAGTTATGCAGGTGAGTTTTCGGCAAAGGAAAACGTCTGAATTAAAGTGCCTTCGTCGGAATAGTTGATACATACGATTCCATAGCTCATTCAGAGGCATTTTCCCTGTCTTCGGGAAACGGCCAAGCTAACCGCGCGTTTCCCTGCGCGGAATGAGGAACCGTGTTGCGAGTCCGAGAAAGAAGACGAAGAACGAGGCGTTCCAGTTGCTTGCATCGCATTGTCCCACGATGCGAGACGGGTCCCAAGGCAGGAGGCATGGCGCTCGATCGAGGCGGCGGTAGTCCCAATGAAGAGACGCTCAACTCGGCCGCCTACTCGAGCGGCATCTTCGCCACGTTCGCTTCCGCACGGGAGCGGAGAGGTAGGGCATGCTCGACGCCGACCACGTCGGAGACCGCGCTGGCCGACACTGTGATTCCTTTCAGCGCACCTGATGCAGCAGTTTAACACGAGAAAATTCTACCGGTCCTACACGCACCCTCCGAGTGAGTATTGCTGACGACCGTCAAGTGGTCGGGCAGCTTCGTGTTTTCGGTTTCTAACCACGAATGAGTTCGAAAAGTTCTAAAATAAAAATGCCAACCATTAAGTTTTACGCGGGCAGTTTGTATTTCCCTCCAATGTTACCCACTAGCGTGGATCGAATCGATGGCGGAATGCTCGGAGCCCTCGGAGCAGACGACGCCGACGCATCTTTTGTGCTTTGATTTCTTTGTTTTGGGGTCAGGCAGCGCTCCTAGCGTCTCTCTTGGAGACGTCTGTGGAGCTGTTTATTTATTTTTTGCTGCACGTGAGTTTGCTCTGGGGGTCACCTTGTTCTACCTTATTCGCGTGCCTTCCCGGATTCCCCCGCCGCTGACAGAGCGACCCGCGCGTGCAGAGTCCCGCTCCAAGTTTCTCGGCCATGACCGACTCAGGTGGGTGCCGAGAGCCGTAGCCACCGTAGCTGCAGCGAGCCGCCGTCAGTCAGCTTGCAGGAGCTTCCAGGATTACGGTCAGCTGGTTAGCCGCAGTGGTTTTTTCGTGCCTATACGTACCAACATCGACCAACCTGGCCGCTCTGAAAGCACAGTGGCGCAGTCGGACACGGTCGTTTACCGATACTTTAAATGCGGCGAGCAAAGACTTCAGCGGGTACCTTGCAACCGGCCGCTGTACGTTCCGCGACCTCGACGTGACTGGCGACGGAAAGCTTCCGAAGGTTTCGGTTGGGAGTTTTGACCGTCGTATCGCGTGACGGAAGAAACTCCGTAACGTGCGACTCGTCTCTTTAAAGGAGAACTTCGCGGAAAATGGGATATGTCACACGTTGATTTTGCACGCGACCATTCCTGCGGCAAAAAAGCAAACAGCAGCGCGTGTCCTCCTCTGGCGTATGCATGTCACTTTTAGGTCATCAACTTGGAGTGTGCAATGAATGCAAACAAATATGCAAAAGGGTGTCCTCAAAAATGATGGGAAAGGGGCTTAGACAGGGGCCTGCAAGCTTCATGCTCCCATGTTCATTGACCACATGGGCGGGAAATTTGAGCGTTCCCTACCTACTTTGAGCAAAGGCCCACTTCAGATGGGGCAATATCTCCCAGCAACTTTACTTTACAACACGGGCTCTTGCACTATTTAGTCAGACAGTTACAGTCTATAAACATATTTTACATTTAAATGGTGTTGGGAGTACTAACTCACCTTTCTGAAACTGTTTATTCGTAAAAACGATTGCAAACCAGAACAGTCTTAATTGTCGTCATCCCTGGCACGGGGTGTCCTGATTGGCAGCTGCCAGTTCAAATGTTTCCGAGTTGTCCAAGTGACTTGTCTGTTTTGAGCTGGACGCAACCCAAGCAATTCGTTTTGCACTAGGGAAAGCTAAAGAACGACCCGCCAGCAGCACCGAAATTGCTGGGAAAGTTGCCTTGTCTGAAGTGGTATGGTGCCTGGAGCATGTCTCCGACTGGTGTGTTTAGTGCTCTATCCCGCCCATACATCAAAAGTGGTTCCAAAGTGACAACAAATGACGTCACAGAAGCCGAAGTGTCATGCTGTAGCCTGCGCGATCCTGGCGGCTGGTCGTAGAAATGCTGCCTAAAAGCACGAGCGAACATGAGTGTCGCTGTCGTCACGGCGTCCCAGGCGTCCCAACTTCCTGCTGCTGTAGCTTCCGCGGACTGTCGAAGTGAAGAGTGACCTGCAGCAGAACTGGCGTCTGCCATCTCCACCACAGCTGCTCTGACACCACCAGGGTCGCGACCGGCGATAGCATGACACTTCTATGACGTCATCAAGCGGAAATCGAGGGACCACTTTTTTGTTTGCGGTAAACACACCAGTCGGAGACGGGTTTTAGGCACCATAGAAGCGGGCCTAACAATATGGTCGCCACAAAAGTTGGCGCAACCACTGCATGATAAAAATGGGGGCAGAGCTTTTCTTAGAATAGTTTGAGGGAGAAAATAAAAACAAATTTGACAGGGTAAATGGAATCCTTTGTCTACTTGCACATTCGAGCAAATATTTGGTTTTACATAATATTGGGCCCATTCGAATTATACCAGCTCGCACCGATGCCAAAGATTAGTGCGACACAGAAACACGCGGGGCACTGTACTTCGGATTGTGTTTTGAGATAGGCTGCACTAGTAAATAAAATTCGACGGTGTGCACCAAGTACAGCTGGTGCGGGTAAATGGAATGAGCCCAGTATAGCCTTACTACGTAACATTGCATTTGAACTGAGACTTCGAAACCCCAGTTCTCAATGAAATGCACGCTTTTGTAAGCACTGAATCAGGAGTGTGAGCAGGCACCTTCGGCAGAGTGGTCTATTAACGATCGGCTAGCGAGCCTTAAAACCTCTTCAAAGTCTCCTGCGATGAGAGAACTGTCTGCACCACCATAGATCGGGTAGTTGCGGAACGTTTCAGTTTTCTTAAATTTTTCCTATTCTTTTCCTGCATCATTCATTCTTTGCTGGCTCGACAAACTTTTGACAATGGTAAACCATTTCTCGTAGGCATACATTTGGTCCTACAAATAAGGAAGAACGTTTGCAGTGAAATGCAGTGGTCACCTCGTAGATGGCGCCAGCGTGCCAGTGTCTCGTCGTAAGAGATTGCGAGAACCTGGTCGTATGCGAATGCAAGTGTGTGAACGGTCCTTTACCGATCCGGTGCAGAGCCCCCGCTGGTGGCCTCCCTGGAATCCAATGGCATCTCGGAGCATGCGATGCACATGGCCAACTGGTCGGACAGCGAGGCAGTCCACCCCAGCTTCCCCATCAACGTCTTTGCACTCAACTATGGCGTCCTAGAGAGCACCATCTACCGACTGCCCAAAAGTGAGTGCCCTGCACGTTTCTCTGCGTCGCAAGTGACTCTCTTCACCCCGAACGTATTCCACTATTTGATAACACTCCTTTTGAAAGTTTCTTGGGCAACATTGATGGCCACCATTTCTTGGATGATTGATGATAACTTATTCATCATCACTCCAATGTTGATGATAACTTATTCATCATCATTCCAATGTATAGAAGTGGCACGGATCAGTACAAAACCGGGTGTACGACAGTGTGAGTCGGGAAAAACTCTGGGTACAGCTGAGAGACTATGATTTAGATGCACATTTGATTAGGCTTTTACAACAGGTGTACATAAATAACAAGGTAGTTATAACATGGGCAGCAGAAATAACAGAACTGGCAGAAATGAAAAGAAGACTCGGGCACGGTTGTCCCCTATCACCTTTACTTTTTATGATATCCCTGAGTATAATAAAAAAGAAATGAGAAGAGTGCAGTTTAGGTTTTGATGTGTCATATATGGAGAAAGGGGGAAAAGTAAACTAAGTTGTACCAGGAATGTTCTACGCTGACGACATTGTACTGTTAGCAGATAGCCGGGCTAGGTTACAGGAGCTTTAAGACTTGTGGAAAGGAAGGAGACTCTGGGCCTGAAATTCAGTAGCTACAAGTTGGGAAGGGGTTTATAACTTGCTAAAAATTCAAGATCTTTCAATAGAACACGTAGATAAGCCATACCTAGGAGTATGGCTGAATGAGGGAAAGCAATACTTAGAGGAACAGGAAGAAAACATACTAAAGAAAAGAAAAAGGAATGCAGCAATTGTGAAGCAGAGGTCACTATGGAATTACAATAGATATGAAGTTGTGAGGGGAATATGGAAAGGAGTCACGGTGCCAGGGTTGTCCTTTAGCAATGCGGTATTATGCATAAAATCTGAGATCCAGTCGAGCTTAGAGATCTGGCAGAGGAGCGTAGGCAGACCGGCACTGGGGGCGAATGGGAATTCACCAAATGAAGGAGTGCAGGAAGACCTGGGCTGGACATCTTTTGAGGTCGGAGAGGCGATCAGTAAGTTGAATTTTGAACAAAGGGCAGACACAATCGAGGATACGTGATGGGTGAGAAAAATATATAAGCATCTATACATAAAAAGTCTGAACACTAAATGGACAAGCCGAACCCGAAAACTGAAATTCAATTAACAGTCAAGTGCTGGGGCAGAGCAGACTATCTCTGTGAAAGAGAAAGTAAAAGAAGCCGCGAGAAAGATGTGGGAGGAAAGATTGCAGGGAAAATCAACTGTAAATATGTACAGGGGACGAAAACAGGAAATAGGGAGGACATTGGTACAATAATTCATGGGGGAGCTCGTTGTTATTGAGGCTAGGATGGGAATACTGAGGACTAGGACATATAGGGAAAAGTATGGGGAAATGGATACGCAGTGTGCCATATGCCAAGGGGAAGCCGAGACAATAGAACATGGGATGTTGAGGCACACAGGGCTTGCTCCCGCCCTCCCGGAGGGGGTGACGAATTTAGCCGTAGCACTGGGGTTTGCAGCCAAGAATGTAAAATTGGGACTACCTCCTGCGTGGCTCTGGTCCAAAGTCTCCATTCTGTCTCCCAGTGGGCCCAGTGCTGGTGTAACGCCGACTAGGTTGGATTCTTGGTTTGACCAGAGGAAAATTGGCTACTCCCTCTTCAGGGGGAAGAGGTGTACGTGGGATGATATTTTTACAGCGAAGTTGTCAAGGGCCTTTTACAGCGAAGCTGTTAAGGGCTACTTCCCCCACTATCATGTCCGCGGACAATCGAATGCTAAAAGAAAACCCTCATTGGTCGTGACAAGTATGAATAAAAAAAAAAAAAAAGAGGGGTCAAGTATGAATAGGTAAAAAGAAAAAGGGGCAACCAGCATGAGTCAGCCTTCCTTGGCATTATTAGATAGGTCCTGATCCCTCTTTATCGTCTCTAGGCATCATCCTCAAGGTCGTCCCAGAAGTCGTCCTTGAGGTCGTCCTAGACATTGTCCTTGAGGTCATCCTAGAAGTCGTCCTCAAGGTCGTCCTCTAGGCACCGTCCTAGAAGTCATCCTCGAGGTCGTCCTTGAGGTTGTCCAAGAAGTTGTCCTCGAAGTCATCTGAGAGGTAGTCTTAGGCGTCGTCCTCGAGGTCGTCCACTAGGCACCGTCCTAGAAGTCATCCTCAAGGTCGTCCTTGAGGTTGTCCAAGAAGTCGTCCTCGAAGTCGTCTGAAAGGTCGTCTAAGAGGTAGTCTTAGGCGTCGTCCTTGAGGTCGTCCTTGGGGTTGTCCTAGAAGTCGTCCTTAAGGTTGTCTAAAAGTCGCCTTAGATGTCGTCCTCGAGGTCGTCTTAGAAGTCGTCCTATAGGTCGTCCGTGACGTCGTCCTTGAGGTTGTCCTTGAGGTCGTCTTTGAGGTCATCCTTGAGGTCGTCCTAGACGTCGTCCTCTAGGCATTGTCCTAGACGTCGTAAAGATAACAGCTTCGCTGGTCCTCCATCTTAACTTGAAGTGGAAGGGCTCTTAAATTTTTAGTTTATTTTACTCAATCCCCCAAAGGTCATCACGGTGATATCCCACACTGCCTGGTGATAGTTACAAAATTGACGAGGGTAAGCAGATTAGCAAAAGAAAGAAATCATACTTTTGGTTCTTAATTTCTAGGCTAGGTAGCGCAAGCTACCGCACATTATAAAGGGTATGGCCGTTAGCATCCATCCATCCATCTATTTATTGGACACAAAGCACCCAATGGAATCTGAGCTCACGCCGACGCAGCCCCTCGTGTACATATGTGCTCGGATTATGTGCCAAAACAATGGGGGAGCGGATGATTGGCGTAACGGCCACTATAGACGGCGTGCACTTTTGAGAAGGGTTTATTAAGTGGCGTGTCGGCTCCTCCGATGCTATCAAAAGTGGGCCTGATGCCCTAAAGTCAAGAGTGCCTATTGACTGAATCAATCTAATTTCCTTCGAACAAATGGGTGCACTGTCGAACAAATGGGTGCACTGTGGCACGCTACAGTGCCTCAATATCCAGTTCTGTTTAAGGTGATGCCGTTTTTTGTAGTACCCAATTCTGATGGCATACGCTTGCGGGGAATATATGTAGCTGGTAACAAAATGCCACCGCAGTCCCATCAATGCCAAGAGGCGGTGCTGGGAGATGCTCTTTTGAGCATCTCCCAGCACCGCCTCTTGGCAATTTCACTCGATGTTCTTAGGAATTCCGCCAGCTGTTGTTGCACAAGACGCAAGCGGGCCAAGGGCCACTTGCGCCTTGTGCATCAGTGCGTTTGATGCTGTTCGTAAAACAAGCGCAACCGCATGGAAGGGCTTTAAAGCAGCACACACGTAGAGGAACCCTAGTAGTGGTACTCTCTGGTGCGTTCTCTGTCTCCCGGTACGGTGCCTGTAATTCGTGTCCGACCGATGTGTAAAGCGTCCTAATTCGCCCACATCGAAACTGGTCCCGAAGTAGTGACAGATGACGTCACAAAAGCCGGAATGTCGCACTCTCAGACGTCACGGTCATGACGTTTGGCGTAGAAGTTTTGACAAAGTATGAGTGAACGCGAGTCTTTGTCATCGGGGCGTCCAAACTCCTGGCCATCTAATCCTTCATGAACCGTCAAGCTGGAGAGCGACCTGCAACAGAACGGGCGTCTGACACATCCACGCCGCTTCCGTAAAACCGCTAGGATCGCGACCGGCGACAACATATATGACGTCGTCGGGCACAAATAGAGGGACCACTTATAGAGTGTGAATTAACAAGCGCAAATGACGTAGAAAAGAAGGAGGGACCACTTTTGAAGACGCGGTGAGCGCGCCGGTCGGGAACATGTTCCAGTCACCGTGCTCCTGGGTAACTGTTTTCCCGCTGCCCCGCAGAGACCAGAGTCCGCTTCATCCTGGGGCCCTCGCTCTATGGCAAGAAGCCCACCCTGTACATGAACGTGCCGCCGCAGCCCAACGTGGGCTTTGAGAGGAACAAATACCACAAGGTGCCGTGGTCCCACGACGTCCACAACCCCGGCGACGAGACGGCCTACTTCGCCGACGTTGTCTTCAGCACAGCCGGCAGCTTCCACTACTACTTTGTCTGCGACGACGAGTGAGTCCGTTTTGTTTCGCTTTTCTTTTTAATGCGCAACATGTTTTAGGGCTGGTTTTCACAAGATAATTGCGCAATGTTACGAAAGGGCGTTATAAAAGAATCGCCAGCCTTGCATCCCACTAAACTTGGTGAGATAGTCGTCCACTAAATTTGGCGGGGCAAGACGTCGCCCGTCAAACTTAGCCAGAATAATAAATTGAGTATAATTAATTAATAATGACAATTAGCAAATTGTAAGGATAGAAAAATAAGCGTCCCTCCACTGCACATTCTGTCTCCCGACTTTATCTCTACGTTTAACCTGCAACAGACTGTGACAGCATCTTTTCCACCATTGTACCCTGCGGCTTCTACTCGGCATTGGCCGTCTGCTATGGCTTTTGCCTGCGGCAGACTGTAGACAGTACTCTCTCGTGCGCCTGTAGTGCGACCCCTGGCAACGCGGGCTCCGGCTACTTCCTGGTGGACCCCGTGCTGAGGTACGGGGATGGGGAGGAGCTTCCTCTGGACTGCATCCAGTGCCAGACGGTGTTGTCCAAGTGTCTGGGACCCCTGGACTCGTGGCTGCCCAAGCTGCGGGTGGCCCATGAAAGCGGCTACAACTTCGTCCACCTGAGCCCCATCCAGGAGCTGGGCGCCTCGCGGTCGTCCTACTGCATCCGCGACCACCGCAGGCTCAACCCCGACTTCAGCCACGGGGTCAGCGAGCGCTCCTTGAAGGATGTGGCCAAGATCGTGGACACCATGTGCAGGGAGTGGAAGGTGCGCTTTGGCCCTTTGAGGGCCACGCCCAAGTATACAGTGTTCTCCCCCAAAAAGAAGTTTATTTGTTTATTTATTTATTTTACCCTCAGGGCCAGGGGCATTACAGAGGGGAGTGGTAGAAATAAACAAAAGAAACAACATGGAACAACAGTAGAACAAAACTTAAATAATGGAGAAAACATGCTTGGGAGAAGAGCGTGTTGGTTTAAGTCATGAATGAAGAAAGAATAAAACAATTAAAACAGGGACAACACATCCACATCTTTCAAAAAAGATGTGGTTGTGTTGTCCCTGTTTTAATTGTTTTATTCTTTCTTCACCCATGAGAAAACATGGTTACTAACACTTTAACGAAACAGAGCACAATCAACAATTGATGCAACTGATGAAGGTAACTGATTCCATTCTTTTGTGACTCTCGGAATAAACCAGTTAAAATATTAATTTTAGCGGCAAGATGGAACGCCTACTTTGTGCTGTGTGAATACGGTATCTTTTTTTTTTTTTTACCGCAAAAGTAAACTAGGTATGCTTTGCTGAATGCTCATTTTCCACCACCAGCAGTTCGAACCAGGTGCCGGACTTTCAAAACTAACCGTTGTCTCAATAAAAATTTATAAGTGATTTTCTGAAAATTTCAGCGGCAAAATGGGGCCCGTTTTTGCCCGGTTTAGGTAACTGGCACCGTTCAGTGCCATGTATTCGGGAGCTCCATCGACCGCCATTTTCCCACTGAAAGTTTGAGAAAATCGCACAACTTTTGAATAAGATAACGGTTACTTCTGAAACTTTGGTATCTGGTTCGGCCCTCTGGTGCTGCATTTGAGGAAAGAAAGAGCGGTCGGCGATGCATAGTTATTTTTCTGTCGAAAGAAACCCCCAAAATTTTGTCAGGGGACATTCTGTTCTCGGGCACGTTCGGCCGCCTCCGTGACCGAGGCAAAGTGTCGGCCTATGGATCCCCGGGTGGCGGGTTTGAATTCTGGCAGAGATGCCAGCAATACGACGGAGGCTTGTGCGAAGAATACGCCGTGCAACTGGTCGTTCGGTTGCACGTCAAAAGGTCCCCAGATTCTCGGAAGAATCTTCGCTGGGGCGTGCCAGATGCTTTTTGTTGGTATTGCACGTAAAGTCCCCAAATTTGCCGTTCCCTTGTGGTTTCAGCTTCAGTTTGCTCCCTGCCCCTTCAAACTAGCTGTCATATATTTTTTTTTTTTTACCTGTGTGAGCAAGCGATGAAAATAATTTATCTTGTAGTGTCAATTTTTAATTGCATGCAAGTTTTTTTTGTTTTCTTTTTCTGTGTAGGCAGTTTTTATTTTAGTATGCTCTTTCTTTGTTATAGAATAGCGAATCTGTGTCATTCAGTCTCGCATTTCATGGCGAACACTGAAATCGAGAAATTACTAACAAACTCGCTATTCGACGAGCGTGAGTTACAGTTCTAAAAAAAAAAAAAAAACAAAGGAAAAATAAGGCTGCTTGAGAGAGTGACCTTGGGGAGTGAGGTGGGGGTGCCACTGCATATTACCTTGTGTCTCGAAAAGTAAAATACAAGAAATATGTAATAGGTTGTAGGCATGCGGACGTTGATTAACTTTATGCCCATAAAATAGTGTCTTATAAATAAATATTCTTCACGGAGCATGCTTCGGTAACACCGAAGCATGCTGGTGCCGGATTTTCGATGTAGATGGCACCAGTTGCGGGGCTGTTTCTCTCGTGGTCGCTTCCAAAAAGACTTCAGAATGTAATTACCAGAGATGTAATGGGTCCATGTACGGAGCAAAAGCATAGAGCATCTGTGGGAAAACATTATCGAAGGGGCACTCTTCGGCATATCTGAAATGGCACTGGCAGGGCAACGGAAGAAAATGGAGCGTAAGTCTCGTGTTGCACAACCCAATGCGTCGTAATGTGTAGCTTGCCTCTGTCTTTGTAGTTTCCACTAATCTTCATACTTCAAAGCGGGACTTGTGGGCTCATACGAAAACTAATAGAATTGCTTTTGTAAAGCATATTAGATGTCGAAACGCATATCATAAACACCCCACTTGTGCTGCACCGCCGGCGCCTCCCGTGGTCGGTTTAAGAACGTATGGTACGTTTTCACATGGAAATGGAGGCTGCGGCACACAGAAACTGCCTCCAGACATGTTTGAAGCATACACGTGTATGAAGAAACATGCTTCGAACACACTCGAGGCGTGTCCGGAGATAGTTTTGTTGTCACGTGTGCAGCAAACACCGTGTCCTGTCGGACGTACAAGCGCTCTGGCTGGAGCTCTAAGGTGTACCAAAGATGAGCCAGTGGACAAGGCCTGGACCTCGCCGAGCACAAAGCATATGCGATGGCTCCAGAGTTGTGCGGCATCTGGCGCAGGTGCTGACTCTGACGGACGTGGTGCTGAACCACGTGGCCAACGAGACCCCCTGGATCAGGGAGCACCCGGAGTGCACGTACAACCTGAAGAACTCGCCCCACATGAAGCCCGCCTTTCTGCTAGACGTGGCGCTCCACTGCTTCACCCTGGAGATCGCCGAGGGCAAGTGGGAGGCTGAGGGGGTGCCACCCACCATCAGCAAGGAAGAGCACCTCGACGTGAGTGGCCGTTCCTAAGGCACGGCGACGTGTTTTATATTCGAGCAGCTGTAAATGAGTCTTCACAACAGATTCTAGGTTGACACGAGAGATGGTTGTGCACGTCCCAACCTTGCTCTTCGAGTAATCGTCTCGAATGCCGTTCCTTTTTCGACGCAATGAAAACCGGCCGCTCCTGGACCCGCTGCACCATAGTTCGCGGGTTTAAGGGGGCGAACACGACTGTTTGGATCCAAGATGTCTGTCGTCTTATTCGCTAAACGAACGACGGATTAAATGGTCAAGGACGCACTGCCAAGTCGGTACTTATTGAAAGGTTGGGAAGTGACTGCCGTTTTGAGATGTCGAGCCCCTCCCCGCACTCCCAGTTGGAAGCAGCTTCTGTCGATTAGGACGTCTCGCGGGGATTAGGTCCCGGAACAGAGTAAAGTGTCGGTGCACGCAGGCGCTGCGGCGCATCGTGAACCTGCACTGGCTGCCCCTGCTGCAACTGCACGAGTTCTACACCATCAACGTGGACGCTCTAGTGGACGTCTTCCACCAGAAGGTGATTGGTACGCCCCCTTCACCTGCTACGCGCGGCGGCTGTTCCACTCGTGGTCCACGTGCAGTGGCCCGTCTCGCTCGTACATCGTGGCCCTAGCGCGTGGGGTGCATTGGAGGCAGCAGTCTAGATAGCCGGTCAAAGAGGCAGGGGATGCTGGAGGCATTACTTCAAACTAGATGCATGACTGGCAGCAAAAGTACTATTCGCTGCCGGTCGTGCGCAGAGTCAAATGCAGAGTTGGCATATTCGTGTTGTCGCAGTGATTTGGGTAGCAACTAGTCAAGCCAAGCTTCGCATTTGCTGCCTGTGAGACACCTGTTTCTTAATTCGGGTGAGAAATTAGTCATTATTGGTTGCATGTGCAAGGTGCAAAGGAAGCTTTCTAGTCGGAATATAGGAAGAGGCAGGAGGGTCCATTGGCCGAACCTTCTCGGAGGGTCCGAGCTCGAGTGAATGCCGGGGACGGGCACAAGGTTAACCAGACGTCTCGACTAATGGCGAGACGTCGGTTGGGAGGTTTGGGAAACCCGCGTTCACGAAGCGCCCGGAGTCTTGACGACCGTGCGTGTCCATACAGACCTGGGCGCTCCGACGTCGGCACCGCTGCCCGACAAGCCGCTGACAGTGGTGCATCACCCGGAGTTCCTCAGGAACGGATCCACGGTGGACATGGACATAGCACTGCGCATCTTCAATCGCAACTGGGAGCCCGACAGCCCCGACGCTCCGCACCAGGTACCGAACCGATCGCCGAGTCAATCTCGGAGTTACGTGGCTAAGGGCACATTCACACGCTTGCGTTTGCTGAGGACCAAGCTATTGGGACCTCGTACGACGAGAGAACACTACTGGCATGCTGACGCCATCTATGCGCGGACCCTGGAACTTGATTTCGCTAGAGCGAATGTTCTGCACTATTTGCAAGATCAAATGTCTGTCTATGAGAAGCTGGTCGTTTCTAACATTGTCAAAAGTTTTTCGAGCCAACAAAGAAAGAATAAATAAGCAATAATAGGAAACTGAAAGTGCCTACCATGGTGCCAGCTGTTCTCTCGTCGCAAGAAAAGGGGTTTGAAGGCGCACGGCCATAAGGAGTTGCAAGTCTGTGAACCAGCCTTACTAAAATGTCTAGATCTATGCTATGCTTTGAAGGCCATGTAGTGTCTCGTTTTGATTGGCCCAGACTTGCGTGTGTCCCGGTCTACTATGGGGATAAGTATCCGTATTGATGGCAGACATGTGTAGGAAACTTGTGTGCGCAAAGAATAGCAATCCAGTTGCATGGCAGAGGAGCGTCTGGTTTGGAAGGGGGCAACGGAGAGTTAGTACTGAGTCTTTTGTCCAGGGCGTCTCAGCTACGTTGTCCACTAATCCAGGGGTCGGTGGCTTTTGAGAGCAGTGGGCCAGGTGCTTTGTTTGCTGTGGAGCAGTTGTAAGGGGTCACTGGCTGTTTTACCCTGACTAGGGATGCAAAGCACCAGCATGTATTTGATTTTGTAGTGTTGCCTCGGAGGTGTCTGCGCGAGGAAAAGGTCGAACTAACGGGCTAGAAATGTTAGTGTTTGTGGCATGAAGAGCTTTTTGAATAGGATGTTGGTTGAAAGAAAAACGGCGATTGTGGTTTCTGGGTCGGCATGCTAGAATCGGCATCTCAGCTTAAACTGCGTGAAAGAGAGGATGGCATTGTCACTCTCACGGAGCACTCCCAGTGTCTCGCATCTTGCAGTGTTAACTGGGCATGAACCAGATCAGCTGGTTGAGGCCACACCAATGCTGGCAAAGCTAACCGTTGTTAGCGGAGAGCTCCACTCAACGGACACCTGGCGCCATCTGTGGAGGGGCGGAGAAAGCTCCACACCGACGGACAGCTAGCGCCACCGGTGGGGAGGAGGAAGAGAATCGCGAGAAGACTCGCGCACGTCATGTCGACTGCAATATGTAATCCGTGGTAATCCGAATTAAATCGTTGAGTTTAATCAATATCGCTTCTTCTTCACCACAATCACGACTAACACCGTGCTGCGAGGTAGCGTACACAAACGTTCGACTGTTTGGAAATTGATGCGGCGTTATTCTAATTTGTGCTTCATTTACAATAAACATTTGCCAAGCTTCTGCTTAGATTTGAGAACGGGAGCAACTAGAACTGTGGCGTGTGTTCACAATGTAATGGCAGAGATGTTAATTTGGATACGCTCTACGCTTTGGCCACCTCTTTGCGCTTTATGCTGCAACTGCGGTGCATTACCACGTTGGAACAACTATCAAACCTTAGACAAGTGGAGTCTCATCACGGAGCTCGTTGGGAGCTTGCGTAAAACCAGCGTGCAGACGGTCACCCAGCTGGCGCGTGCCCCTTGAAACGGGGGCTCCGTCGGGACGAGCCCTTCCCCTCCCCAACCGACCTGCTGGGGGCATTTTCGTCCAGATTGGGCGCTGCTGCGGCGAGCTGCGTCGCTGCCTGGAGCAGCTGAACGGGACCCAGTGGGGGCTGTTGCACAGCCACCTGCAGGCGGCAGTGGAGAACGTGGTGAAGGGCTGCCGCTACCTCCGACTGCAGCACGACGGGCCCCGCAAGCAGGCCGTCTCCAGGGCCAACCCGCTCGTCGGAAGGTGAGGGGGGGCACAGAAGAGTTCTTCGTTTCTTGCACCGTTTTCTGGGCCGCTTGAGGCACGCCTTCCTGGTTGGCTTTTTTCCCCGTTCCATCCCGCTGTAATATCCCTAGAGATAGCCCTCCTTAAATTTGAGAGCAAATCGGGTGAAAATAAAGAGTAAGTTAACTTTCTGTGTGCGATCCAAAAAAAGTTGAAAAAGTTTTACTTTTAGATTTTGTGACCTGCGAAACTTGCAATTGCGGGGAGGGGCGTTGGTACCGACAACGACTGTCCTTCCCAGTCAGCAATGTTCGCTCATATCTCCCGTCTTGGCCAAGTAACACCATTTCTGCCGTGGTCACCTTTGGCCAGAGCCCTAGAATTATGTACTAAAAGTGGGCTATCTTTTGGCGTTTTTGAAAATATAGCAAATTTAGCCAAAAATAGAGGGCGGGTTATCTTTTGGGGTATCTCTCGGGACATTACGGTAAGCTTGCCAGTCTTGAGCGAGTGGTATATTTGACCGTGTGTTATTTCACCGAGAAAAGCTTGGCATTTTGCATTTATTCTGCGAAGGAACTTAAAAAATGAAAGCCGTTTACAACTTCCTGTAACGCCGAATTGGAGCGCAGCTCTTGAGGAGGAGGAAGGAAGGGTACTGAGGGGAGGGTAGACCGTTCCTCCTCCTCCCATCATTTTTTAATATGCCCCGGGGGGGGGGGGGGGGGGGGTCACCTGACCTCGGGAGAGGAGGTCACGTAACCTGGGGGGGGGGGGGGGGGGGGGGGTCGCGTGACCTTGAGGTGACCTTGGGAGGTTTCACATGAATTGGGGGGTCACATGACCTTGGGGGGTCACGTGACCTTGGGGTGACCTTGGTTACACCGACGCCGATGCCGCTCAAGCCGGAAACAGGCGCCTAAGAGCTGCGCTCTAAAAGTGGGGAAGAAACTATGTTAACCTCTAGTCTTGCAGAGTACTTGGTGCTGTACAGTCTTATGTGCTTTTGTGTTGCAAAACAATTCAATCAATGAATTAAGGAACAGTCTTGCAAGGGGCATCTCTTCCGCACCAAGGATCGAGAGGTTAATTAGGGTCACGCTAGAAACTCCAAACAGAACAAAAGAGGACAAAATTCCCTTTCTAACGAGGAATGACTCTGCGCTAGGCACTTCGAAAATGGCAAAGTCCAGCTGCTAGTTGCGTTATTTACAAGCACACATAGCTAAAAGTGCTTCTAACTTTTTTTTTTTTTTTTAGAGTAAACATTTTATGTACGGGAGCTAATCTTGTGGATGGCGTCTTTTCGATGGCGGCCGGCATGCAGGTACTTCGTGGTGCTGACGGACGTGCCCGTGCTGAACCTGAAGGAGGCCGAGAAGCTCATGTTCAGCGAGCGAGCGGCCTTCGTGATGGCTCACAACGGCTGGGTGATGAACGACGACCCCCTACGCAACTTTGCCGAGCCGGGCTCGAACGTGTACCTGCGGCGGGAGCTCATCGCCTGGGGGGACAACGTGAAGCTGCGCTACGGCAGCTCGCCCGAGGATTGCCCCTTCCTCTGGAACTACATGAAGGAGTACGTGTGCGAGTCGGCACAGCTGTTCCACGGCCTGCGGCTGGACAACTGCCACAGCACTCCGTTGCCGCTGGCCGAGTACGTGCTCGACGCCGCTCGCAAGGTAACCCACTTCCATGAAGACGGGAGCAGAACGCTGCAAATCGTAGGAGCCGACATTGGCAATCCCGAGAGAAAGAGCGAAAAGAGCAACAGAAAAGGGGGAAAGGAAGCAGACGATAGGTTAGGTGTGTTTGTCTTGCTGCGATGAGTTGGAACTGTTTCAGTGCTCGTCAACTTCATCTTTTTTTTTTATACATTATGCGACGCCGGTTTTGTTTTGCAGAGTAAGCTATAAAAGAGCTAGGTACAGGCTTAACAGGTGAGCTTTGCCGCTTCTTGGTGTATATTAAGGCATCGCCAGCGATATGGGCCCTCCAGGACAATCCACTGGGACCAGTGGTATCCATGTCTATGCCCTGTTGTTCTGAAGTGGCCAGTATGCATGAGACCTTCTAGATTATTACATTAAAGGAAAGCTGAAGAGTTTCTTGAAAAAATCGAGTTCGAGGATAATTCTCGAGTATTTTTATTCCGTGAATCTGAATATCACGTTCGTTTTCCTCGAAGATGTAACTGAGCATGAGAAAACATGAAAAACCTCCAACCAGTCATTACGTCATAAAAGAACATTTTGGTCGCCAAGCGCATGTCGCTCGTGTGAGCAGCATGTGCAATTGCAAGCTTGCCAGGCATGTTCTCCCGCACTGAAACCAGTCGTGACGTCTTTTTTTCGACCTTTTCGAAAATACTAGTGAGAGTGCGCGTGTATAGCTTTGATAGGCACTGAAGATGCATGAGACCGGAAATTCCGAAAACTCTTTTTACGACGTAACACTCCGGGAAGTAGGAGCTTCGGCAGTACTTTGAAAATGTTCTCCTGCAGCCTCTGTGCATCAAATTAAAAAATAATCTCGATATTCGCGATTTTGGAGGCCAAATGAAGATGATTTAAGTGTTTTTACTCGTATACATAATTGCTTCAATTTCCCTATGGTACCGCGATCTATGAGCGACGGCGGCAACCAGACAACTGATTGTTGCCATCGCTCATAGATGGCAGTAGCTGTCCAGAGTTTGGTGTCATCATTTCTACTCTGGCGGACACGATCCTAAATACGATGATATTGTCACTTTGAATTGAACTTAGCAGTCTGAACGCTGTAATTAATCGGCTGTTTAAACCTTCTAGTCACGCATGCAAGGCGAAATTACTTAAAATTTATTGTTCAGTGAGTCATATTCATGGCCGAATAATTGTCCCACAAGTTGTCGAATGTAGTTGTTAAAATTACCAATCCGTGGAGAACAATTGGTACACGAATTAACTACGAAAACATTTCGATATTGTCACTTTGAATTGTATTGGCAGTCTGAACTCTGTAATTAATCATCTGTTAAAATTTGCTGGACAAGCACGAAATTTGCCAGACAAGCATGCGGGGCCAGACTCTTGCCCCTCCTCCGCACTTACAAATGCAACTTGCCACACAAACAAAGCGGCTTTAAAAAACTGATAGCTGCACACTTTTCATGAATAACAATATTCTGTTTGTAGTGTGTCAGTCTCACTTATCCCCGTGTCAAACGTGCCTGGCCACGTCGACCGGGCAGTCGCCACCCCATCTGGGCATCACGCCAGAACAAGGCAAAAACAGTTTCTTCACTGATTCGGGCAGCCAAACCACCCTTCATCTGACCTTACGCAACAAGACGCAAAGATATTGTGAATAGTATCGTAGCATTGAAACATTCGCAGACTGGCACGAGCGATGCGGTAGATGGCTGCGGGGGCTAGTTGCCTTTCCGTGAGACAGATGCTCTCTTTTATCCAAAGGGTCCAGTGCCTTCTCTGTCCACCCTCAGAATGTCGTCGGACTCTCTTTGGAGACCCGGTTTAACTCGCATGCAGGTTCGGCCAGACCTGTACGTAATTGCGGAGCTGTTCACGTCGCGCGAAGAGGTGGACAACCTGTTTGTCAACCGGCTGGGCATCAACTCGCTCATCCGCGAGGCCATGAGCGCCCCGGACGCCCGGGAACTCGGGCGCCTGGTCTACCGGTTCGGCGGTGACCCCGTGGGGAGCTTCCTGGCGCCGCCCGTCCGGCCGCTGGCGCCGTGCGTGGCGCACGCCCTCTTCATGGACATGACGCACGACAACCCGTCGCCGTTCGAGAAGCGCTCGCCGTACGACGTGCTGCCCAGCGCCGCGGTGGTGGCCATGGCGTGCTGCGGCACGGGCAGCAGCCGCGGCTACGACGAGATGGTGCCCCACCACATCCACGTGGTGGAGGAGGAGCGCGAGTTCCTGCCGTGGGGCCAGGCCGCCGCTGCCGTGCACCTCGAGTCCGGCATCGTGGCAGCGAAGAGGGCTCTCAATCAGCTGCACTTTGAGCTGGGAAAGCGGGGCTACCGGCACGTCTACGTAGACCAGGTGGGTCTGGGGTCACGCACTGCCTGACGACTACGGGTTGCACTTGTAGGACCCGTCGTAACGGCTACCCCCATTATCTCTTTAAATACCACGGGAAAAAGTGGGGATTTTAGAGGAATAGACAAAACATTTTTATTTTAAGAACTACGTACGTCTAATTATACATAAAAATGTAGCCAATAAGCTGAGAGTTAGTGTCCACCAAAAAGAAGTACACTAATGTCTGATAAACATTTTGTCAAATTTAAATGCTGAACTTTGAATTTGTTCGAAAATGAGAACAAAGAAGGTAAATCAATTTTGGTTATATTAAAGGGGCTGCACAACGATTTTTGTACTTTGCGTAAACACTGCTTAGAATGAATCGCGGACGTTTATAACCTATAAAACACACGTTAGTTTTTCTCCTTGTGCAACAGTAATCTAAGAAACAAAAAAACGAGCAGCATTTTTTTTAAAATTTGCAGCCAGAACAAGTTGCCATGTGATCTGGAGCCGGTTACATGGTGCCAGTGTTTATTGTAGCCATGCACTGGCGTTGGCAAAGCACAGCATATGTCCTGAGTTCCAGACGTCGTTAGGGTTTAGCTACTTTCGTCATTTGCAACGATTGGAGACGGGCCACTACCCGAATGCTTGTGGAGCCATTGATTATCGATTTGATTTGACCCTAATGCTTGGGTCTAATCTTTGAGCTGCATTCAGACATTGTCACGGGGAACTGTGCCAACACTGCAGTCTCGTAACCATGTCATCAAGCTTTTGGAAAGAGAGATTGAAAGAAAACGCTTGCTTCTATTCTTGAAATCACACCGTAACAAAAAGGTTTCTTGGTCAGTGGTGTTGTGTGCAAGTATACCTGATTCCCACCAGTGCCAGTAAGCTTGTGTATAGTTAAAAGCATTGCAACCGAATATCATTGCACTGAGCAATACAATGATTTTGAAAAATCCTGAATACTATGTGAAACAGGAACTGATACCATAGATTGTGGGCACGACAAATTTGCGTTCCACGGTGCGATAAGTATGTGGGAATTTGCTGCGGGCTCCCTTGTCACTGGAACGGATATCGCCGATCACGGATGCAGCACGTTCGCACTTCACAATGCGACAAACTCACAAGAGCCCGGTACAAACTCAAGTGTAGCGGGAGCCGATATCGCGCGTGCAGATCGCGGACAAGGAGCAGAATCTGGCCATAAACTCGCATGTTACGGGAACAGATACTGCAGATTGCGGACGTAGCACATTCGCATGTCGCGGTGCGATAAGCAGTAGGGAACCCTCGGCGAACACGCTTGCCACACGTACCAATACCGCAGATGGCGCTGTTAACGTGATTCTCAGCGGACACGGCGTGATCAATATCTGGCGGGAATAGGGCGATGGGCGATGTTTCCGAATTTTTATGTTACGGATATTCAGCCCAAAAAACGGGATCGGTGATCTCTCGGGGCGGGCGTTCTCTTGGAACTTTACGGTATCACTTGTGAAAGTTAAAAAGCTCCAGCTGATGCTGTCTTTTTTTCAGTCTGTCGGCAAGTATGTTTCAGTGGCATCATGCATTCAGAGACATTGTTGCATGCAAAGATGCTGTGACAAAAATAAACTGATTCTGATTCTGATGTCCTCCAGAGCCCTATTTTTACAGCGGAGCTGTTCCCTAGTATCATGTCCGCGGGCAAACAAATGTCGACACTAAACTCTGGATAGCTACCGCCGTCGTTCATAGATGACGGCAAACTTTCGAGCCTTTCCACCCTGGCTTGCCGACTTGCGGCCGGCCATTACTTCATTCCCACCATAGTACAGCTTCGCAGGTCTTCCTTCTTCACCAGAGTGGAAAGGCTGAAATTGTTTTTCTGGGGTGGGAGGTGTTGGGACTGTTCATTTTATCGAAAAGACGTCTCGGAAATGTCTCTGTAACAAATCTGGCCCCGCATGTGCCTCCACAGGTAGATGGCAGCATCATCTCTATCACGCGCCACTGCCTGGAGACGCACCAGTCCGTGGTGCTGGTGGCGAGGACGGCGTTTCAGCGGCCCTCCAACCCCCTCGAGACCGGCTGCATCCCGCCCCTCTGCATCCCGGGCGTAGTCGACGAAATCGTCTTCGAGGCGCACTGCGTTCGCGCAGCCGACGGGGCCCCCTTTGCCAAGCACGAGAAGTTTGTCAACGGGTCAGCGGAATATCAACTGGAGATGCGCGAGCACATCTCCCTCCACGAGTCCAAGATGGTGGAGCTGAGCGAGGCCAGCGAGGCGCACATCAACGAGCTGGACTTCTCCAACTTTCCCCCGGGATCCGTCATCGCATTCAGGTGAAATTCGTGCTACCGTCGGTCTTGTCAGAGGAGGTATTTGAAAAGAAGTCGGAAGGCCGAGGGGGCGAGAGGCGAGAATTGAAAATGCGACGTATGTTTCGTGTTTGTACGAATTTGATGCCTTGGGTGGTTTGCTCGAGAGGCCCGCTTTGTTTGCTCGCGCTTGTATTGCAAAAACATTGCCGGTTTTCGTCCCGCGTGCCTTCTAGAGACTCCAGGCTAGTGGTTCTACTGCACCGGTTAAATTTCTCGTCTACAGCTGAGTGACAAGTTGCCCACTGAGGCAGACTAACTTCTGGCTGTCTAAATGTGCATACGACACAATTACTTATTTGCAGAATCGCGGCAGGTTATCTCCGCTGAGTGCGCTCCTCACCGAGCATCTCTGCATTGCGGGGAAACAATAGCTGTGGAGCCCACCAGAACTCTATATAGAGAGAATTTGTTCAGTGGGAGGAGCGGGCAGAGCCAAGGCGTGCACCAGATGTAGATAGAGCGCTTGGCATGCTCTTTTGGCCAACCAGAAGCTGAAAGGAATCCCCTAGCGGTGGTAGCGAGAAGCAGTTTAAATAAGAGCGTAAGGGTTAAATGTAGTACCTAACTCTTCATGGCTGAAAATATGGTGCACGTGATGTTTCGATTATCATCATGCAGAAAGCTGCAAGAAACGAATGTGCCGCTCGAATTCCGGTTTGCTCGGACAGAGTGTGACCGCTCGGACGGCAGATTCCTGGCCCTTGGCGTTTGGCGTACAAATTATGTCGATCGTTCTTCTAGTCGCGCACGCTTTATATATCTTCCACCAAGATTTTGAATGACTGTGATTGAAATATCACGTGCACCATATTTCATTATTTCATTTCCCACGACCACCGCCAAGGTATTATTTCCGGCTTCTGGTTGGCCACATTGGAATCTCTGAAGATGCACTGGAACACGCCCATCCTGCTTTCAACCAATGGCGCCTCCTTATTTGTTTCGTATACCATATTTACTCGCGTAATCCTCGCACCCCTAATGTGAGCCAGAAACAAATTGGATTTTCCTTTTCCTTGCATAATCCTCGCACCCCCAAAACTGCAGCGGCGAAAGTCGCTTGCTCGCGAAACCTGCATTATGCACGCGCTTTCCACCGCCCACATTTTCCGGTGCCGCGCTGCTCTATTCGGCCTGAGTCCTTTAATGCTCCAAGTGCCCTAAGGCGCCCTAGGCAGCCTAGCGCCATGTCTCAGACACTAGTCACACTGTCGTTTAGCCGGTTTCGCGTGCGCGCAACTAGACGGCGTTCACGCAGCCCGCGGTCGTCACGTCGCTTACGACGACCAGCGATGCTCAGACTGAGGTCGTTATCAGCGACGTAGGTAAGTCTTAACTCAGACTGCGTTTGCAAATAAATCTTGCTTTGTGCTGAACTTGTGGTTTTATTGTTAAGGTAAGTCCTGTATTGGTAGTTCTCAAACCTTGTAAATAGCTGCCGGCGCGAAAACCCCAATTTGCAACCACTTCATTATTTTTTTTTTTTAGAGCTCTACATTTTTTGCGGAAAATTTTTCCTGCATAATTGTTGCACCCCCCAACTTCCCATTGATTTTCCGCAAAAAAAAGTGTGAGGATTATTCGAGTAAATACGGTACTTCCCTATGAATAACCAAACTTTCTCTATATACGCCTCTGCGAATCCGCAAGCTCTACAGGTTTTCTTCCCTGCTGTCCACAGTGCTCGGCGAGAAGCTCACTAAACACAGTTCATCCTAAAGCATATATTGAATAGCATATATTCGAAACCACTATTCGCGAACTCGAGTATTCGTACAACACTAACTTTCTTACAATGCGCGATGCCGGTGGTTTTTGTGGACTATAAATAAAGAGAACTACTAGGTATACAGAACTTGCGTCTTGCCTTTGTATGTTAAAACGTCGACAGCGATATGGGCCCGGTCGGATAACCGAGGACCACCGACGTCTGCATCTATGACCTGCTGTTTCGAAGCAGCCGAAATACTTTGGAAGATGGTTGCTCGTCTAGAATATGATATGTACTGTATGGGCGTAGCGAAGCGGGGTTCTTTCACCCGCAGGGTGTCCATGCACGCAACGTCCAAGGCGGCAGTGCAACGCATCCGTCACCACCTGGCTTCCTTCGGCTACGATTACTTCGAAGAAACGGTTCAGGCGCCCCAGGCGCCCCGGGCGCCCCCGGAGGACAGCCTGCCAAACATTGCCGCGGCCCTGACGCTCTCGGATCTGAACCGGGTCCTGTTCCGATCGGATGCCGAGGAGCGGGCCGAGGGCAGAAACTGCGGGGCCTACTGCTTCCAGAGGTTCGGCACCCTGGTCTACTGCGGCCTGCAGGGTGCGTATGAATTTGAAAAAAATTGCCTAATTAATTATATGCACATTTTTTTGCCAGTTGAGATTTATTTGATAAATTGATTTCTTTTACAGTCTCTAACGTATAAGAAGTGTGACTGTCTTTTTCTCTTTCGTGGCCCTCCATTGGCTTTCTCGCTTGTTTTTCTTGTGGTAATCCTGGATGCTTCACTAAAGAAAGTACTACTAGTTCTGAAAACTGCCATCGCTCAAAGAGCTCTGCGGGACGATGTCTTTTCCCCTTGTATCTTGTATGGTTACTCGTATGCTCTTACTTTTTGTATTGCTCGCAAATTCGTCTAACATACTACGTCTAAACGCAAGGATCTAGAGTTGGAGCTTTAGGGAGTGCAAAACTCAAAACTCTTGCAGAAACCAGAAGCCTGAGCCCCTAAGCTGCAATGGCACACTCAGACAGTTGCCAAAGAGAAGTCAAAGTCTTACTCGGTCTTTCTTTCTGGGTCTCGGCCATTGCCACGCAGTTTTTTTTAAGGTTCAGACCCCGACAGATAAGCTTGACGTGCACAAAGAGGTCCCAGAGTTTGGAAAAAAAAGTAGCTTCGGGGAGGGCCTTTGTGTAAATATAGCTGGCGAGGAATACAAAATGAAGGCCCATTCACGCACTTGCGTTTGCTTAGAACTGAGCTCTTGCGATATCTTACGACGAAACAGCACATTTGGCATGCGGGCACCATCTAGGAGGTGACCCTGGAAATGCAGTCTGCTAGAGCGGAGCTTGTGTGGTATTTTTAAAGTCTGACATACATAATATCTGGGAGCAATGGTCATTCATAACATCGTCCAAAGTTTTCCAGGCGGAGAAAGAAAGAATCGCACACAAAACAAAATAGGAATTATATGGAAATTGAAAGTATGAATGGCTTCCCGATGGATGCGTGTTCTCTAGTTGTAAGAGATTTTAAGAGGTTTTAAGGCACACGGTCATACGCAATCTCAAATGTGTGAAACATCCTTAAAGGGGCACTGACACCCCAAAGGTCGTATTATTTTTTATTGTCTAAATAAAACGATGCAAGTTGTAGTCATAGACACGCAAAAAAAACCGCATCGCAAAAAAAACTTTCCTTGCACGCGCGCGGGGCTTTTTATTTTTGTTGTTTATATTTCCGCGCTCACCTCCTTGCTTCTTTTGATCGGTGACATCAAAAATCAGGAAATTTGGAAGCTTTGTAGGCGACATTTCTATAACATTTAATAACAGCAATCGTAAAACATGTTTTTTAATGCAATTGCAAACGCACTACGGCCTGTCTTTTTGAAATACCAAAAATCAGGTTTCGGTGTGATGTCGCTTCCTGGATTTGTATCCTCCCTCGGAAAACTTGGCGGGGCTCGAACAGAGCATTATCGCCGAGTCGGGGAAGAAACCGGTTGTTTCCCGTGCCAGCGCTTTTCTATCCCGCCTGCTAACCTCCTCCTCGCTTCGGGTCGCGGTAGCAACGGTGTTTTGCTTCACAGCGTGGAGCGGAGGTCCGAAAGAAAGTCAAGTTGCAGGAGACCGCAAAATTTGACTCGCTGCACTGGCGCAGATCGCGCGGGAACTTCAAATTCGGCATTTGGAAGTTGTTTTTTTAATTCAGAAATACAGTAGACTCTCGGTAATTCGAAGCTTACAGGGACAACAAAATGCTTCGAATTAAGCAAACTTTGAATTAAAAAAGCACATATAAACCTGAGTTTATTTTATTCAGTACTCACTTAAGAGAAGAACTGGTCGATCTTAAATTGTTTTCGCTGACGCATCCGCGCCACCGTCACTCGGCTCTGCAAGTTACGTATGCATCGTAAGGCGTCTTCGGCATTCTCTTCGCCCGAGAAAAAACGTTCTACGACGCCCAATGCACTTTCCGCATCAGCGGCACTCGGCGCGGAAATCGACGGCAGCGAGAGTTCCTCGTCGTCAGAGTCATTGTCACTTCTTTGCACCACCACACCAGGCCTAACCACTTTGATTATTTCGACGTCCGAAAGCGGATTGGAGACCTCGATGTGCTTGTCAACATCGAAATACTCATCAAACGGAACATCTCCAAGGGCTTCCCTCAGTTCACTACCTGCGGGTACCTCTTGTGGCCCAGCTTCTTCGGCGATATCTCCAGTCTTGCTGGCCTCGCTGACAGCGTCGACGGTAACGAACCCGCAGTGACGAACGAGCCAGCACACTTTTGGATCTTCGTTGTCATAACTCCCGCTCGCACCGTTCCGCGGTTCCGCCGAACGCAACCCAACCTTTTCGCCACCTATCTCCCTCTCTCCCCTCGAGGGGAGAGCACAGAGTGGGAGAGCAGAACCCAAAGCAAATAAGCAAACAGCCGCGCGCGCAAGGCTATTTGCTTCCTCGCCGCCGAGCCGCAGCGCGCCGTGGCGTCGTCGCACATTGCATCAGATTGCATTTTTTTCTGATGCTGCAACAATGATGCAATCTGACGCAGATTGCATCAGATTGCACTTCGTTTCAGCTTCGGTCCAGACGCAGCCTATGCTACAAGCGCGAGCATGTGGCCCAGAACAGTGCTTGCACTGCACGAGCGCGCGTGCTTGGCAGGGATGTTACAAGCCCGGAGCTCGCGCTTGTAGCTTTGGCTGTGTCTGGACCGAAGCTGAAACGAAGTATAGTGCGGCGACGCCAGTGACGCGGCCGCGGATCGTGGCGTTGCGTATTCACGCTTGGCGCTTGGCATTTGTTTTTTTCGCTCCCGGGGTTTCCGGACTTCAGGCGCAAACAAAAAATCTTTCGAATTAACCAGCTCCCAACATTTAGCCTTCGAATTACCTAAGGTCCCTCTATACTGGAAAGGTAGCGCCATCTCTCCTCTCCACCCTTTACGTTTCTCTCTTTCTCTCCTTTTGGCGCCGCGTGCGCCGCCTAGGGGGTACCAAGAAGGAGAACTAGCAGACGACGGCCGTGTCCTCTCCGCTCATTCAGAGAGCACAATCTTTCGCGTTGCGTATTTGAAAGTGCAGGTTTCTGAGACATTCTCACATTGCATAGTGCCAAGCAAGTGTTAAACACCAAGAAAGTATGAGTTAAACGTGACGGCAGCGTTTTCAACCTTCGGATAAAGCTCACAGAACTGAGTACATAGAAAATGGAACACAGCTTTATTTCCACGAGTAAAAATGCAACGATATGGTTCTCACGAGTGTGGTAAGCACCGTCATTATCAGTGATTAAATACGTAAAAAAGCCTTCATAATATTCGGCCCCACATAATCGCGAGAATTTCTAGATCCTGCAGTCTTCCACGAGCTTAACGACTACAAGCGCGAATTCCGGTTGCTGCTGCCTCCGCGCTAAAAAGAGCTTGAAACGCTATAGCAATCATACCGTAGATAAACATGCATGAGCTATCGAGGACGCCGGACTATTGCGATCATTACTGTCGATCTGGTTTCGACCAGGGCCTCCCGAAATTTGGGTGACTGCATGTATAGCAGGGCTAGTTTGTCACTCGTCGCTCTTCAAATTCGTTTCCTTTTTTGAGGGGGGTTGGGGGGGTGGGGGGGGAGGTTGACGTTGATGCAGTGCTACTGTATCCCGATCTGTAAAGCCCTTCTGTACTTACGAATCGGCAGTGTCGGCTGACCATACTATTGCAATACCGTTGGAAACTGGTGTTCCTTCGGTTGTACCGTAACTTCAAGCACTCTCTTAGGTTTAATGAATTTTGCAGTTATTTGCCAGAAATAAACATAAACTGCACAAGCTATGTAAAAAAAATTAAAAAAAAGATTGCGACAGATTATTCATATGATGTATTACATAGCATCACAGTTGGGAAGTTTTGCCTCCTTTATACTTACTAAAAGTGAAAATATCCAACTTTGGTTTTGGTCATTACCAGAATGGGGAAAAAGAAATTGCAGAGAAAAGGCAACTGACTCGAGATTAAAATATGTGGCATATATTTATTTTCAAATTACCTCAGACTACCATAGCCAAGACAGCAGTGAATGGAAGCACTTATACACATGCTCAGATACACTTTTTAAAACAAAGACAGTGGATGAACAATTATTAAAAGGAGTCACTACGCAAATCTAACAGGAAAAACATAAAATTATAAAAAGGTCTCACACTAGCCAGTTTTAACAACAAAGACAGTACACAAAAGTATTATTACAAAAAAGCCTCATCTGAAATTTATGTATACAACACTAATATATACATTACAACACTGAATGTTTACAAGACGTTTGAAGGGAAGCTACGGAGCTTCTTGGAAAAAATGAGTTAGAAGTGAATTTTAGTATATTTTTACCCCGTGAACCCGAATACCCAAACCATTTGCTGTGTAAGTATTGTTAAACGCGAGAAAAACGCGAAAGACAGTCGCTGTCCGTGACGTCATCGACGGCTCTTTTGGCTGCCCAAGGCTGGGGAGGCGGGGCTTCAGTCCTATTTTGAAATTGCTTGTATGGCTCTCCGGCGCGTCGCATTGAAATGTAATTTTGATATCTGTTATTCTAAAGGCCAAATGAACGCAATTCAAGCGTTTTTCCTCAAATGTAGAAGTGCCCCATCTTCCCTTTAAGGGGAGACTGACGGTGTACTTATGCTCGCCAAGGTTTTTATTTGTACATGACATATGAGAGCTCAACTACCCAGAACTCAATTGGTGACTCGAAATTCATATTCTTTCCACCCGAAAACCGCATATCAAGAACTCGCCGGCGTGATTCACACTCACTCTCTTCTCCATGGTTACGTGCCATGACCTGTTCGCGTGCTGCAGTTCACGGCACAGCAACCAGGCATATCGGCCGTTCGACAACGCAATCCGAGCGAAACGCGAAACGGACATCCAGCTACAAAAAGAAACGAAAAGCTACACGACCAACGACGACAGCAAAACCGGCACGAACGTCTAAGGAAGTCCGGATCTGTCCGACGCAACGCGAGTCCGGCGTAGCTTGCGGCGCAGCTGGCGACGAGACACATGAGACACGGGAGAATTTGCTGGCTGGATCCTTCATGGCTGCCAAAAGGGCGGAGCGCTAGGAGAAGGTCACGTGCCACACACCGGCCTACCGCTGAGCTCGGCGGCATGATCAAAGGTTGTCGCTACTTTTCCTGTATAGAGGGACTTTAGAATTACCGCGTGTTTTTCCCCATAGCATTGTACATACGATTGCTGGGACCAGGCCCATGCTTCGAACTAACCGAAAATTTGAATTATGCGACTTTGAATTACCGAGAGTCGACTGTACTGAATTCCCAAGTTTTGAATTTTGAGGGTAATGTCCCGGCATCTTTTTCAATCGTTTAGGATAATAAAATAAAATATGATTTTGATGTGTCAGTGCCCCTTTAAAGCAAAGCGGCAAGGTTTTTCCTGCCTTGGGCATTTTCTGGCACATGTCGTGCAACCTTGGTGGAGTGGGGCTCACGGGCCGCTCCCGGGTTGGGACAGGGCTGATGTCGGTGCTGTCCGAGGTGCGCTCCAAGAACGACCTGGGTCACCCGATGTGCGACAACCTGCGGGCGGGCGACTGGCTCATGGACTACATCGTGGCACGGCTGGCACAGGAGAAGAGCACCCTCAAGGTGAATGCCCTACCGACGCCACGGTGCACAAATAGACCCTCTTCAATTGTGCGTGCTGTTGCCTGTCTGCCGTTGTTTGGGCTCATACTCTGAGCACGTATTGGGCATGAAAGCGGCCTCAGCATTCGGCGTGAAATCGGCTCGTATCGAAAACAAATGCTGTGTTGGCGGTCGGCGAGGACTCGAATCCAATGGACCTTTTTGGAAAGTAGGCATTATAGGAACAGTGAGGGTCGCTGCTCCGTCGTCTGCTGCTACCGCCGTACCGTCTGCGAGAACCACGTTGTCTATGTTCGCATCGGGTCCCTGTGTACGGCAGACGGCAATCTTTGCGGCGCCCTGTGCAGTGCTGCATTGCCCACATGAGGTGAGAAACTCTCAGTCACAGCACGTCTGCCCAGTGCCCTTTTTCTTTGGATGGGCCATCCTTCTGGGTGGGCCACCATTCTTTTTAAACAGCCCTTTGCGCGTGGGCCACGCACCAAAAAACGAGATATAAAAAAAATGTTGGTGTGCCAATCCACATCATGAAAATGGTTGGCCAGCGAAGCTGTGGTATCACCTGCAACGATTGCCCACTGCACTATACCAAATGATTGACGAAAGAAAAGTAAATGCTCTGTACCAAAACTTCTCATAGAGACCCTTTTATGGCGAACGCCGCCAGGCGGCAGTCCAGTATTTGACGTCTTAGAGAACTTCTGGTTCATAAAAATAATAAACGACGCCCACCTCAACACTGCTGCTTGAAATATTGATGAAACATTACCAATTGTCCAGGTGAACGCCAAGAAAACGAAGAAGCGCGAGGTCTATTAAAAAATTTCGAGTATTCTTGTAAACCATCTTGAAACTGCAAAGGTAATAAAGTGTACAGCCGAAGGCCCTCGTTAAATCTACATCGATGTTGTCTGTGTAGCATTTATGCTTTCTAGCACCGGTGACATAAGCAAGCTCGGCAGGCTTGCAAAAACGGAACGACCGGAAGTGGTTTGGGACGCAAGCAGCAGTTTGTGTTTGTAAACAGCAGAAGGGTCTTGTACATAATATGAAAGGCCAGTGATGTCACTCCCCATGTCGCAAGTTGCGGTTGCCGCGGCAGCTAGCGTAAGAGTAATTTTCACCGGGAAACATATGCGGTGAGTGCTACGTGCTTCGCATTGTTATCAGGCGTGCCTTATCATCAAATATCTGGTTCGAGTGCTTGTTTTGTGCTTGTTTTTTTATTGAAACGAATACTGTGCTCTATGTTGTATGCTTGAAATGCACTTTTCACTTCAATTGCTGAAGGGTTTTTTCCCCGTGAGGACGACAACACAAAAAAATTCCAGAAATATGTCCTGTGAGCTATATACAGCTTCGCTATAAAAAAAGAAATTGGGGTGTGGGTATGTTTATACAGCCTAAGTTTAGTCTGCCTCGACGGGCGGCTTGTCTTTGAGCTGTAGATTAGAAATTTAGCCAGTGCAGTACAACCGCTAGCCTGGCGTCTTTAACGTGCACCACGCAGCAGCGATACAGGACTGCACGCTGGTATAATGCTCATCGAGATAGAAACAAGCAGGAAAGGGGATTAAGCTCAGCAAGGTATCGCACATGCATCCAACATGGTATTTTCTTTTATTTTTTTTGCTATGAGAATTAGATGAGCTGGTTGGTACGTTTTATTTTCCTTTGCCAATAAAAAGAAAAGACAATGCAGCTCGTCCCAACAACATTCGAAGCCCGTTTGCTCTCCTGGATGCATGAATGGATTAAGAAGGGTGCTGCAGTTCGGACGGTAGCTTGCACCACCTAGCACACAAAAGCTAAACTAGGCTAGACTTGGCTTGGCTAAAAAGCACGTAATCCTCACATTTCTCGTAATGCCCCGGAACGCTCACCGGCGGCGCTGGTGCTTCCAGAAAGGTCCATTGCACGCTTTGTGCCCAACAAGTAGCGCCAAGGTTGCTCGACATACTTTTGAAAAGGGCCTATCGTATCTTCGACCGGTGTGTTCAGCTTCCTATCCTGCCCATGCATCAAAAGCGGTCCGAAAGTAGCAGCAAATGACGTTGCAGAAGATGACGCATTGTGCTGTCGGATGTCGCGATCCCGGTGGTTGGACGTTGAAGTCCTGGGAAAAACTACGAGCAGACGCGCGTCTCGCCGTCGTTGCAGCGTCCTAGGATCACGGCTGGAAACGATGCGACACTTCTGCGAGATTGTGGGGTGGAAATCGAGGGACCGCTTTTGAGAACGCGGCAAACACACCGGTCGGAGACGCTTTGCGTGCGCCGTACTGACGCCGCTCCTTCCGGTGGCACTGCTCGTGACGCCTCCGTTGTCCCCCACAGCTCTCTCAGTGGTTCGAGAAGGTGTTTGCCTCGGTGCGGCTGGCGCCCCGCTACCTGATCCCGTGCTACTTTGACGCCGCCGTGACCTCCGGCTACACGGTCCTTCTCGAAGAGATCTGGCAGAAGATGTCTGAGTGAGTGCCCCGGGACCACGCCGACCACTTCCTTTTGTCGGCGACGAGTAAAACCGGCGTTTGTCCGTGCGTCTGGTAAAAAAAGTGTCAACAGCGCTCAAACATTCCCCTTGCTTATTTGACTGCCTCTTCCGTAAAATGCAGTTGCGTGTACAGGATCTGGAACTGTAGAAAAATTGTCCAGTCTTTTAGATTAAAGGGATTAAGCGCTTGCAGTCTCTTTAATGCTAGTATGTCAGCTTTTATAACTCTAATAATAATGTTCATTTTCCTTCGAGTGTACGGCGGAGGAAACAGATAAGGAAAGCTGGGCCACAGATGCAGCTTGACGAGTCCTCAGCCTTTTACAAATGGCAGCAGGACACATGAAGACAAGAGGAAAGAGAAACGGAAATTAAAGCATTAACCCAGTGGTTCGCAAATGGGGGTCCGCGAATGCATTCTAGGGGTCTGCGAAGCCATGCCTCATCAGTCAAGCCCGGCAATAAAGTTGTCTTTTCTCAGGTCAAAAAGAAATGTTTCAGTTTTCGCGTGAGTTTGCTCGTACGTGTATGTCAATAAGAGAGGTCCACTCCACATTAGCCCTTAGTTTTATCCATTTAGTAAATAATTACCATAATAAAACTTTAGCTTTTCCTTTACCTCACCACGAACGGGGTCCTCCATCATCCCCGCCGATCCAAAAGGGGTCCGCGAAACATCAGTGGGTGAGAACCACTGCATTAACCTATTGCAAATTGCAAAGACAAGCCGAAAAATTTTAACGAGTCATTTTGGGGCATTGCTATAAGTTTAAAACGTCTAAATAAATATGGCGCTCCACATTACAGTGGCACAAACACTAAAGGTCCCAAGTGCCACATCTGCCATGTTTTGTTATGCTAATATTTCCACTTTTTACTTGTTTGGAGGTTTGGGCTTCATCTTGAGGTCTAGCATGATCTAGTTTAGAAGCACCTGAGGTTTCTTTACTTCGAAACGCCTGGAATTTACTCAGCACCCTCCAAACGAGTGGATGGGACATTCCTCGTTTTGCAACTTGCTCCGAGTGTCGAGTGGCTGCAACGCCGGAGGGGTGGTGGGGCTGTGTGCAGTGGGAGAATAGAAACATTGACCGCCTGCAAACTTGGTTTACTCGTCCCTCGTCTGTTTAGCGCTGTACCTATTTCCTAGCGGCACAACCAACCGGCCCAACTTTGCGCCGTGCCATGTGCAGCTTTGTGAAGCACGGCTCCACCCTGGTGCGCGAGCTGGCCCTGGGCTCGGTGGTGCTGGCGGGCTTTGTGCCGGGCGCGCACCTGCCCCCGCTGTCCAAGCAGCTGGTCCCGCCCCTGCCCCCGCACCGGATGCAGGGAGACCGCCGGGAGGAGGTCTGCACCACCCTGGCCGCCGGTGAGCAACTGCACGGTGTCGCGCGTGCCGGTGTCAAACTTGGCTGAACTTGGCCGGGCGCCGCATTCGGGAGCATGCTTTGCCACGTTCTTGATGGGGTTCTGTGACGGGGTACCTAATGACCTTAACATTCTGTTTTGTTAAGCTGAGGTTAACTGTTAAAATTGTGAGGCAGAGATAGGTTGGTCGGAAGGTGACTTACATCATGCTGTTGAATCTCTGGCACGAGCGAGAGAGCGCCTGCGCAAGTCGCCGACAACGTCAATTGTGTGGCACGCCAGCCACCGACGAGGACAAAGTCGGCTGGCGGTGGCACACATGACCACTTTCACAATTAATATTAAAGGGACACTGACAGCGTATTTATGCTCGCCGAGGTTTTTATTTGAACATGACCTATAAGAGCCCCAGAACAGAATTTGGTGCTCGAAATTCCTATTCTTTCTGCCTGAATTGGCAGGTTTCAGTCACGCTTACTCGTTTCCATCGTCACGTGGTGTTCAAACTGTGTGTGCAGTATAGACCACTTACAACGTAACCGCTTATAGTGCAGGACCGGGTATAACGCGGCTTTTTTAAACCACCGGTTTGCCTCCCATAGAACTCCATGTAATTGCATACCGCTTAAAATGCAGGCGCGCGCGAAGGGAAATACCGGTTATAGTGCGGTTTTTGGAACAGCGCGCCGACTGACCGACGCAGCAAGCACGCTTCCCTGTGCGACACTAGATAACAACGCAAGCCGCAAGCGGCACTCGCGGGACAAGGAGGTTGCTCGAAGCGTGGAGAAGCGAAGAGAGAGGCTTCAGTTGCCATAGCGACAAAGGGACGCACGCACGTGTCGTTCACGTGCGTGCGTCCCTCCACTGCGTTGGAAACAAACAACCGCAACGACAGACCAATCGCAAGTCGAGGAGAAGTGTTCGCGCGCGTTGCATGCCGGTCGCGGGCCGGCTGCTTCTATCCGCGAACATGGCGTCTGTTGTGATCGTCGATGTCGAGGTGGAAGCTCATCGTTCCGCATAAAAGCGCTATCCTTAACTGTTAATTTTCGTTGTGTGTCGCTATGATAACCCAGCATGTACTAGAAGGGAAGATCCACCTACTCGTGCGGCGATGTCGTGGCGGCACTCTCAAGACGGCAGAAACGCCCGTGTCGTCGTGTTTGTTTACTTCAACTATAGTGGTGCTTTCTAAGCATTTGTGTTTTCGAACATGGCCCGGATTTCTTATTTGGAGCATTTCATGCCTGTGCTCAAGTTGAAGGTATTACTGGCGCGTACCGTATAAAGGATGCGAATTTTCACGCGTTTTCATCACCGGAGAAAAGTGATTAGGGTTAGCCATCCTGAACGCTCGCAACGTCTGTCCGCAACCCGCGACGCCGTTAAAAGGCTGCGCCAGGCAAAAGTCCCTCATTTCTTTCAAAATGTGTGACACACTTGAGAGAGAAGTGTACTAGTCTGGTGAAATAAAGTTTCCTCAAACTAAGCTTTATTTTTCATCTAACATAAAATAAATTGTTTTACAAAGGTAAGTTGTCTCATGGCATGTATTTTGGCCTGAAAAATTTATGTTTTGGTTATGGCGCGGTACCGCTTATAGTGCAGATTTTCGCGACTCCCGCGACATACGTTATATGCGGTCTACACTGTATCAAATATATGAAAAGTCGTGGGCTATCTATAAGTCACACGTTCAATACTAAAAATAAAAAAGAATATCAACCAAATTTTTTGTGGCATCCAAAAAACTGCAAATATGTTGGTAAAAAAAAAAAAAAAATGATGCACAGTTTACAGGAAGTATACCTATGTACAAGTCATTATCTATATGGCGATAAACTGCGGGCTGGACGACGCGATGAAGGCGCACGATGGGCCATCATTGTGACGGACATGGAGCCGCTACTTCGGAACTTGTTCGTGGTACCGGCCAATCAATCTTCAAACACAGAACATAAAGCAGAAGGGATATAAAAGCGAAACAATCGCATGACAAATGGTTTACGCAAGTTCTCCGTTGTCGTAATCTGTTTCAAAAACCGGAGAAGCGGAGGAAAAAAAAAAAAAAGCTGTCAGGTGTAGCCACGTGACTTCCGGCCATAAGCTTCTCTGCTCGTGTTTCGGTTTCGCTTTCGAGCAATTGAGTTTTTAGAGTGCAGCTCTCCGGGTGAAGTGGCGTCGGCATAACCGCGCTAAATTTATTAGGAAATTTTATGTCCCGGAAAATTTACGTCACATGACCTTAACACCAATTCCATTCCCCGCTAAATCTAGCAGAATCTAGCAGGTCACATGACGTCAATTTTCTCGCTAAATCTAGCAGAGAAACTTAATTTGTTCATAGGTGACGTGACACCAAGTCATGTGACGTCATTTTCCCCGCTAAATTTAGCGGGAAAACTGAATTGGAGGAGGAGAGGAGAGGAGGGGATGGAGGAGGGAGAGAGGGTACGGAGGGGGAAGAGGGGCATACCCTCCCCTCCGTACCCTTTCCTCTTCCTCCTCAAGAGCTGCACTCTAATTTCGCATTACAGAGGTTTGTAAACATCTCATTTTTTTTGTTTATGTGACACTGCAGCAAAATATTGATTGGGTGGTCAGCAGCCACAAACATGGGGCTAAAGATAGGAGTAGAGCATAGTAAATAATGGGCACCGACATTGCTGGTCCCGCGAAAATGAAAGAGAAGAAGACCTACACAAGAATGGAAAAAGAAAGCAGATGACATATTAGGCATGTTTGTTTTGCTGCAGAAGTTCTGGTTAACTGTAGTAGTTTCTTTTTTCCAATACACGGTGCCTAGACTACCGTAAAATACCGAGCAAGCGCCCACTCGAAATTTGAAGATAATCGCGAAACTGTGGGGGATGGGCGCATGTGAGGTCATCGATTTTACATATATATGTGTGCATATTTTTTCGGATGTTTCAAATTTTGGGGGTGGGCGCTTAGTGCAGAATGGGCAGATGCACGGTATTCTACAGTAAGTACAGAATTTGCGAGGAATGTTTTTATGCTTCTTAACGTTTACCAAAGATTGGCCAGCAATCTGAGCCCACCGGGACCACCGTTGTCTGCTTCTATGCCTCACCGTTTTGAGGCAGCCGATATATATGGGAAGGTGGTGCACATTTTCCTCTAGATATATTATATGAACTCTTTGCACATGCTGGCACTTGCCCTGGCATCTCATATTGGCAGTGGTTGGAGCGCGGTCTAAATAGGCGAAGTAAAAACGCTCTTGTTCGAGTACCTTTGGAGTACCTCGGTTTTGGGTGAGAACCAACTTGACATTTGGTAGTAATGGCTTCTTTGCAGGCATCGATATCCAAGATATTTCCGTCTCAAATTAGCACGACAGCTTTAGGAAAACCCGGCATCGTAACATTTTTTCATGGTGGCTTGCACAAAGAGGGCTCAGTGAATTTAGACTGGTCCAGGCGAAGGGCAGAGTTCTGCGAGTGAATAGACGAGAGGATTCTCTCCGGTGTGACGTGCGGTCGTTGCATGACCCCACCGCTGTGCCCAGGCCTGCCCCACTTTGCGGCCGGGTACATGAGGAACTGGGGCCGGGACACCTTCATCTCCCTCCGCGGACTCCTCCTGCTCACGGGGAGGCACCAGGAAGCCAGGTGAGGCTCAAGGGCAGACTCCAGGGAGACCCCCGCGGTCACTCCATGGGTCGCCTTGCCAGTTGCGAGCCGGAAAACAGCCGCAGTCAAAAAGCTCACCGTCTTTGTCGTCTTAATCCAGCGTGGGTCATAAGGTAAAAACGTTACTACTACCTTCGCTGGATTAAGGGGGGACGAATGTCTTTAAACAGCAAAACAATGACAAAATTGTTGAGTTTTAAAAAAGTCATAATTTTGAAATCTTTACAGCAGAGAGTATCTTCCCACAATATACGATTGAAAAACTTCATCTCTAGCTATCTGAAAATAGCAAAAATTTAAATTTTTGCTAAAATTAGCAAAAACTTTACTTCGTGTAATGAACCCCCCCCCCCCCCCCCCCCCCCCCCTCACTTTGCATAGATTTTTCGGAAAAAAAATTGTGTTCATTCTGCGAGTAAATACGGTAGTTGGTGCACAGTTGCTAAAACATTGCTGGGTACTGCAGTGACAACTCAAGAAACGCAGGGCGGGCTAAGTGCGAGCATCTTACTGTTGCTCCGCAGTTGATAAGAATTCCGGAGGACAAATTGCGTAGTAAGAATGCTGAACGTAAGAAACTTCTTGCGTTTCTTAGTTTGATAATCGCCGATTTCTCTCGAAATCGGTTCGGGTAACATTAATAGACGCATCTGACAAGTACCCCAAACTGCAAGTCACAATAACTTTTCGTTTGCGAAGTTATTCAGGTTCCAAATTTGGTTTGAGAGGCAGAGGGGCTCTGCTGGGCAGCACTGAAAACGTGACGTTGGATGTCGTGATACGGGGGCATTACAGCTCGTTCCGACAAGTTACAGAAAGTTTGGTGGTGTGAAACAAATGCTGCTTCCACCAACAGAACAAAAAAAGATGCGCAAATTGCGGTATTTTTTAGACTGCCCGCTCGTCCCGCAAGTTGAATGTGTGACGTGACCTCGCTGGAGAGCGTGGGGAAATTGTAATGTTTGATTTGGCATCACCTTCATTTGCTATTTTCTAAATCTGGCTCTTTTACACTTAGAGATAATAAATAGCGAGACGAAAAGAGTCCAGCTTATTCCAAAAATCTGTTTCGGTAGATAGGGTAGCTGAAAAAACCACCGGAGCTCCGCTTTAAGCTCTCTCAAGCTCTAACCTTGCGGCCCCCTCCGTGCCGGCGGGGCATCCGCGCAACACGTAGCGGCCCCTGCCACGTCGGCTGTACAACCGTGGCCCCTTCCCGTTTCCCAGGTTTCTGCTGCTGGCGTTTGGGGGCTGCCTGCGACACGGCCTGATCCCCAACCTGCTGGACAAGGGCACGCACGCACGCTACAACTGCCGGGACGCGGTGTGGTGGTGGCTGCAAAGCGTCCAGGACTACTGCAAGGAAGTCCCCCAGGGCTACCTGCTGCTGAAGGACCGGGTGGCGCGCCTCTACCCGACCGACGACAGCCCACCCCAGGAGCCCGGCGCCAAGGTGGGGACGCTGCACTTTTTGGCGTCTCATGTCGCCTCGCGTGGAGCTCGAGGAAGCGTCGGTGAAACGATTACTGTGTGTGTGACATGCATCTGTTCCGTTGGCTCAATTTCTGACCCCTCCTACAACCCCGTAAAGGGGCTTTAGAACGGGACGAGTTTTCTGCAGTCCGAGCATCTGTAGTGAAAGAAGTGGATGTGTTCCTTCCTTCAATTCCACTCCGCTTTTGCACACTTTTTTTTTTTTTGCCCGAGGATAAGCTTTTTTGTTTTGCTCGTGTCCCCGGGCAGAGGCTTAGAGTGTGCTCATCACGTGGGCTCGGGCAGCCACTCAAACACTTTATCGGCTGTCGTCAAGGCCTCTGCCGTCGTTGTCGGTCCCTGATCTCCTAAAAACGTGAAAGGGGAAGAGACGTAAGGGAGGAATTCAGCGAGGAGGAAAGCCGTCCTGTTTGCTTGGTTGATGTCTACACTGAAAACGGATGCACGCACCGCAACTCTGACAATTTTTTAGAGAAGTGTACAATTTTGTTTTGCTGCGACGGCCTTCATTGTTTTTTGTTTGGGCGACCTTTTTGTGGCCCTCGCAACTGCCTGTGTGTTTGGCAGCAGTGGGGCAGCTGCCCATTTGGCTGCACCTCGCTTCGTAGCCGGGAAGTTGGCAAAACAAAAATGAGCAGCCGTGAGTCGAGACATGGGCGACGCTCGCTCAATCTGTCGCTCCTTTGATTTTATGGTCAACCACTCGGATTGTGGTGATCTCGGCCGTTCCTTCGGAGGTTCTCTGCGACATAATTTGGGGCCTTCTTACGGACACTCAAATGTGTGAAAAGTTTAGAACACTTCACCATTCGGAGCCATTCCGAGCACAAAGAATGCCAAAAGCCAAACAGTTAGAAGCGAGCTTGTTGCGATTGTTTCCGAGCATGCTTACCGTAAAATACCGCGTAATCGCCCCCCCTCGTGTAAGCGCCCCCTCCCTTTTTCCGCACATTTCGCATTTCCATAAACTACCAAGTAAGCGCCCGCCCCCCCCCCCCCCCCCCCTCCCCCTACCCCCTTTTTCCGCTGCCGGTGGCCCCGAAAAAAGTTTCGTTCTGGAAGTTTTGTTTTTATGTGTAGCCAGGGATCCAATCCAATCCAAAAGTAAACGTGAACCACGTGAACCTTTTGTTCGCCATTTTGTTGTTTGACGGCGCCGGAACCAGTCGCGTTACTGCGTGCGCTATGCACTCGTACACTGTGCAAAAGAAGATAGAGGTCGTCCAGTGGCACAGGCTGAATGGCAAGAACGTGCATTGGACATCGCGTCAGTTCAAGCTTGATCGCAAGAGAATCCGCGAATGGGACAAGAGGTATGAAGTGCTTCTTCAAGAGAACTTCGGAAAGTCGAAGTTACGACGCAAGTTGGGAAACGGAGCCCCCGTTTTCAGCAAGAAAGTGGACGACGCGCTTTTTGAATTTTTTGAGTGCGAGAGAAGTGCTGGACGCGCCGTCAGCACTTCTTTGTCAGCGATCGGCTCGCTGACATCGGCGTTGTGGTCCCGGAAGACCGCGACGAGCTGAGGGATGAGTGTGTGGACCTGGTTTTTGGGTCAGATTCTGAAGAATCCTTCGATGGTTTCGACAGCGAATAAAAGGATAAAGTTCGCAAGGAAACTGTCTACGGAAATCATTTTTGGTAAGACTGCAGTCTAGATTGCATACTTTTAGTGGCTGCCATTTTTTTTATCCGCCATCTTGAATATTGGCGCGGAACCAAGGAAGGGCCCCCCCATATTTTGGTTGTATTATCTCTTGAGTTGGGGGGGCGCTTTCTCGGTATTTTACGGTATGTCATTTTCACTGTGGCCGTCGTAGCTACGCGCCTTGTTTATGGGAGGGGAGGTATCATGTTTAAACAATTACATTAAAAGTTTTATGAGCTGTTTTCACTCCTCGAAATGTTATTAGTGTAGTAGTACGTGAAATCAAGCTCTCTACTTTGGTGATATGAGGTTTGTGCTGCCTCATTCCTCGAGGCAGCAGTCTGTTGAATATTTTCAACAGCCATCAAAGAAGACGACGATCATGAGACCTTCTCAGGGCTGCTCTCCCAGGCAGCACATCACTACTCTTTTTCTATCTGCAACAGCGCGATTCGTACACTGGCCTCGTCCCATTAAATTCCCGTTTCCAGTCACTACGCGAGTAAGATCGTCCAGTTATTTAGCAGGAGTCGCACGCTTGGGAATGAATAAGGCGCAGCAGGCTAGCAGATGATGCGGCGTAATTAGAACGAGACTTCTTATGACAGTTTAATCAAGATGCACAACACATATTTTTTGGGCAAATTATATCTACAATTCTTCGTTGGGGTGACGGCTACTGCGCCAGCACGTGCGACGGCTTGGGTAGGACCCTCTCGCGGGGTGACCAATGGGAGGTGTTCTTGCAGGATATGCCGCTGGAAGAAGTGATTCAGGAGGCGATCCAGCGGCACTTCGAGGGCATCTCGTTCCGGGAGCGCAATGCAGGGTACCAGATTGACTCGCAGATGACCCACGAAGGTGAGATTTGCTCGTGGCTTCGCTGAACTGTGCTGAACTGGCATGCACGTTCAGGGAAAGCGCAGGATAAGATCTCCGACTTGGAGGGAGGTTCTTTCGGGCTGTCCGAGCGAGCAAGTGGAAGAATGCAAATGGGTGGGACCGGAGCACATATTTACGGTCGACGCCACGTGCCGTTTAAGCTAGTGATTTGTTTATTTACCGGACCTTTGGCACACATTGCGCATTTTCTGTGGGTCCTTCGAACAAGGAAGTCGGCAGACTTTTAGGTGCTTTAGAGCAGCAACAGATCGCTCCTCTGCCCGTACGTTTTTGCTTCGGTCCTCTTAACCTCCCGAGAAAGTGGACATCTTCACGGGAGGCGCTTATAGTGGCCACACTGATGCCCAGAACCAAGTTCCAGATTGCTCGGCCAAATACGGATCCACGTGGGCTTGCGCAGGCTTCAACGTGGAGGCCGGCGTCGACCTGCGGACGGGCTTTGTGCGCGGCGGGAACGCCCACAACTGCGGCACTTGGATGGACAAAATGGGCAGCTCGGAGAAGGCTGGTAACAAGGGCCACCCGGCCACGCCCAGGCAAGGCTAGTCTCTGTACACTTGGAGGGTTGCACGTTTCATTAAGTGTGGAGGGTCACCACTTCGTGCTGCGGTGCCCTCGCCACGTGGCGCTAGGCAGGAACTCGGAGGTTTCATTACTTGGGGGGTGTCCACCGTCTATTGCTGCGTCTAGGTTCGTAGGGTGCCTCTGGTGTAGCCCACTTCGTAACGTGCACGATTAAATGCGTATCTCTCCCGCGGGTCGTTTGCGGCCACGTCGACGTCAGCCGAGTCGGTCGACTCGGGTGACGTCCCAGCAATCGTGCTGACGGCTGAGCACGATTGCTGGGACAACCAGACTGGGTGTCCGTTTTGAGCGCCCGACTACTCGAAGAAATGAGTTAGCTCCTCACCTTTAATTAGGAAAGAGCCGGAAACACCCCTTGGAAACCCCAAGTGATATGAATGAAGAAACGGCATCTCGACAATTGGGGTTGCAGCTAACTTTCCGACTCCAAAAGGCTTTGCAGTGGTTGCCTTCACAACTGTTCTCTGGTTCATGTTCTTGCGCGACGTGCGTGCGGCGAAGGCTTTCCCGTGGAGGATGTCCATTTTTCTTTATTTTACTCTAACGGCACTCTTGAAGATGCGCTTCGATTTTTAAGAAAGGAAAGGTGGAAAATCTTCACAAACTGTAAACCGATAAATGTTAAAAAAGAAATGCGACATAGATTCTCCTCACTGGGCCCAAACACGGGAGCCCTTTCCAGTTGCAGACTTGGTCTCGATCTCTGTCGTCTGGTGCCAGACGGTCAAGTTGGATTTGGTGGGCAGGTGTGGCACTCTGCCGCCGTTCAGCCGTTGTCTATGACAGCCAGACCATGTGCCGCTCCGCTCGCAGGAATGGATCTGCAGTGGAGCTTGTGGGCCTGTGCAAGTCCACCCTGCGCTGGCTGGACCAGATGTACAAGGAGGGCTTCTACCCTTACAACGCCGTGGAGAAGACTGAGCACGGTGAGTGGCATGGGGACTGGAAGCAGGCCTCTCGACTGAGGACTCTTCAAACGAGCTCAGTGTTGTATGTGGTCTCAAGATGCAGTGGCTCCTTGGTGTACCGCGCTTCTTGATGTGTACCCCAAAAAGGCACAGCTGTCTTGTTCTTTGTGCCCTTAATGGTGATATAGGGCCATAGAAACCGACTCACGAGACATTATCAGAATGGAAAGTGGGGCTAGTTGGTACGGTTTTTCAATATGGAGATATTATCTGCTGGGCCCCTTTCCACTAACAGGTCATAGAGTCTTTGCATGTTGTGATGGTCTTTGTATGTCTAAGCATGTCTTTGTATGGTCTGCTATTGGACCAATAACCACCCTTTGGAATATAGCTCACCTTTCGGTGCATATGCTTGTTTTTCTCTGCATTTGCTACTTAATGCTTTTGACGGCCGAACTCTAGGACTTTGGTGCGCTCTGTGGCTTTAGTTCCGCGGCTTTCCAGTTCATCCGAATAGAAATTAAGACTATATATTGTAATGGTGCAAGTTCACCATTGTCATCCACAACAGTCGCCTGCATTGGCGATGCATGGCTCATGTGTGGGCTCTCGGATTTTGGGCAGTGCTACTTCGGGGCTCGAGCAGTTCCTGACATGTGGTGGAGGCCGCCACATAAGGGAGGTAGTAGAGGGCTTCTGCGAAACTCGATCGAACTAGTTCGATTCCTGTACTATCTGAATTACTTTGAGTGATTTGTAATAGTTGTAATTTGGTACTTTTGATTATTGTTTTGTGCAGCTTTAAAGGTCTGAGCCTCCATTTGATCCTTTCATTGCCTTCATACTCTAAGAATCTTATCAGTGTTGCAGTATAGTGAAACAACTGATTTTATTGCACTTTGACCTTGCTGCCCTATTAATGAACTTGGTGAAACAAAGCACAGAATGCTGAAACAAAAAATTCCATTTGCTGAATTTTGTGTTGGCTAGGCAAGAAATTAAGAAATATATTTTGCCACAAAACATTACCATGCGTCGGTTACCTAGCTTTCGAAGGAAAGTACTTGCGAGGTAACTGCGTTTCTTTTTAATGCGAAAGCATTAACTGGGTCTCATGGAGCGAGCCGCCGTCATCAGCTTTGAAACCACGCCAAACGGCTCTCAAATACTTCTCCAAGTCAAGCCAGCTCCCATTCGCCGGTTAGCCACGGCACCTCTTACACCGCTTCAATCCCATTGGCTAGCGCGCGTCGACCAGGCTCCCCTTCGCTGGACACGCAGCGCCATGAGGTGGTCCGTCGTTGAAACTGACGTGCAGCGTCAGTTTCAACGACCGGCCACCTCATGGCGCTGCGTGTCCAACGGCGCCAGTCGGCGCGCCAGCATGCGTACAGCAAGAATTATGTACATGCTTTCGCATTCACAACTCATAAGAAGTGCTTAGGTGTACCTCAATCTTTTTAAATGTCATGTTTAATTGTAACAAATATTACTTTTCATGCACTAGTAATTCTCAAATTGTAATTAAATTACATATATTCAAAATACAAAATGTCCCTCCCACAAAAAAAAAAAAAAAATTTACAGGGCTTTTTTTTTGTTTTAAACTAAACTATGCATTGCCGAACGCTCATTCTTCACCCAAATGTAGTTGAATTAGGCACCAAAGTATTATGACTGACCGTTATCTTATTCAGAAGATATAAATGGTTTTATAAAATTTTAATGGAAAAATGGCAGTCAACGGAGCTAGCTCTCAAATGCATGTAGTTTAACGGCGTCATTTACCGAAAACAGACAAAACGGATCCCATGTTTCCATTGAAATTTTCAGCAAATCACTTGTAACTTTTGTCCGAGATAACGGTTAGTTCTGAAACTTTTGGACTCTGGTTCGGACCACTAGCACTACATTTGGGCGGAGAATGAGGGTTTGGTCATGCATATAGTTAATCTTTGCAACCACAAAAACCCCTTAATTTTTTTTTTAACATCCCATAGTTTGTTGAAAATGGTGCATAGTACTGTTGCTTGAAGACCCGCTGGGCATGACGAGCGGAAGTTGTATGTTCCTTCCGTGGCACGTGTGTTTGCAGGTGTGAAGACGGTGATGACCTTTGACCAGTGGGGGTCGCTGATCAAAAAGCACTTCGAGGGCTGCTTCTGGGTGCCCCCCGCGAACGAGCCCACCTCCCCGGACGACCTGCATCCGCACCTGACCAACCGGCGCTGCATCTACAAGGACTGCTACGGGGCCGCACCCCCTTGGTCTGACTACCAGCTGCGCCCAAACTTCCCCATTGCCATGGTGCTGGTGAGGCATGCCCGGATCTGCCCGGTTGCACACCTGGTTGGGGTGGGGGGGGTGGATGTTGGGGTAGACAAAGGTCGCAGTGGAGCACAGCGGGTCATAAGCGCCAACGTCGGTGGTTCCGAGAGAGCCAACGAGAAAGAGAGCGACAAAAGAGGGGGTCAAGAAAGCGCAGAAAAAGTTAGGCATGTTTGTTTTGCGGGCTCATCGAAGTTTTTCAGTTGCTGGTCAGCTTTAGTAAGTCCTTACTACAGTGCGCGACACCACATTCTCTTGCCAGATTTCAGCTAGAATAGACTGGGAAGTAACCCTGCGAGCTATATTTTGCCACTGCCTCGCTCTAGCCCTGCCGGTGGGGCTGGGCCTTGCTAACGACCTAGCCCTGGCTCCCTCCATGTTCCTACATTCCGAGGTGGCCGAGGTCAATGCAAAGATGGCAAACCCTTTCCTTTAGATTCAATAGACAAACTCCATGGTTAACGCAGAGCATTCAATCTCTCGTTGGCTAGGCACGACTGGAGGGGAGACTGCGACGGGCATTGCCCAAGCCCCGCTGTACGATGCCCCGAAAACGTCTCCAACTGGTGTGTCTAGCGTCCTATTCTGCTCGTGCATCGGAAATAAATAATGTCACAAATGTCATGCTGTCGGATGTCGCAATCCTGGCGATGGGAGTATAAGCTCCGAAAAAAAAAGCACGAGAGAGTGCGAGTGTCACTGTTGTCGCGGCATCCGAACTCTTGGCTGCCAAAGCTTTTACGGACCATCAAGCTGGAGACTGATCTGCAGCAGAACAGGTGTCTGGCATGTCCACCAGCTGCCATGACACCCTCGCAGTCGCGGCCGGCGACAACGTGACGCTTCTGTCGTCGCCAGATTCGAGGGAGCATTTCTTGGGACGTGGCAAACACCAGTCGGAGATGCGTTCTAGGCACCATACTTGCAGTGGCCGATACCTCGTAGGGTGTGTGCTGAGGGGGTGGCGTCTGCAGGCCCCCGAGCTGTTCACGGTGCAAAGGGCCTGGGAGGCACTGAAGGTGGTGCGGGAGGTGCTCGTTGGACCCTTCGGCATGAAGACGCTGGACCCCAGGTGGGGCCCTGTCTGCTCTAGAATGCGTGCTCTAGAGCAACTCTGTGTGCTTTGCTTGCGAAGCGGAGCATCGCGACGGTCTCAGATTTTTTACTTGAGTTATTGTGGAAGAAGCGAATGTTGCTATTGCAGAAGACGCAATGGCACGGGGCACAGTTCACCGGGCATGCACCCACGAAAGTGCGTGCACACTTGCAGCGTTGTCAGCTGTTACGGCCGCCTTGAAATAGTGCTTGCGTTATAAAAAGAATTCTGTGTCTAAGTGGCACATTGTGTCTAAAGCTTTAAGAAGCTTCCTGCTAGTAAGACTTCATTGTCGACATTTTGTGAATGCAAAGCGAAAAATGTGTCCCTCCTCAAACCCAATACTCCGCGAGGCAGCACCGTAGTCAAAGTTTGCGCATGTGGCACCTTCTCTGCCAATGAGGAGTTGGCAACGAAAGAAAGGCGACATCCTGGTTCCGCCATTCAGTTGCTCCTTGCACCAGACTCGCTTTGCCCCAGTGCCGACTTCCCTGGCGAGCGAGGGGCATGCCGAGATTGTATGCATCTAAATTTGGGGAGTCAATTTTGCGGGAACGAAAGCTGGGGCGGTGGATTTTGTCTCCGACTGGAGCGAAGTGGCACATGTGGACATGTCCTGTAACGCCGACGGCAGGTGGCGCATCATGCTTAGCCCTCGCTCGCTCTATAGAGTTTGGTACGAGCGAACGAAAGGGATGCCACTTTTTGTTGGGGGCGTCATAAACTACACCTTCTTCATCAGACCTCCGGTTTGAGAAAAATATTTCTGGCAAATTGTGTTTTTTATAGGTTGATAGAGCAGCCTGAAAGGAGGAAACTCTCCCTTAATTCTTCCTTTCCATTCGTGAAAGAGGGAGACCCTTCTTTCTGTGGGGCGTAGCTCTGAGACTTGCTCCTGTGGGGTGAAGAGAAGAGTGTGAGAGGGAACAGAGGGGAGGAAACTGGGAACCGGTTTTCTGCCCTGCAGAAGACGATTCTGCTATTTGCAGCGCGAGGGTGAGAAAGGGGCTAGCCTTCCGCTGCTCGCGCCTTGGACAAGTTCACATTGTTCCGAGAGGAGGGAGTGTGTTCAGGCACTATTTGCCGGTTCAGTTTGGACGGGTTGACTGGAACGTGTCTTCACCTAATGTGTGTAGCGTCCAAGGCCGCTCGTGCATTGAAACAATCCCAATGTGGCAACATAATATGCCACACGAGCCAGCGTGTCACGCCCTCGGACGTCGCGATCCTGGAGATTGGTTGTAGAAGTTCTGGCAAAAATATTGCACTCACGCGAGTGTCGCCATTGTCACAGTGCGTTAACTCGTGGCTGCTGTAGTTTCCACGGGCCGTCCAGCTGGAGAGCTTGATGGCAGAACGGGCATCTGCCACGGTCATTCATCTCTGCTGTCATGTCGTTACCAGGATTGCACTATGAAATAGCCCGACACAAATATCACATTACAATTTGGAAGCCGAGGAACCAAAGAGGAGGGAGCAGTAAGCACGCCATTCAGAGACACATTCCAGGCACAAAAGTTTTGATGCATTATTGCATTTCCCTCTCCCCGGCACAATGTCCAACTCTCTGCGACGTATACTGTGCCCCCGTCATCCACCGTCCCAGCTGCACGGTCCCAGTGGGTTTTTCGTATTGTGCGAGACTATGCATGCACAGATCATCAGACTTCAGCTTTCCTGCGGCCAATTTATGTGCGCTTGATAAACTACTGAGGATGCCTTGCTTTTGCTCCAACTGGAGTTTAGTTTCTCTTACTATAGACCGACACGCTGTTTACAAACAAACCCGCGTTTGCCCACACCAGGTGTGGGCACTGCGCTTGCGCAGAAACCAAATTCGCGCGAAGCGAAGCGTCTGCGCATGCGCAGTGCCGTCGACAGCGCCACCGCAGCTGCGTGACGTCAGGGCCGCGTGTTGGTCTATAGAATGGAACCTGGGAGTGGTCACTGGTCACTGCCTTTCAACATGCTCTTGGCACTTTTTTTTGTGTCTGACAGTTGCATTTAATTTGTTCCCTCAGTGATCTGAACTACAACGGCTACTACAGCAACAGCAACGACTCAAATGACTACAAGGTGGCACATGGATTCAACTATCACCAGGGTCCTGTGAGTGCTGTCACTTTAATGCCACGCAACCTGCTGTGCTTTCCAGCATCATTGAGATTGACTATGCTCGAAAGTGCTTGCAATTCTCAGCCTAAACACTTGGGTTTTCTCCTATTGCCCCTAATGTGTGTTTAAGGCAACTCTATTAGTTTCTAAGCTTGCAGGGTTTGCTTATGAATTCTGCTACTATTTATTAAACCCTCTGGACCCTAATTTTTTTCTGGAAAGGGTGGAGGAGGTGAAAGTGCAAACATGGTAAAGAAATAGTACTTTATTCAGCTTAAAACACGAATGACCTGATTAAAACAAACAAAATCAAAGACGGTCGGAATTCCACTCGATTTGGGAGAGCTAATTTTGCAGGAACATAGGATCTTTACTGTTCCAGCCAGGCGCGTGGTACCTAAAACAAAAAGTTGTTCTGCGAGGGCCTCGAAGCAAGAATCTTTTGTTTGGCAGATCTGTCTACCCAGACATTCATTTTGCTTAAAGGGGTCATGAAACGAATTTTGGGTTGGGATGGATGATTTTAAATTGGGACTTTATTAGTTGCATATAGTTTAGTTGGCCAAAAGAAAGAGGCTAGAAAGTCAAAAGCCAGCTTTTCGGTACGAACATTTGAAAATATAGCGGACTATTTTGTACCTTCTTGGCCTTCGAAAGTTCTCCGCCTTTTCACTATGATGCATCCGCGGTCCCGAAAGCGCGTCACCGGCGCCAAACTGACATCAGCATAGCCCAGCTCGTGCATTGGGCACGAGAACTGCGTCATTCGGACGTATGCGCTCGTCAACAATCAATCCGTCGACAAATATTTGGATTTGCGTTCGTGGCCAATGAGTGCCCTGACGGAACTTATTGTCACTGGAGAATGACAAGTTCTATGGTGTGCATAAAAAGCCGGTGGAACCTAGGAGTCATCGCACCGGTGCCGAAGGAATGTCACGACCATGTGATTTCACAATTCGCATTTGAGTGGAGGATTAATGCTAAGGAGGAAGAAGTAGGAAAATCGTTTCATGATCCCTTTAAGTTAAAACCGAAGAGAGAGAGAGAGAGAGCAACTTGTGCTATGTCTGCTTCTTGCATGCACAGGAAGGTGTTTCTTCTATCCAACCCTCCATAATCTGCGTGAAACGATTCCTAACAGCACAGACACTGCATTTAAAAGACTGCTAGCCTCGTATTTGCAGCTTCTAGTGGCAGTTATTGAAATAATCAATAAAACCAAGCTTTGGCCCTTGCTATGGTGCCTGGAACATGACTCCAACTGGTGCTCTTACGAGGGGCGTTCATGAAGTTTTTATTATTGTCACGAAGGAATATAGATTCAGAAATCAAACTCGAGTAGGAGTCGAGACTTTCTCTACATGTTCGCGACCAAAATTTACCCACTTTTTCCAGCGATGCACCACATGCCGGAGGCCATTGTTATAAAACTCCTCGTCTTGAGTGTTCAGGAATCGCTCCACTTGAGCAACCACTTGGTCGCCGTCCTTGAAATGCTTTCCTCTTATTTGGCCGCACTAGAAGCGTCTGTGCCATTTAACCGAAAGTGTCGTAAACTTGGACATTGTCCCCGAACAACGCTCCCAGATTGGAATGAATATCCTTGGCATTGCTTCCCTTTAAAGGAAAAAAAAAAGAATGGATCACTGCATGTGCTTGGCACCGACAGGCGGTGCCATTTTTGTTTCATCTCCCTAGCGGCATTCCGAGCTACTATAGCATGCAATGTTTATACTGTGCAGAAACTAGAGGGACGCACACTCATGTTGATGCCCGTTTTGTTCCGTTTCCTTTAATTTTTTGTGCCAATAATACAAACTTTATGAACGCCCCTCGTACCGTGTCCAAAGTGTCCCTCGATTCCTGCCCGATGTCGTCGTAGAGGTGTCACATTGTCAGTCACAACTTTGGCGGTGGTGCACGTAGCAGACGACTGTTCTGCTGCAGGTCGCTCTCCACTTTGACAGCCCACAGAAGCTTTGGCAGTCAGGAGTTGGGACGTTGCGACAACAGCGACACAGACATTTGCTCGCGCTTTTTGCCGGAAATTTTATGACCAACCAATGGTGCATCCGACAGCTTTTCCAATGTCATTTGTTGCCACTTTGGGACCTCTTTGTATGCTTCGGCAGATGCTAAACACACCAGTCGCAGATGCGTTCCAGGCACCATACGTCTCGCGCGCTATTGCTCGAGGCGAGAAGAAATAGTTTGTCCCGCTGACCGCAAGTGTCCTGTGCAGGAGTGGCTGTGGCCCATGGGCTACTACCTGCGGGCGCGGCTGTACTTTGCCCACAAGGTGGCCAACAGCGAGGCAGCCTTGCAGGAGGTGCAGGCTGAGATCAGGGAGGTGTTGGCCAACAATGGCCAGCTCATCCAGGCGTCCCCCTGGAGGGGCCTACCAGAACTGACCAACCGCAACGGCGACCCTTGCCTGGACTCGTGCCCCATTCAGGCCTGGAGCCACGCCTGCCTACTGGAGGTCCTCTACGACATGCAGAAGATCTAGGACCACAGGAAGTCTTGAGGCCCCCCCAAGGCCCCAGGGTTTTTCAGACTTCTCGGACTTCCGAGACTGAACTGTGCCTGTGGGAGCTCTAGGGCTTTCGAGGTATCTCGAGTGGAAGGGATCTTCAAAACCTTTGGACTTCTGGGCACTTTGGGTCTTTGACATGTTTAGTTCCTCTAGTCACTTTATGGCCCCTACATTATCTAGGGGTTTTATGGATGGGCTTCAAGAGCTCAAGGAGTTGTAAAAGCTTTATCAGACCGAGGGTCGTAAGGTGTCCTTGAACCTCTGGGCCCTCTGGGCCTTTAGGATCCGTGGAGAGCTCTGAAAACTTTGGGAACTCCCGAGAGCTCGGAGATCTCTAGCAACCGCTGGACTCCTTCGTTTCGTTTCGTTTTTGCCACAGTTGACCGAAAGTTGTCCAACGGAGTCTTCGAACCTCCATACCACCTGGGCTTGTTTACAGCCCTTGCCAGAGGTGCCGGAGGAATGCTGCTTCTTGAGGATGGTTCGCTAAATTGTTCCGCTTTTTCCCATGTGGCTGGCAAGGAGCTCTAGGCAAGGATGCCCACAAGGATGCCCTTTTGAAAAAAGTTTAGCCACCTAAACCGCTGTGGTCAGTCTGTGTTTTGAACTATTTTGTAGAAAATGGGTGTTTATTCTAAACTAGGCAACCTGTTCAGAGCGAGCCTCGGAGTAAAGCTAACATAATTTTAAGTTTTAGGACCTTGGTGTTTTTTTTTTATTCGCTTTAGCATGGGTTCCTAAAGCTTGGAGCATGTTATGATGCCGATATAGGATATTCACAAATGCGATACTGATAGCCCGCTGGCAGTTCATGAGCATAAATATAAAGCATCATTGGGGTCACTAGTTGTACTGCCTGCCAAGCTATGCAGCTTCTTCATGAAGTTGTTAAAATTGCACTTCTCGTAAAAGCCTTCATACTTATCGACTGCTGAAGGATGCTTGTTTAATTGAGGTCACAAATGGTGGGCTGCAAGATGGCATGTGCTTTGGAAACCGGGATGAATACGAAACTGACATGCAAATGTTCAGGACAAAACACACACACACACAAACTATGTACCTAATCACAATATTTGGCAGTCTGGACACGAATGTGTTTAAGGAGCCTTGAGCACACCAATAAGTAAACCCCATCCTTGGGAGTTGTGCTGTTCATTGCCTCAGCACTTCCGGCATCGAGCATTTTACAAATCTGATGCGTGCAATCTGAGCCAGTGCTACTCACAATAATTTCAACTTTTATGGTACGTGTATGACGTTATCTAATGTGCACTTGCACATTCTTGTTTCTAATGGAGACCCTCTCCTTTACAATACTCAAAAATAAAATTGTGCCATGTTGAGCTTTTGGAAATTGAGAAGTGTGTCCAATGGAAGTGCTATATTGCCAGTTTTCCTTCCAGACTATCAAAATGTCAGACGTTCCTTCTCTCGAAGTTGATGTTTAATAAATATATTTATTATTTCTAAGAGGATCCATGACTTGTCCCAAGAGTTGTGTGCAGTGTTCTGGAAGGCAAGAGTGCACTTTCAGAAAACGCGACATGTGTGCAGTAACCAGAGTGCAACGTGCCTTTGACAGCTCTGCATACCACTTGAAAGATGGAGTATAGGTGGCATATGCAAGGTCTTTTGCAGTTATTGAAAGCAAGGTACAAGTTTTTTTTGTTTTTTTTTATGCATGTACATAATGTGATTGGTATATTTTGAACTTTGGGGAATGCAAATGTTCGTCATGCGATGGGCAGTAAAAATGTTGCGCGTCGATACGTGCAAGCCCGACTGACTTTGCTTCGGATATATTGTAAGGTTTGCCCATCATATATGCTAGGCAATAAAATTTGGGTCTGGAAGTGTGGCAGCCTCTTGGTCAATTTGTAGACAACCAAAAAGTGTGCAGAAAAAAAAAAAAAAAAAAAAAAATGCTAGATTTATTTTTATTCTACGGAAAAGGTCAGTATTCACAGAATGGGTTACCACCGCATCCTTCAGGGCTTGTGGTGGGCATTGCGGTTTTCTTTTCTTCGCTTATGTCATGCTATTTTATTCCAGACTGTCCGTTTTTTTATGCGATGGTGGGAACGTTGTCGATTTGTTTTATCTCGTAACCTGGCCAAACCTTAAACATTGGCAATTTAACAGACAGAAAAGACCACTTTGATACAGACAAAGCCAGCCAGCTTAGTGTCTAGTGGTAGAAAGCCGAGCTGTTTGGGCACGTTTTGAGTTTTGTTCCCATTCTCAATTTACCACTATTTTGTAGATATCCTCCAAAGTATGTGTTGGATTTTGCGACGGTTTCAGTGGCTTTCCGTTGCACTTTCCTTAGGCGTCTAGACTCCCAAACACATACTGAACTAAAACAGGTTTATTGCAAGAACTAGGAATGGGTGACTTCTCGGTCGACGGCCGGACTCTCGGAGACTGCAGCGAAGACTGGCTCCCCTCGGCTCGGGACGGGGGGTGATCCTCAGGACGGGCTGGTCGCTGGCGCGATTTGTAGCCTGGCCGTCATACGGTCCTCCGTCAAGGGGTGCCACTCTTCGCAGCCGCGCCCAAGAGAACAGACTGTCGGGCACTTAGAAGTATTTCAGGAGGTCTGGCTCGATGGCCTGTGGAACAAAAGCCAGTCGCTTAAAATGTGGAATGGTGGAGCGAAGCGTAGAGCAGCGTTGCAAACGTAAAGGCCCGTTTGCACATTTCCGTGTGATTGGGACAGAGTAATCTTCTATTATGAGCAACTATCCTGGGAAAAGTGGGGCCATTCATTGTTGTGGAAATGCTCGAGACACTTGCTGCGCATCACTCCTGGGAAAAACATGGCGTCTGAAATCTAGCTCAGTGCTGCGCTGTGCCACCATGATCTTCCCAAAGGCTACACGTTGAAAGCGCCTCCTGCATCAACGCACCTTGAGCTACTTTTAAAGCATAAAGGGGCTTTTTACAAAAGAATGCACACTGGTGCCATCTACGAGGTGACCCCGGAAGTGCATTTCACTAGAGCAAAGCTCAAGCGGGATTTGTCAGATCAGTACTACCTATGAGAAATGGTAATAACAATGTATTTTTTCAGCCCCCCCCCCCCCCCCCCCCCCAAGAAAAAAAGATAAATTGGTAACATACAGAAACAAACGGTTCTACGGCTACCCAGTAGATGGAGCCAGTATGCTCTCTGGCCGCAAAAAAGGTTTTAAGTCACACAAGCGGTTGCAAGTGTGCAAACCAGCCACTGAAAGGCCCTAAATGTCTTGCCAGGCAAATGGCAAGCTTTGGAGCATGCGCAAGCTTTCTTATTCTCCAACCCTCGGCAGCCATCAGATGAAAACCCGGTCTTTCAAAGTACTTGATGGATGAGAAAACGCCGGCTACAATTGTTGCGCTCGAGCGGTCAAGCCCAAAGTCGCTTTCATCGGGTAGCGGTCTTTTCTTGCCAGCGAAGCATCTGCACCGCACATGCCCCAATGCGATTTCAGATTCAGACGAGCCACAGAACAAAGAACCAACTACGCGGCTGCGCTCTCTGTCGGTTGGAAGCGCAAGCACTCACCAGGGGCTCTGTAGTGGGAGCGTACCGCTTCACTGGCTGACCGTCCTTGTCGATCAGAAACTTTGAGAAGTTCCACTTGATGGCACTGCAATGGCAAGGTTAGAGTAACTAAATGACAAAGCATTCCTTTCCCTGCTAATTCTTCCTTGGTGGAGGAGAGATGCTCAAAAAAATACTTCCGAATGACACTGTTGCAGCTACTCTGCTCTGCAAGCTGCACATATACAGTTACTCTAGACAAGGTCAGAAGGTCTTATGAGCAGTTTCCATGGTGGATTTTGAGTGCGGTAAAAGCGAGCGCGCGCTTTCACGCACAATATGATGCCAACAAAAATACCGCTTCATATACACCGAGTAATTTCTCCATTAATGTGTACTGAGCTGGAGAGGCTATTTGAAAGAACCCAAGTGTACATACAAACAGACCTAGAAGCAGTAGCCAAAACTATGCGCTTGTGAAGAGTTGCCACAGCTCGTGCACTTTGCAAACGAAAACAAAATGGGCCTCAAAAAGGTTGATATGCAGTCACGGTACAGCAGAGAGTGTGCAATAACACTCCAGGAAAGTTAGTTCAGGGTCTGGCAAGCCTGGGGTTGGACTCACTCCATCAAGAAGCCAGACTGCTTGTGCTTGAGGTACTTCCAGAGCGGATGGGCCTGGTCCCCGTTGACGTTCACCTTGCTGAACATGTCGAACTGGACGTTGAACTTCTTCGCAAACTCCTTGATCTCTGCCTCCGTGCCGGGCTCCTGGAACGGGTTGCCGTGTTTACCTTTCTTCACCAGTTAGCGGGGTTCGCAACTTTCCACCTGGGAACTGCTCAGCTTAAGTGGCTTATGATGAAAGAAATGCTCTAGCGCCACGTGACAGGTGCCCGTTTGTTTGTTCAATCCACGTTGCAATGATGCCTCGAGATCAAAATGCTCGCTTACCTGACCCCCGAACTGGTTGCAGGGAAATGCGAGGATGCGCAGACCCTTGGATTCTGCAAACTTCTCATGCAGCTCTTGGAGCTGCTGATAGTTTTTGTTGGTCATGCCTCACTTGGAGGCCACGTTCACGACCAGAGCTACATGGCCCCTGCACAAAACACGTAGAGATAAGCAACTCTGGGCAGATAAGCAACTCTGGGCAGATAAGCAACTCCCGCCCGAGTGTGGAGACTGGACCCGCTCACAGACGTAACAAAACGCCTCATTGGCGCGGCGGCCCTCGGAGCCGAGAAATCGTTTTGTCGACAAACAATACCACTCGAGCGCGGCCAACCCGCGTTCTGCTCCCGCGAGCAGAGTTGGCCTTGGCGAGTGAGGCAGGTTGCAAATGGCGGTGTTTGGATGTTCCTTTCCGACAAGCGGTGTGGCGAAGGTCACGCCACGCTACGCAGGAGGGCCACGCACCTGTATTTGGACAAGGACACTTGGTTTCCGTCAATGTCAACGGCGTCGAAATCGTAGATGGAAGCAGCCGTCTTCCAGCCGTCACTCGCGGCAGTTGCCTGCGGGTGGGAAGCTATCAGGCATGCGAGAAGAAACTCAAAACGGAGGCCACCACTTACCATGGCTCTGCGTGCGCCTGTCCGGAGCGCTCTGCAAACAGAATACATTGAATCGGTAAGGAAACGGATCGACCACCCCCGGACCGTCCGGCTACGCCGTCAGAGGCACTGGGCCGGCGCGGAATCAATACGCACATCATTACGCCGCTTTCGACGCCCGGTGACGGTTACTTTGCTGCACTCGGCAAACAGCACGTCGATTCGAGCGCTCGAAACGCTTAGACGGCTTTCGATTAATCTACCGCCGACTGCCTGATCCGAGAAGCCGGTGGTGCAGCGAACGATAACGGGCCGACAGACTAAAAATAGAAACGGGCTGACGAGGTCTTTTTCAACCTGGCGGAAGTACAGATCTGCGTCGTAAACACTCACCTGCAAGAAAACAAAGCGAAGGTAAGGAAACAACGCACTTACCTTTAAAGTATAACAAAACTTGGTTGTTCGTTTGTTTCTTGGAGTTTCGCAGATCCACCCTCCTACCCTCCTGCAGCGCCTTCTAAAGCTTTCTGAACGGAGCGACGACAGCGACGGAGCTGACGGCTGACGGAGCCGACGGAGCCAACGGAGCCAGACGGAGCTATCTCGCTATCCGTCGAATCGGATTCGCGGATGATAGTTGATCACATGGGCAACAACATACTACTGTGGCTTAAAAGGGGGTAGTGTAGCGACCGTGTAGCCTCCATCGCGCATCGGGAGCGGCCGGCGCTTGGAAGACGGCGACGTCACGATGTAGGGGGCGCTCCGCTCGTTAACACCGCGACGTCTCCGGCTCCGAGTCCGTGGAGAAGTGCCCGGAGGGCCCGGAGCTCGTTGTCGGGTGCATTGAGACGCAATAACAGCGCTTTAATTTTTTTTTTTTTTTAATACCTGAATGATGTTTGTAATATTGTTCCAATGAACGGACTATTACGAGGCTTGTATTGGTAAGGAATAAATATCCGAGCACCACTGCAAAAAACAAAATTCTAAACGACCGCCCTAAGGAGGTCGTGAGAGTCAGTTTTTCGCGCAGTGCAGCTGTTCGTTTATTTTTATTATTTCGACAGCAGTTGCTACACTGCGAAGTTGGAAATGCCTACATGGCAACTGCTTTTTTTCTTTGTCCGCGCTCGCGCGATGGATATGGGATTATTTTATTTTCGTTGACTAAAAATTGGTTTGATACAGATGGCGCATATGCGGATTACCCATACAAGTGGAAATACCTCTACTCTATGTTTTTTTTTTTTTTTTTTTCAACACTTGATACATTGAGTGAGAAGCTGTTTAAAGGTTAAAACAGTCAATCAACCAGTGATTGTTTTATCTATTCCAACTTACTTTTACAAGACATGCCCGCACTCTCAAGCTGTGGTTTGTCCAGAGGTTAAAGTATGGCAGAAACCTACGTTGTGGGATTTCCTATCGGAATTATTTTTCAAAATATATTTTATTATCGAATTGCTCTAATATATTGGCTACCAGGCGATTATTTTCGGTTTCGATCCAGCCCGGTTATCGACGAGTCAAAATAAAAGTTTTGTTCGGGTTACGGGGCTTTGCTGTGTTTCAAGTTCCTTGCATAAATTATTACTTGCATTTTTTTTCAATGAGAACTACTAATTGTACGTGTCTCTTACTTTATGGAATCACTTTACTTTAGCTAAACACTTTGTTCATTTTATCTTAGTTAAATTAGCAGTTAATCCTGCGAGCGTACCCCAAATATGTCGTGTAATTTTATTATTTTACTCCGCTAATTTTTTCCTGGTGATGTTAACTCTGCGTATCTTTGGTTTGTTTTATCATATTGTCACAGTAATTAGCAACAATTGTGCAGACATTCTTTAAATTTTATTACATTGATAAGTAAAATTCTCATGATAAGTAAGAACGTGCAATTTCTGAGATTGGACAAATTCTCTGGCAACAGAAACAATAAAACAAACTGGGGACAAGTTTGTTTTATTTCGGTTGCCAGTCGATGTTACCAACATACTCCTCAGTTAATGTAAACAATTTCTCCATCGCATTTTTTTTTTTTTTTTTTGTGGGGGTACGGTGCAAGAGACAACCGAGGATGTTTGCGAAGCCAGTTTACAAACTAATTGTATTAATACACTGTAATCACTGTTCAAAAAGGTAATCTCAAAACCATATGAAAAAAAAAAAGAACAGGTGGCGCTTAAGTTGTCACAAGTACTGTCGCCAAAGAGATTTCACAGAAAGATTATGTAAGTGTTACACCTACCTTTAATACAAGAACCAATTATAAGAATAAACAAGAGAAACCCTGCCGCATCTGTCACGACGATCAAGGGACTCAGGCCGCCGTCTTATCTGGTCTGTCGTCCGCATGCGTTAAAGCGCTCAGGTAGAACCAATATCAGACTGAAAAATGCGACGCCGCTCACAACTGCGTCGGCTGCTGCGAATACGTCTCGGCGACCGCAGTGTTGCATGCACAAGCGCCGCCATGCGGCCGTCTTCCAGCGCGAGGCCGCGCCTCCAGCTTCGTTCGTAACACTACCCTTTTAAGCCACTGCACACACCAGTACACACACGCTACACAGTTGGCTACACCCAGGGCTTTTCACGTCTGTTGTTTCACTCTGTTTGACTTTTTGATGGGCCGCAGAGGATATTATAAATTAAATAAAGAATAAAAATGTCACGTGAGCTTCAAGAAAAGCCCCCCCCCCCCCCCCCCCCCCTTCCCCAGCGACCAGCGGGTTCCAACTTGCTTTTAAGCAGAAAAGCAAGCCAACCCCCCCCCCCCCCCCCCCCCCCCCCCCCCCGCCCCCAGGGCCTGGGTACGCTGCCCTTGGTATTCCTTGGGAGCCGCCGGCCAGTGGCGGCTGTTTCAGGAGAGGGGGGGGGGGGGGGGGGGGGGGGGGGGTTGCTACGCCCATGTCACGTGATACGTCGCAACGCTCGCAACGCTGGATTGCTTGGGAAAGCTAAAAAGAAAAAGCGTTTGCTGTGGTTGCAGTTTATCCACTGATCTCTATGCCAATTTACTGGATCGCGCATCCCCGCTTGGTCGCTGTAGCGCACTGATTTCTAAACTGATTTCTATGCTGGAGTGTGAGTATGCGCAAGTGCGGCCACGGGACGGCCATCTTGCGACACAGAAAAGCGACCTTTTGGAGCGTTGCAGAGGCTGGCGGCTGCGTGTTGAAGACACGTTTTCTGCTCATTCGTCGTCATTCGTTGAAGAAATTTGTTTAAACCATGTATAAAGGGTGAGAATTGCCTTTGAGAACACTTCACGTTTTCAGAAAGTAGTGAAAACGCTTCAGCGTGTGCGCACGCGCCGTGCCGTGCCGTCGACAGCGCCACCGCAGCTGCGTGACGTCCGGGCCGCGTGTTGGTCTATACAGTCAAGAAAATAATAATAATAAAAAAAGATGCATAAAAAGGGACCAAGCTTTGATCCCTGAGGCACCCCAAAAGACGCGACGTATTAGACAGACATGATTCTTTGAACGCGTACAAAGTTCTCGCGCCCCGACAAATCACTTCTGAGCCACCTTGTGTACTTCTCGGTTACTCCAAAGCTTTTGTCATGTTTAAATAAATTACATGAACTTGTCCTTCGTTTTCATTCGCTGGAGCACAAAACTGCATAAACTGACAAAGATTTGTTTCTACCGATCTGCCCTTTATGAAACCATGCTGAGCAGGGTTAATTCTGCGTTGAGGAGGGCCAAGCGGAGGGGGAAACGCGGTCTCCGAAAACTCCCTATTGTCATATCAAGTCACGGTGCACAGTGATGCCACGCGACTTAATGATGCCAGGTGAGGCCCTGAGTCACGTGTTGTCATGAGGTTACGCGACGATACGTCGTCTCGTAACGCCATGACGGCACGTAGAAACATAAACATGAGACTGCTGATAATGGAAACAATGAAAAACAAAGTGTTTCCGCTAATTATGCCAGAAACGTTTTTGGGCAATAAAACGAATAAAGCTATAGGTGGGCGTTAAGCCGGCGAAACCACGGACTCGAAATAAGGTAGATCTAGAGCACTATAGCTATATAGTGCTCTAGGTAGATCTACACGCTTGAAACTTGAGTGCGCGGTTTTGGAAGTGTTCTTCTGTGACCACGAGGCAGTCCTAGCTTGTGTCCAATAAAATTGTTTAACAGGTCCACGAATTGCTTTCTACCCTCACTGGTTTCAAGACGCTATGGAATTTTCGTTCGGTGTGTTACTCGTAAACCATTTTAAAAGCCTAAGCGGCCTTTATGGTGCACGCTCGCACCTGTACCGTTTGTTCGGTCCCTCTGCTCCAAAATGACACCTCAGCGATTCCGACGTCACACCTGAGCTGTCGCAGTGTTTCACCTCATGGCCCGTTCACACTCTTGCGACCGAGTACGACTGAGAGAGGCGAGATCTCTTACAACTTCTTTAATGTTTCTAGAATGAGGGAACACACTGACATTGTGGCGCCATCTATGCGGTGACCCTAGAACTGCATTTCACAAAAGCGAAGGTTTTACGGGATTTCCGAGGTCACATGTGCGTAATACCCATAGAAAGGCTCGTTTATAACGTTGACAAAAGCTTTTCGAGCCAAAAAAGAAAGGATATTGCGCGAGAAATAAAAAAAAATATGCCGGACCGCCGAGTTTACACTGCTTCCCAATAGATGGTGCCAGTGTGTTTTCTGGTTTAAGAAGTTTTGGAACCCAGGTTTAAGAGGTCGCAAGCAGTCGCAAGAGTGTGAACGGGCCTTTACCTCAAATTGGTAAACACATGAGTGTTTACCAATTTTTTTAAGACATTCATATTTTGTGAAAATTATGAAAAAAACAAACAAAAATAACAAAACAGTAGACACACCTAGAGCACTATATAGCTCCTTCGGAGCAGAGTAGCGCAATCTAGAACGCCGCCTCTCGGCGACTAGCGGCGAACGCCCGGAGGTTCCAACTGCGGTCAGAAATGCATGGAGAACGTGGGACAATCGCTGTTTCTTCAGTATTGTGGGGGTGTACGGAGTGGCAATTGTTTTTGACATAATAATGGAACATTTTAGAATAATTTGCGCTAAGTTTTGTGCCCCGCAAGGACCTGACTTTTTTTAAAAAATTGCTTGAGCGGCATCATGCAGCAGACGACACGGCGACGTCACACCATTCACGTGACCCGCTCCGGCCAACCCGAAAAGCCCATCTCCGCTGCGAGCAAAAATCGTCTGCTTCAAACGCCATTGCCTTGGAAATTGCCTTCGCAAAATTTGCACACGCATCCGATATTATTAAAACTTTGATAAAGTGTTTAGTGCTTTACTAACTTCACGGC